GGTAGTCACTTACCATCAGGTGTGCCGCATGCTTGTTTGCCACCTGTCCTATAAAAAAAGACCTAATTGCCTTTCTAAAATAAATGTAGCCTCAGTTACTCTTTATAATATCAGCTATCAGCCAGTAAAAGTCTCGTCAAAATCGTTTAAGCGATTTCGGATATATAAGCATATTATAAAAATTTAAACATATAATAAAACTTAAAATTATTTTTATGTTATAAGTACTGTTCATACTTTCATATGCATTTAGCATTGAGTTATTATGTACGTAAGTACATTATACTTCAATATCATTTAGTAAAAAAGTGTTATTTTAAAATTACAAACAGATATTTCAATTTTATTTATTTGGTATAGAGGTAAAGATAAGGGGTAATCTATGGGTAAAGATAAGAAATTTTATTTAGTATAGACAAGAAAAATCTTTGATTCGCAGTTATTATAATATTCGGTTAGAATCTACTAGTTACTCTGTGATTATAATATATAAATGTACTCTGGTGAGAGTTTTGGCGGGAACTTGATCAGCGGCGGTTTGCTGCTCCTGTATTATTGTTTAAATAATGGTTTCAAGTGGACTTTGATATGTAAAAGTGGTGCGATTTTGTGTATTAATTGTCTACGCATGTGAACTATTAGTGGAAACAGTGAAACAAGTGCTCTGATGGTGATGGATTCTCAAGATAAGCTGTTTGTCTGCATAGGCGCCTTTAGATACCATCGCCAACTATCAGTTGTCTGCTGGCTCAAGTTGCCGTCAAAATCTCTCAAGGGCTGCACAATGTGACGCATCAACATATTGTGAAGCAGTGAACTAGGAAGGATAATTATTTATAATAAACCGAATAAAAATACTCAAGACTTGGCCTAAAGGTCTAGATACCAGGCCATAAACTCCTATAAAAAAAAATGTACTCTGGTCCCACCATTGACTTAGAAGTATATGGACTGGGCATACATACAGAATTAGCGTGACTACCTAAACACATCTGGCGCATAAAATGGCCACCTTTTATAGGGTTGTAAATCAGCAATATGGGCAGCTGATATCGATATTTTTACTAATAAGAGTTTGTTCTTATTTCATATTATTATAGAAATTAAATCCATAGCCTAATTGCGTAACACACCTAAAATGGCAAACCATATCAATTTGACAGTTTAACAACATCCATTGCGTGGTTTTTGTTGTCGAGCAAACTAATTTTTCAATCACATGAAGCAATGGATATTGTTGGGTTGTTAAATTAATTTTGGATAGCGAAATTTAAGGGGTAGCCTTAAATTTCGTTTGAGCTGCTTCACGAGGCTTCACCGCATATGTACACTTACGCAATGCACACTGCTACAGATTTTTTGTGTTAGGTACACAGTCAAACAATGAGTTAAGTATGCAGGCAGCTAACTTGCAACTTGTTTTAAACAATGTTCTGAGTGTGCTAAGTGTTTACTCAAGTTTTGAAGTTATACTTCTTTTGGCGCGTTTGAGAAAAATGATGAGAGTGAATTTTTTACACCTTCAATTGGTAATTGTCTGTCAATTGTTAAGTTTTCGTGAGAACTGATAACTATATTCGAGGTAGTTATTCAAATATATATTGTTACGAGCTTGGGGTTCGAGACAATTAAAAACTGCCGATTGAATTACCAAAATTGACACTTTAATTACACAACACTAATTACAATCTAAAATCACACTAATAATAAAACACAGTTCGCCGTTATTTCGCTTCGAAGTATTCTCTTGTATCGCCAATTCAATACTGCCTCGGTCGTGGTCTATACCGGCCTTATATAGGGCCTCAGATAATTTGTAATGTAAATAAATTTCACGTGGCTCTACCACGTGAAAATTTCACGTGGTAGAGCCATGCTGCAGCTATATTATGATTGTAGCACGAATGGGTCGGCTCGACCGGGGAAGGACAACGCTCTCACAGAAAACCAGCGTAAAATAACAGCTTAACGCTGCTGTGTTTCGTATGGTGAGTGTAGAGAACCGGAGACCCTTTTTACTGGCAAAGAGGCATTCCATCTTAGTCCTCACGGGTGACAACGCATCTGCATCTTGAGTCTTTATTGAGGATAGATGTAGATGTCTATGGGTCACAGTAACCACTTACCATCAAGTGGACTGTGTGCTCGTTTGTCACCCGATCCTATAAAAATAAAATTCCAGAACCTTCTACTGTAGCGACATCTAGAATGTTCGAGTACATATCGGTCCCGAAATTTCTGGAAGGATCTTGACTCTCCTAGTTCTGCTACTCGACACTAGAGGACGCTAGTGTAACCAGTGTTGCCATGTACAAAACATTAATAGTGGCGCGCAACAATATGAATTTATAAAACGTGTTTTATTTTAGTTATTTTTGTTTTGTTACGCTAAAGAAGTATAACTTCTTACGTGCGTACATAAGTACACACACATGTTTTGTTTTATATCAATGTGAACAAAGTTAAAAAGTTTAACGCACACAATAAAAATGAATATTGACAGAGTTGTGAGAAAATGAATATGTTTGCTTGTATACCAAATACCTTTGCTTACTGTACAATAATATTGTACAGTAAACAAATGTATGGAGATGGGATAGAGATCCTTGATTCCATATTGTAATCCCATATTATAGTATTTTTAATATACAATACAATACAATACAATACAATAACTTTATTTCAGGCATCAAGGACTTAAAAATTAAGAACATTGGCGCATAGCAATATATACCTTAACCTAAAAATATATATAAAATATAGACATAACACTATTTAGGTAACTTTTTTCTTTGGCGCGTCCCTGTATCGGCAAAACACTACCCCAGAGGGCCAGAAATCGGGAGCGAGGAATGTCTCTTTATGTTTTGCAGGAACCTGGAGTACGTAAGATTTGAAGTTCGTTGACCTATTAGACTCCAGACGCTGCAAATGTAAAGAGATCGGATCCTCAATGCGGCATCGGCTTCGTTCTTCCACGAAGCGCAGGACGTCTTCTCCCGACGTACTTTTGTCCAAACGGGAGATGTAGAGTTGTATGGTTGGCTCCACAGCACGCAGAGTTGTACTCGCGTTTATTTTCGCGGTCCCACGCCGGTTAAATATAAAGTAATAATGATTAGTTGAGTAAAAAATAAATAAACTGTTTTTAAAATCAATACTTATTTATTATTAATTGGTATATAGGAACGTTCTGCACATAATTTATCACAAATGGTAAGTTATATAAGCATGTTTGGCCCTGCTGGATATCATATTTCTTTTATTCAGATTTTAAATGAAAAATATAATTATTTACGCAGGTACATTAATTTTGTTCATGCAAAATTCGAAAATCTGGCATGATCATGAAACGCTGGATGAAATATGATATCCAGCATTGATTAACTATTATTATTATTACATATTCATTTACTTCAACAACAAAATTAATTTATTAAAATAATTTCTATCGACACCATAGAAAAGAGTGTACTACACTATTTCACTGCTTTTTTGACAGTTTGACAGCAGATCTACCACAAAACTATGGAGTGTAGAGTACAAGGAGGACCATCTCTATATACGAAAAGTGTCCCTAAAAATGCGTCCAATAAGGGTGGCGCCGCAGTAGCATAGGATAAATTATAAAAAAAGCGCCAAAATTAATTAGATTAAGATGGAGAAATAAACAAGGACCAACCAATCCGCTTGGTTTTGTACTACGTAAGTAGTTGAGATTTTGTATACTGACATTTTACTAACTACTCTAATGATGAAATTATTTAAATATTTGAATTCAGCTGACTTCACTCCGTTCACAACAGCTATCTTCATATCGTAGTTTTTCAGACTCCAGTGCTATTGTGGTCGGTTTTGGAACCTCTATTTTCAGTATATAGGGGTACACTTTTTTAACTTTCGCACCTTATAAGATGGTTCTCCTTCTACTCTACACTCCATACACAAAACTATGGAGTGTAGAGTAGAAGGAGAACCATCTCTGTATATGAAAAGTGTCCCTAAAAACGCGTCCAATAAGGGTGGCGCTGTAGTAGCATAGGATGAATTTAAAAAAAAGCGCCAAAATGTATTATAATAAGATGGAGAAATAAACAAGGACCGACCAATCTGCTTGGTTTTGAACTACGTAAATAGTCGAGGTTTTGTATACTGGCATTTTACTAACTACTCTAGTCATGAAATTTTTTAAATATTTTAATTCAGCTGACTTCACTCCGTCAACAACAGCTATATTCATATCGTAGTTTTTCAGACGCCAGCGCTATTGTGGTAGGTTTTGGAACCTCTATTTTCAGTAAATATTGGGACACTTTTTCAACTTTCGCACCTTATAAGATGGTTCTCCTTCTACTCTACACTCCATACACAAAACTTGGCACTTAACATGGCGGCGCAGTCACGATTAGATGAGCTAATGACGTCACACGAAAGTATTACCAAAATAAGCACTTTACAAACTATATATGTCTCTCTTTTCTATTGCAGCTACTGCTTTGTTAAAAAGAGACAAAACTATTTTTGACAAGTGTGTGTCGATATTATAGATATTTGTATAGCTATTATTTCTATAGTGGAATATGCCCTCTCCATAGGTATATATCTCTATGGGTCCCACCGGGTCCCACTCTGGTCCTGAATATTGACATTTGACACATTCCTTTTGGTTTTGCATTTGATGTTGACATATTACAGTTTCCTAACTCGGTTTCGATTCAGTAGAATTCAGTAGTTTACAAATAATTTATTATAAAATATTGAATGTTTCTATGATTTAGATTTCAGTAGTCCATTGTACAAGAAATATATCTACATAACTTTAACTAGAGCTTAATGTAGGACTAGGATCTAGGATAGTACATTACATTTTTTTTAATTTTCCTTTGAAATATGTATAAGATGAAATGATAAAAAAGGCAGTTTTCGAATTTATATTGATCAATAATATGTTCAGTGAATTTCACAGTATGTTTAATGGATAAGACCAAGCAATAACAAATATGTCTGCATCCGAGGATTTAGAAGATTTCATTTTTCGTCCTCAGCAGCATTTAGATGCTAAGTGGCTAAATCCTGACTTACAAGATGCTTTGCATAATCCTGATTCTCTGTCTACTTTATTTAATAGTCTAATACAGGACCGTGAAATATATTTTGAGGCTGGAAATGGTCTTGTAAATGCTGCTGGAATAACAGCGAAACTTGGTGACAGTGGCAAATATTACTGTGGCCTAAGGGTATGTTGTTATTTGGCCTTTCATGCTAGTTTATCAAGAATGCTTAAGACTAATAATAGATGACATTTTTTATAGATTCTTACTTGTACTTGTTGTGATGGACTCTGTGGACCTCATTCAGGATGTGCTTGTGCCGCATGTTCTGCCTTGTCTTCAGAAGAAGAACAGCGTGTTGCTATTCAATCAAAATTAGTTGTACCTTCTCCATCAATTCAGGTTATAGACGATCTAAAATGGAAACAAGATCCGGGTATGTAAAACTAATTTTGTGTCTTAAAAATAAAGCTGTGAAGTGAATTGGCGATATATAATTAAGCTATTTATTTCTAGTAGATATAGATACACATTATAATTATATTCGACTATTCAATGTCTGTAGTAATATACAGTATACTTTGCCATATTAGTTATTAAGGGCACATTTAACACAATATCCTGTTATGTTTGTATAATAATGCATAATGTAAGCAATAGATTGAGACATATAATATTAATATTTAACATTAGTAAAATCATCAATAACAATTACAAACTACTAACTACCTCATACATTTAGTACTGTATAACTATTACTTCAAATATATTTTGTTACAAAATCATAAATAGTTTGTTTTCACATTTGGATGTATCATGATAGTCATTGTTTCTATTGCAACACTGTATCATATTCTACCTATGATCTTATTGTATAATCTTTTTATTGGGCATGTGTAGGTTCCAAAAAATGACTCTGTAGTACACTATATAATATCCTTCTGTGTACTTTTATTTAGTAACTATAGCCAGGAGAACAACATAATTTTAATATTCAATTATGAAAAGGACTAAAATGCATTTAATCTCTTAAATAAAATCACAAGTAACAGAATAAACATTTTTATTTAAGGCCCAGAATGTCTGCAAAGTTTGATGGAATCCTTAATGTGGGAGCAACGGATGAGAGCCATTAATGCGGTTGTCAGTTGTTCATTCATATCTCAAGTCCGCCGCTTGATTGTCCTCTGCAATAGACACCTTGTGGCTGTTATCAGGTATGATTTTATATAATTTCTCAAGAAATTTTAAATAAATTCTTAAAATAATGAAGTTGCAACATAGTCTTTTTACTTTTGGAATCCCATATTGCCAGTATTTGAGTCCCTGGTTCATATGAATTACAGCTAATCTACGCAATGCACTATGTAAATTTGCGACTTTTGTTGTATCTAATAGGGGTTGTTCTATACTATTGCGAAGGCTAAGCTCCGCATTGCATCATATACTATTTTACCTATGAAATTGCAGTTTTATATGAAAAAATTCAAACGTTTTTTAGGAACAATATGTATCCGTCATTCATTACCTTAGTTATCACAACCCTGGGGGTGAGAATCAATTAATTCTTTAAATTGTTATTTCATCACTACATTCATTAGTTGTCAAATAGGGTTTAGTGATGTTTTTATTTTCACTATGGCATACCTGCAAAAAGCTGTGTGATAGGCTCAATAAGCAAATGCGAAAATATCTTGTTTGCATTTAGAAGTACCCCGGATAAAATCCGACACTAAAATCTTTGAAATTGTTCTTCGGTTGTTTCTGAACACATCCAATCATTAGTAAGCATCAATTTTGACAGTTAAATTTTTTAGTCTCAAATATCATAATATATAATATATATATATTTATAATCTATGTTTCAGTCGCTAGTAAGCGTTTTAAATATATAAAATGTAATTTCAATAAATTAATATGGGTAAGAAATGAAGTAGAAATGTAATAAATGAACAAAGTTATACATTTTTTAATTCTTTCGTGCTGGGGCACCTCAATTGTTTACAATTATAATGCATAAAAGATATTTAACATACTTCAATATCTAATTCAAATGCAGCTTTTTACCACTATGCTATTACCAATTTAACAAAAAAATATATACAAACATTTTCTTCACTCCACCCTATTGTCCAACTATTGTTTCATCATTATCATCATTACAGCCTTTCATAAGGCCACTGCTGAACATAGGCCTCCCCCAAGGAATGCCACAAAGCACGGTCCTGAGCCACCTGCATCCATCGACTTCCTTCATGTCTTATCAGGTCGTCACTCCATCTCGTGGGGGGTCGCCCTACACTTCGCCTACCGGTACGAGGCTGCCACTCGAGAACCTTTCTTCCCCATCGGTTGTCGGTTCTTCGAGCTATATGGCCGGCCCACTGCCACTTCAGCTTACTAATCCGTTGGGCTATGTCGGTTACTCTGGTTCTACTGTGGATATCCTCATTCCTAAGTTTATCACGCAGAGAAACTCCGAGCATAGCCCTCTCCATAGCTCGCTGAGCGACCTTGACTATTGTTTAGGGAAGGTTTAATGTTTGGTACTTTATTGTAAGATGTAGAAATAAATAGGTACTCGATGATTACGATCAAAGTGTTTGATATACAAAATAAGTTAATTAATTTGGTATAAAGGGGTTATAGTTCATTAACAGTGTACACGTGATTCGATCAGTAAACGTGCAAAAGGCGGAGTCGTCAAGTTAAATATATATGCCTGGTGTGAATCTCATGCGGCCAAAAGCTGTCTGTAATTGAGGCGGAAGGTGCAGAAAAGGAGTGGCATGCAATGATAGATGTTCACCGTTCAGTTAAGGAGCATATAATTATCGTCGAGTTTAACTCGGTTTTCCTAACTCAGTTTTCCGCTTGATGGCGTAGGGCCCTGACATGTACTGATGCGTTTCTGATATGAATATGGTACTTATCTGCCCTTATCAGTATGATTAAAACTACTTTCTTTATAAACATTATTTGTTCGCTTAGGGTGAATGCTGCTGTTTTCTGTGACTTGTTAAAGAGATGAATCTCCTTACACTGTTTTTCTATTTATCATTATAAATCTAAGTCTGAGTTATGTAATTTCATAATCATAACTTTAATAATACTACTATAATATCGATCTTTAATCTGGCCACTAGGAAAGAGAAAATATCAATTTCATTGGTGAAATACTGCATATCAGTATACAATATTAATGTGTTAAAAATTCAATCAAATGTTAATACAATTAAATTTTTCTTTTAGGGACCAAAGCCATAATAAAGAAATTAAGAAAATTAAAATAGATAACAAACCACCACATGTCATAAGTAACAGAGCACTTAGTAATGTTGTGAACACCCTCAACAAACCTGGAGAAATCAGTTCAGAATCTCAAGAGGAATCTGAAGAGCACACTGATGATTCTGAGAGGTATTTATTTTATGCAATGTTGAACTTAGGTATTACAATACACATTATCTCTTATCTTTATATATAAAAATTATGTGTCACATTGTCCACTGTGAACTCGCTAAACTATTGAACTGATTTCAATGAAATTTTGTACACTGAAGTTAGGTCCAACTTCAGAGATAGGATAGTTTCGATAAGTGACCCTCAATATTTTTATTGCTAATTTAAGGATTTTTACAGTCTTTCGGGAAAGCTTATGTTCAGCAATGGATTTGTGAGGGGCTGTGGTGACGATAATGACGTGTTCAATTCAATCACTAGGTTACTTAAAAGACAAGGATCTATTTGATATATTCAGATATCTATTATAATCACAAACAGATGTTGAACCGAAATATTAGTTTTATATTTATTTGTGGTATATATAGGTTTATAGATATATTATTATATGGCGGCAACTAGTCTTCTCATGATGTAATTTTTCAAAAAAAACAATTAATTATTTAATGCCCTAATATTCAAACACTACTCAATTTTAAGACGCCGCTAAGTGTCGTGCTGTCTCTATCACTTTAAGTCAGTGACTGTGACACCATGATACTTAACGACATCTTAAAATTGAGTAGCGTTGGAATATTTGGCGATTATTCTATTAAAAGTAAAATATGTAAAGCTCTTAAACAAGGCTTCTCTTATTTCTGAGTAGGGCTTGGTGCAAGTACGAGCACGCTCTGAACTCTATAATGAATTATGAAGGACTAAAATATTAAATAATTTCTCAGACATACACATCATCTGCACAAACCTTCAGCAACCTTCATCGACAAGTTAAATCAGCACTTAAATTGCAATAAAGAGATTGAACGAAGCGACCACGTGTTTTAATTTATGAATCGTCACATTATTCAAATATAAAGATGTTATGTTGTTAAAAACGCGCCACAAAATTTTGTATGTGCTTTTTATTTAGTGCAATAGGGTTAGCACGAGTAGGCGCCCGCGCCGCATTGCGACTGGCATTGTCGCTTGTGCGACGTGCATGGCGTTGCGGCGAGGATGCAGACGTGTGCTCGGCACTACTCCGCGATGCATTGGACGCGGTGCGCGCATTACCTGACGCGGCTCTCTATGCTGGCGCTGGGCTCGGAGTAACGCAGGCACCGCGCTCACAGAAGATCTGGGCCGAAGTTGTTGATAGTGCTGCCAAATTCCTGCATCAAGTTGTCGCCGGGTATCTATGTTTTTAGTATCATTTTTGTATTTTCTAACAAAAATATTATTCAAAACAAAAACTCCGATCCGGCTGCAGTGGTTTTTCTTAAATAAAATCCTGGAATCACTTGTCACCGAGATGCTCTTGATTTTATCTCAGCAGATTATTAACTAGTATTTTATAAGAGAAAAAAAGAAAATATTAAAATAAAACATTTTGAAACAATGTTTCTAGTCACAAATAATTAGATTACATGATACAACATAAAGGTGCCTAATTAAAAGGCTTTTACGTTGGCTTAGACATATTAAAATTCAAAAGTTACATACCTAGGATATCTTGAAAATAAACTGTACATTAGATTGTTTATTATCACAAAAAAGATTGAGTTACTAATTTTGGTTACATAGGTTGGGTATATTGATTTAACAGTTTTAAGTAGCCGAAAATAGCTTTTCTATTATATCCAGTAAGACTATTGTTTAAAGTTTCGTAATTATGATATCTTAGTTTGAAAAGCACCTCCTCCCCTTTCATCAACGGGTGCACTATCAAAGCCACCACTTAACCCAAAACCACTACTCCAAACACAACTAAATGACAATAGAACACCTGAGAATTTTCTTTCGCTGTTTCTTCTCTGGTCAGATTATCATCATTTGCAAACGGCAGTAGATATTACCAAAAAAAAAGAGACATTTAACAGACGAAATTTTAATTTGTTACGTCGAAAAAATTAATTAATTAATTAAAATTATTTTTCATTACATTTTATTGTCATTCAATACATTAATACATACAATTAAAATTAAAGGGTCTGTCAGTAATATAAAAAAATACTGTTTTTTGTCTTTATGTCTATCTGTTCACACTAATCTTCGAAATGACTGAACCTGTGGCGATGAAACTTCTCGTCGTAGAAAACAATGCCAGGAATGATCAATAAATAATACATGGAGGCCTTTTTATGTGAAATCGAAAAACAGATGAGATAAATTGTTTTTATGATTATCTCATAAAAGACATTTAAAAAAGTTATCAAACAAAACCTTTGAAATATCACACAAAGGAGCTCCTTACATTGTATCTCTTAAAGTTTTGATGCAAAACCGATTTTTATCATTTTTTTTTACAACCAAACTATGAGTGTTAATTATAGATTAGATAAGATATTTTTACTTGAAATTAATAGATCTACAATTCTTGTTTTAAATATATCACACATTGTTTTCCAGATAATATAAATAAACGAACACTTTTATAAATTACCAAAAAACCACAATTAAAGATCTGCAGGTTTTATGTTTAAGTTCTGCGCGGACGAAGTCGCGGGTAAAAGCCAGCCACTTATAAAACTCATCTCTACAGTAGGAAAACATAACTGTCGATAATTCCGTGGTTTGATCTGGCGATGATACTGTTAGTCATCACAGAGTCAATTTTGGGGCGGCTTTGAAAAAGTACGCGATTGTTTAGGTGCTCGTCAGACTAGTAGTTAACTATCGCCTTTGCCAGTTTTTTTTTTTTGGTCGCAGTTCTTAGCTAAATATATTTTTAACATCTTAAATGTTTATTTGCCCTTAACTCGGCAAGATTCACTCCCGAACACAGAGCGCATTTAGTTTATACACTAAGTCAATGTTGTTAATTTATAAATGTATATCCTGGTTCCTATAGCGAGGTAGGATGCAATGTTCCTTTGGGCGACTGGCGCACTTCACTATGCGTGTGGGTGGAGCTGTGCGCACGCAGAGCCGAGCTGCCTGCACTATTAAAAGCGGCTGACGTACTTGTCACACTACCACCGCGCCAGAAGCGACTACCCGATAATAGGTATGTGCCTTTCTTTTCTAAATAATGTATAATTGAAAGTTATATATATGTAGTTATATATATATATATATATATATATATATATATATATATATATATAATATTATATATAGTAATATATGTACATATATATATATATATATATATATATATATATATATTTCTGAATTTTTGGTTTTTCATCATATTACTAGTATTCTAATGTAAGATACGTTATTGCGTATATGTAAAGAACATTTATTTCTTGTTACACAACAGTTATTAGTTATTATTGATAAAGGCAGAATACATATGTGTATATATATATATATATATATATATATATATATATATATATATTTTAATTTTTGTCGAGCGGTGGCGGTGTGTAAGGAAGGAAATCCACTACCCCATATCATATCGTGGGTGTCGTAAGAGGCTACATAGGGAATTTGAAACAGAAAATGGGCAGCATTTTCTATATAATAACATGATTTTTGATTTATGTTGTCATAAAATATTAGAAGTATATAGTAAGTAATAATAAAGTTTGAAATTTAAAATTAATAGTATAATTTTTCTTTTTTAAAAATAATCTTTTGATTTTAAGAATTATTCTGGAAGAATGTACCGCGCCACTTGGACCTTTTTTAAGACGCATGGCAAAAGTGACTGCCCCCATTCCGATTGTTAACAATGAAACTACGGCCGAGGTCAATTATACTGAATTATATTTAAAGTAAGTATTTGCAAAATAAGGGTTTATATTTTAAAACTAATATAATTAAAAAAAATCTAAATTCTGTTAATAACTTAATAAGCAGGAATTTAGTTAAAAAATTATATAATATTATATTATCCCATAAAATCTGCAAGCTTATATAGTTATACAATATCGGAGAATCGTTATCCTACATTTTAATATAAAAGGTTTTGTTAAAAAAATATATAGTGCTTAAATGTTTTCATCCTATGTAAGTTACAAGACGGCTGCTGTTTAAAATTATAAAACATAATTTATACATAGAATATTTATTAAATATTATATATTTCAGGGAACTTAATATACCTGCTGGTGATGGGTTAATGGAAGTAAGAAAGGCAGGTATTGCTTTGCTTTGTCACTTGGACAGGCTTGGTGCTCCTTTGCTGCCACCTCTAAAGGGATTTGTAACTGTGAGTTTGTTATGGTTTTTTATTTCAATCAGTCTATAATTATTGTAATCTATTTTCCTTTTCACTGCTACTACAAAACAAACAAACAAACAACCTCTCACCCTAAACGCATACACCTTCTCCGTTCCGTCGCGGGTAAAAAAGGAAACAATAATATTTAATGATATATTGCAAAAGTAAAAATACATCACATCAGTCAGTCCAATTTATCCGATAAAGTACATTATGTATTTATATAAAAATTGTTTTACTTTTATGTTCAACTCATTTCATTTGATAAATATTTTACCATTTTCAGTGTACTGAGTCAGCACAAGAAGTGGTGTCTATCGGTTCTGGTCCTCTTCAGTTAGGCAGTCTTAGGATTCAACAGATTGCATGTGCAGAAAAACTAGCACTTTTATTAACTCATGATGGTGCCGTCTACACATTGCCTTATGACACTATGACTCCTCATTTAGTACCAGGTATTTGAAACTTATTGATTGTACGAAATAGATACTTATATTTACGCGAATTTTCTTATGTTGAAGAAATCAATACATTTTATTTTATTTCATTATCCGCAATACACAACGGGTATTGTGGGGATACTAATTATCTGTTATGTTATATAGCTTAACACGAATATGATGCATGTTATCGCGTTTAATTTGAATTTATTTTTTAACTTGAGCGGAATGGAATCATACACTTTATTAAGTGTGAAAAAGTTTTGGTTTTTCGAGCGAGAATTTTAAATAATGTGCTGTTCATTACTTCACAATAATAAATGTTGGCATCTCATTAGAAACGTCAAATATTTTCCTGGAGATTAAATTATATGTTTTAAAAATCTCTATTAATAAAGTTACTTAAAAAAAATCCATCGATTAACAATTTATTTGAGTATTCAATATAAGCAAGAAGTATCTATTCCCGAGCGTCAAAATCGTGTCCACAGAATTAGTAATTAATTCTTGGGTTATTATAATATTAAGGAATTTATGAATGATAATAACCCTTGGGAATGAGGTGATAGCTACCAAGCTATTTCTAATTTGTTTTGTGTTGTTAATTATTGTGTAACTTTAATGATTGTAAACTGTTCTTTTTTATTTAAAAAAAATTCCCTCTGGGTTTCCTGCTAGTTCTTCCCAGGACAGAGGCATTCTACGAACCAGTAGTAAAACATAAGAGTGACTTTCAATAAGTATTATTTAAAATCTATATTGAATAAAAGAAGGTTCTATTTGTATTCGTGAAATATGATATTTTGTGGAACGTGGTCAGGATTGGAGAGTAAGACGATAACGCAAGTGGCGTGCCACCCCGCGGGCCGCCACTACCTGTGCTGCGGGTCGTGCGGCGGCGCGTGGTCGTGGGGCGCGGGCGACGACGGGCGGCTCGGCCACGGCGACACGGCGCCGCGCGACGCGCCCGCCGCGCTGCACCTCCTGGCGCACCACGAGGTGGTGCGCGTCGCCGCCGGGCCCGCCTGCAGGTACGCGCAACCTTTTTTTATTTGCTAACAGACTCGTACCGTTGTATTTTTGCCACTATCAAAGAAATTATCCTTTAAAATAATTTGTTTCAAAACATAATTTATAAATATGTCGATTTGTCACATTGCTTTTGCTAGATTTTAACGGCGGTTTGAGCCATCATACAGTCCATGATGATAATATCTCAAGACGCCTAAACAGACACATTATCTTAAAGTTCGCATCACCTTTAGAGCGCTTGTAACATGGTTTCCACTAATGGTTCACATTCGCATACCTTTACGAATATACAAAATAGCACCAGTTTTGCGCATTGAAATCTACTTCAAACCATTATTTAAAAAATAATATAGAAGAAGCAATCCGGCTCGTGTCTAGTTTCCGCCAAAACTCTGAAGTAAAGTTAACTTTGAAGGATTGCAACGACGATGCAGATGAAGATGTTGATGATGAAGGAGGGATTTAAGGTGCTGCTGGTATTATTTTTGTGATATTTTTATGTAATTTTACTATTACATATATGCAAAACATGTTGAATTTAAAACCTTTGGGCTACTTTTTTATTTTTGATATAGATCACCAACCTAAGCAAAAAGTATACCTGCGGAGTTTCTTATGCTATTTCTGCACTAGGAAGAGGTACCTCAATTTGAAACGGTATTAGACTAAAACACATAGATGTTTGACTAACAAAAATTTAATTTTTACGCCGTAAAATAAAGTTTTCAGCTAATTTAATTTCAGAAATATTTTTTATAAATAGGCACGTGCGCATTTTAACTTAAATTCCCCACTGTGCGCAGTAAGCTTTTCATATAAGCATAACGTAGCATATAACATGCCTCTAAATGGAGTGACAACCTTTACTTACTTCTTATAATCCAGTGCTATGTAGTGTATATGTAGATGAAGCTTACTCTGCTTCATATACATATACAGTCGGATTTATGGTCTTTAGTAGTTGTCCTGCCAGTGGGTTCAGCAGTAGACTCATGATGTATATTATTTATATTATGATATTTGGTTTTAAAGTTTATTTCGTTAACGCTTAAGTTTTATTCATTCACAGCGCTGTAATAACATCGCGTGGCGCTCTGTACACATGGGGTCGGGGCGCGCACGGCCGCCTTGGCCACGGCACTGTCGAGAACTGCCTCACGCCGCAACCCGTTTCCTTCAACGCGCACAACATCGAGCGCATTATCGACATTGCTTTAGGTACAGGAACTTTTATATATTCTCTATGGTCTATTGATACCTTATTTTATTAAACAGTGTTTGGTTTTAAAAAAATCATTCATTTTCATTTGATACGACTTAGGGATCTTCAAGAAAAGAGCCTACTCCTTTTTAAAAGGCCGGCAACGCATCTGCAATACCCTTCCTGGTGTTGCAGTTGTCTTATGGGCGGCGGTAGTCACTTACAATCAGGTGAGCCACATGCTCGTTTACCCCCTCTACTATAAAAAATAAATAAATAAAAAATTCATCATTCAATTTTCAAGAAAAGAGCTTAGCCTTCTTTAAAATAACTGCAATTTCCCTTCAGGTGAGCCATATACTTGTTTACCACCACTTATAAGAAAATGCTCAAACTCTAGGTACCACTATACCTACGAACTCGATGAAGCACTAAGCATACGTATTTAAAATTATTTAAAAGTTATATAGACCATCATGTCATGTCCCATATGACATAAGTTATTACAGACAGCAGCTAAGATCAACTTCACTATGTATATTACAGTTAAACAAGATGTGATGTACTTTAAATTATATAATATGTAAGATATGATTTTTTTATACAATAAGAGTGACAAACGGCCACAAAGTCCACCCCATGTTTAGCTGCACATGTGGCCTATACACGTCTACATGTATCCTCGATTAAGAATCAAAATGCAGATGCGTCGCCACTCCTGAGGTCTAAGATGGAATGCCTCGTTTCCAGTAAAAAGGGCCTGCGGTTTTCTACACTCATCATAAAAAATAAGCATTAAGCTACCATTTCACTCTGGTATTCTCTGTGAGCGTGGTCCTTCCCGGGTTGTGTCAACCCATTCGTGCTACAGCCACGATATAGCTACAGCGTGGCTCTACCACGTAAAAACACAGTTTATAATTGAAACGTTTTGTTAATTTTCGAAGGTTGGGGCGAGAGTCACACTCTGTGCTGCACGTTGGAAGGTGCTGTACAAGTATTCGGTGAGAACGAGGGAGGGGCTCCCCACGCATTGTCGTCTCTTTCGGTGTTCAGGGTCACTCGCGTTTACACTGGGGAACACTGGCACGCGGTGCTGACTGACAGGTAAAGTTGCATGATGATTTCTTGCCTTTTCAGTTCTATAAATTGCTAGTCATGGGCCTATACCGTGGTAGGAAAGGCTTCTTCACCTACTGTCCTTTTAGTAAGTTTTGCCACCTTTGCCGTATACTGACACGTAAGTATAAAAATATGCATATGTACGCCAAATTGATTGCTTGATTTTATTACCACTTAACACCTAATGGGATTATAGTCAAGCACTGGCTTAAAACCAACAGGTTTAAAAGAACAGGTTAAAAACCTCCTTTCAATACGTTAAAGACTAAAAAAGGTAGTATATACACAAATATTGAAATCTGCTAAGATTTGAAGAATGAAGCAAACCGTTTGGTTCGAATGTGTTTTATGCCGACAACAAAGAAGGAATGAGGGACTGGCTTTTTTGCGCCTGTACTCGAGATTAACAAGATTGGCTCTCATCAGACTGTGCCAGGAAGTAAGAAGTCTGTAATGTAGAACTGTTTATATATATATATATATATATATATATATATATATATATATATATATATATATATATATATATATATATATAATATACCCTTCCATTGAGCTCAAAGCTATCTAAAAACGTAAAATAGCGTACAAGATTGTGGCGAGCTCTCTACTATTTTTAGTTTTTATCAAACAAAATTATATAATAATAATTTATTTGATACAGACAACACTGATCCATTATATTAACATTTATTATTATTAAGATTTTAATAAATTTGACCACCTACTAAAAATTTCACTACATGCATAAATATTACAAATAATTTTGATGAGATTATTCTAATTATAAATTGCACGCGGGATAAACAACAAATGTTTCAATTTTTCTTTACAGTGGGCAAGTGTATACTTGGGGTAAAGGTGACGGCTATCGCCTTGGTCATGGTTCATTGGAATCTTTTAAGATTCCGAAGTTATTAGAAGGCCTTCAAGGTATATTTATAAGAAAATTTGTTGTATATTTGAAATAAAAATAAAGCACATTTTACACAACAAAACATTATTTGTAATGTATATTTTTGTAACAGGTGTAAAAGTGGTTGACCTGTCCTTGGGTGCGTCGCACGGTATTGCCTTAACTTCTGAAGGCGCACTATACGCTTGGGGAACACACGAACGAGCTCAAATATCGAAACCAGTACCTCAGTTGTTGCAAGTTTTTAACTCTTCTTTTAAAGCAAACGGTAAGATATAAAGTGATATTTCAAAGGAAAGAGTTCGTAAAAGATTTACTTAATTTTATATGAACACTTTTATTTTTACAGGCTCCTCGAGCTCACCGACACAAATATTTGCGTGGAGTGAAGAGAACCCTAGGGATTTGCCATCTTCGATGCCATTCGTTATTGATTTATCTGAAAACACATTTCTGTACGTAAACATTATATTGGACATATATCTAAAATAACATACAAGAAAACCTAAGTAGTGTGAAAATATGACTTTTCAAAGTGATATTTTTGATTGCAGATATTTAGAAAGACTCTTGAGAATTGCGGTGGATCAAAGCAGTACGGCGACTATAAAAGAGAACGAGTGCTTAGCAATATCTTGTCTTAATTTACTGAGATTGCAAGTGAGTAGAAGTTGCATTCAAATTTAATGAGAGCATTCCACTATTTTTCCGCCGCCAGGGCGGCGCTACTTTGGAAAAAGTTGAAATATTTGACAGAATTCATAGCGGAGAAGTTAATTTGTAAGGAAAATGTAGGGGTTAATGTTTCTGTAATATTAGCTATATTTTATATTAATTAGATTAGAAATTAGTAAACCAAAGAATATAAATTTAAAATTAAATAAATTCATATAGTAAAATATAAAATGATACATTTTATTTTACTCTATGAATAATTTTGATCGAATTATAAGCTGTTATTGAAACAAATATGTTAATATTATGTATGTAGGTATATTTGTACCATGAGAACAATGATTGTATTGGTATGATTATTCACTACCATCCAGGGACCCACTAAAACCCTTAAAAAAATTTCATCAAAATCGTAAGAGCCGTTTTCGAGTTTTAGCCAGATTAACGGATAGCAATTGATGTTTATATATAAATATTATCTTTAATGTATATAACATAGAACCATTACTAATGTAATATGCTTTATTCTTTTGCCAGATTAACTTCATTTCGATTTTCGTTCGAAAATCAAAATAAATTTAATTTCGAAGTCAAAGATAATATTATGTAGGTAATTTGATTTAATTGAACACAAAGTAAAATGAAAACGCACGTAGGTGCACGCGTGGCAGTGTTCGCGTGGCGCGGAGAGCGCGGCGGGCGAGGGGGCGGGTGCGAGCGCGGGCGGGGAGAGGCGCGCGTGGTGCGGCGGCGTGCACGGCGCGCTGGTGGCGCTGGCGGAGGGGCGCGCGGGCGCGGGCGCCGCGGCCGCCGCGCGCCGCGCGCTCGCCGCCGCCTGGCCGCTGCTGCTGCCCACGCCGCAGCTGCGCGCGCACCACCTCATCGCACTGCTGCCGCACGGTCAGTCCAGCCCTTACCTCCTCCTCCCTTCAGCTGTCTGCTTTCATACCATCTTTCTGCCACCGGGGGCCATGACTTTTACTACCACGCCACTAGGGCGGCGCCACTTTGGAATGAAATTTTAATTTGTTAGAAATTTCATGACGGGAAAAGTTAATTTGTTAGAAAAAAATATTAAGGTGGATGCTCATCGGAGCATCCACCTGCCGTCGCTATTGATCCCGCCCATACATTTTTGCCTGGACATATACGCTAAACACAGACACTAATTGTCTAGAACTAATCATTTTATCACTTTTCGACACTGAAATGTGCGCGCGGTTGACCTTTTTAGGAAAGAACTTACAGTATAAAATAAGAAAAACAATATGAAATCAAGGAAAATTTTGACACTTCCTTTAGCAGGTGGGTGACTTTTGAAAAGTGACAAGCAAAAGCGTCAAAAACATAGTTTAGGCATTGGTACGCTAGATGGCGTGTAGACGACGTTTAACAGTGGTAGAGCCACGCGGCAGCTTTTGCTGTCGCACGGATGGGCCGGCTTGAACCGAGGTGGTACCACGACCTCACAGAAAACCAGCGTGAAGTAGAGGTTTACCTCTGCGTTTCGCTTGGTGAGTGCAGGTGGCCGGAGGCCCTTTTTACTGGAAATGAGGCATTCCATCGTAGTCCTCACGGGTGACAACGCATCTACATTTTGATTTATAATAGAGGATAGATGTAGATGTCTATGGGTCGCAGCAACCACCAGGTGGACTGTGTGCTCGTTTGTCATCCTTATCCTATAAAAAAAGACGATATTGTTCAACGATGCCGTACTTCCTAACCTTGAACTACATGCATTAGCGATGGACGATTGTTGCAAAAAAAAAACAATAGACTGAATCGAAAATTGTGCTGTTGCGCATTCGATTATCGATTTAGTAGTTTCTCATTATGATTATTCGAAGAACAATAGTTTCATTATATAAAATTTTTTTCTAAATTTCATATAAAAATCATAATATAATGTAAATATTGAATTAATAAACTTTTAAATACGCTTAGCTTAATAAGACTTTTTAATACTAGAGAGTCCTGTACCTAATCCAGTATGAAGAAATATTTATTGAATTAAAATTTCATGCGTAAAAACAATAAAATTATCATCAAAAATTTAAAAATAAAAAGTCAATACAAAAATAAGTAATAATTTAAACTGTTAACTTTATCTGAAAAAAAAAATTAACAAGCAAGTTTTAACAAATAAATAAATTTAACTATTAACGCCTTGTATAGAATGGATGTTCCCTCAATCGATGGTTTGATCACAATACAAAACAGAAAATTGAATAATTTATTGGCGCCAAGCGCGTACCTAATAACTACAGTCGTAACATAAGTAGTGGCTTAGCGCAAGCGCACCGCACGCCCGCCGCACCATCTTTTGTAACTACTTCTCTTCTTTTCTTACGCATAATGGCTGCGCTGCGCTACAAATTAGTAGTTAAAGTTGACGCGGTAACCGTGTCAGTCATTGTCCCCGCTGCACGACATCGCTAACAATCGACTAACATGGATTGTTATAGATTGTTGTCGACTAAACTGAACAATCGACTAATTCGATTAGTTTTAGTAATGATTATTACCATCGTTAACATACACTATGTTGGAAGAAGAAAAAGCGTTGTCAAACTCTCGCGTTCGCTTGTTTGACTGTAAAAAATACATTCTAAAGTAATTCTAGATTGTCACGCGATAGGATTTGCGCGCGGAATTTCTTGCGTGTTATATAATTTTGTATGATTTTCATTGATTCAATTTGCAATATTTCTAGTATGTATTTAGAATAGAATAGAATGATGTTTTATTCAATATTGATTATTAGATTATTACATAATACTTATTGGAAGTAATTTTTTTCATTAATCTCTATATATAAAGATTACGTGTCACATTGTTTGTCTGCGATGAACTCCTAAACTACTGAACTGATTTCAATGTAATTTTGCACACTATGTGCAGTTTGGTCCAACTTGAGAGATAGGATAGTTTTTATCCCGATAAGTGACCCCTAACATTTTTTATTAGGAATTTAAGGATTTTTTTTACTGTAGAAAGGGCCATCTCAGGAAAGGGCAGAACAACGTCTGCCTGCCTGGTCATCTAGTTTTTTATATAATAGAATATATTGTAATTTATTAATATTTTAGTAATTAATTATTCAAAATACGCCGTTTTAGTTTCAGTGGTTTTAGGAACAGCAAGTTGGCTCGTGATTTCAAATCTCGTCACAATACTAATTACCTACGTCATACGTGTCGGTGTTGAGTACAAAAGTACAAAGTCAGTTTTTAATATTTGAATTTGTTTGAATATTTTTTTGGTCAACAATAAATAAAATTATAAATTGGTTAGCCACCAAAGTAGTCACAAAATTAATTTTAAAACCCGGCAAAATATAGTTTTGCCGGGTTACGTAAAAAATATTTATTACGCATATTGCAAAGAAGTTCAGACAGACACACATTATTATTAGTTTGTTTTATTTTGTTGTAGTACCAAGCTCACAGAGTACTTTTTATATACACCAAGCTCAAGATTGCGTCGTATCGTTTGCTACGGTCCTGGATTTTTTTAGTTAATTGGTCCTTGGATAACAGATGAAAATAATGGTTATGTATTTATTATTAATTTTGTTTTATTATGATTATTAGACTAATAATATTATTTATTTATTAAAAAAATATTTAATCAGAAAAATAATAATAAATATTAAACTATATAAAAATAGAATAGAAATAAATGTAAGTATAATGTTTAAAAATTGGTAATAATGTTTAAAAATTGGTAATAATGTTTACGACCCGTAGTGGCTCAGGTAGTTAGCGTTCGCTGTAAATTTCACAGTATGCGAACAACCCAGACTTGATTCCTGCCGGCACCAATGATATTTGAGTGCTTTGAAATTAGGAAATATTTTTCACCTTCCTGGCTATTATCGCATACTAAATCGTGTTTTCGATTTGTTGTTATCTCTTGTTTATGAATAGTTTCTTACGTGTTATGTAATGTCAAATTTTTGTAATAATTGGATAGGTTGCAAATCATCAGTGTTATAAGTATTGAGTGAATAGACATGTATCTTGGTGTGTTATTTCAAATACTTGTTTTGATTAATAATTTCAATAATGTAAGGTAATAAAATAAACTGCCTTTTATTGTTCTTAGTGTTGACATAATTTATTTCCCAAAATTGTTATTGAATTAAATTGGCGTACAAATACGCCTACAAATATAACTTTTATTTTTATAACATAATCGTAAAATACTGGTATTCAGCTGAATCCGGTTTAAATGGGAGCCGACCCCAATATAGTGGAGAAAAGGCTGGGTAGATGAGTCTTACATGATATATATCCTAGCAGGTGGCGTTTTGTAGTTTTGCCAACCCATACAGAAAAAAGATAAACATTTTTTTTCATTCACGTCATCTAGGGTTCAATCTTTGTAAACGTAAGGACTAGGAATTCACCCACGTCTGTGTGTAAACGACACTATATTCAATGACAGATTTTATTTTATGCCTCCTCTACACTACTCGCGAAGTGAATTTAATGAAGTATTCGTCGAAGTTGAACGCAGTCCGAAGAACGTGACGACACACTCTTGCTATTTTCACGATGAGCTCGGTCGTCGTGAGTCGCCCGCACCCTTAACATGAATAACGTTCAAGAGGCAACTGCTATAGGTACCTAATTGTGTGAACAGTACCACATCAATTCGTTAACCATTCCCCTAGTGTTGCTGTTGTTCATGGGCGGCGGTAGTCACTTACCATCAGGTGACCTGCATGCTCGTTTGCCCCCTCTCCTATAAAAAAATAATAATCTGCGTAACAAATAAGTTCATCTTAATCCCAACTAGCGACATCTGGTGAGAGACAAACTGGGCAATGTGACGGCACGCAGAGTTTTGTAGGTGTTTTATCGCACGATACGGCTTCACAAATTATACATTAGTTATTTTTTATACATACATACATACATAAACACTCACGCCTGTCACCCAGAGGGGTAGGCAGAGACTACGGACTTCCATTTGGCGCGATCCTGACACACCTCTCTCGCCTCTTTTACATCCATATATCTACGCATACACGCTCGTCGGTTAAGGGTACTCCTAATCTGTATAATAATCTATATCACTATAAAAACTTTTCTGCACTTATCGTTCGGTGTAACGTTATAATTTTAATCTATTTTCTATGACATTATAATATCAAAATAGATTGAGTGTGCAAACCAACAGCAACCTTATTTCTATGTAACACTGGGTAGGTTTGACCGCAGAATACTCTACTTTGCTTCTTTAAGCGGAATAAATACAATGGACATAATATTAACAAGATAGCTAGTTGAATGACTTAATTTTTGAACACATCATCTACATCGAACTTTCTACTACAAAAACGAGCGGCGGTATCAAATTCTACCCTCACATCTATTTATCGCTTTTTATATTTTACCCTATATCTTCGATATATAAAATGAACAGGATCAGCGCCAGCCAGTGCTGGTGCGAGGTTCATGACGGAACTGCTGGTGTGGTCTCTACTTGGAGGCGGAGGCCTCCGCGACGCGTTGAAGAACGCGCTACAAGCGCATTCCACTGACACCTACAATCACTTGCAGCTTGACGAGTATGTACTGTTTACTCAATAATGATGAAACTTAATGTATGATGTTATTGACTAGTAAATAAATATGCTATTTTTATTTACGGTATTGAAATAAACAATTATTTAATTATTATTGCCATTATAAAGGGCCTTAACCATTACGTTATTTTCTTCAACACAAATAAGCTCAATAACGCTTTACACATGTTCCTTCTAAGTCTTATGTTACGTTATTGATGCATGTTTTATATAGCCAGTTGCTTTTCATTGTAGTGAATATGATCAAGTTGACATTGTAACGGGTCAACGAGGTTCTCAGTCGTCTGCCAGTGCTGACAATGTTGACGCAGTACAAGGTAAATGTTTTAATAGTAAATAATTAAATATAAATTATTAGTTAGAATCATACAGTTATTTATATCCTCAGTAAGAACAGTTTTAATTAATCTTAATTTTTATTACTATAGGGGGTTGCACGGAAGAGTACCAAATTGATAATGCAACATCTTCTGAAAATGGCGCTTCTGTTCCCTTAATGCACTTGGTATGTAATATCAAATTATTTTTATAAAATTACCAATTAAAATTTTAAATATTACAAATTGTCCATTAAAATACAATTTTAATTAGTTAACATATAAAAGCACCAAAAATCGCTATGAGAATTTTGTAAAGATAAACATAAACCAAGGATCGGGTTTAGTGTCACGCCTTGGGAGAGGTCTATGTCAAGCAGTGGACTGCCGCGGGCTGATGATAATGAAACATAATAGGAAAAATATGCATTATGGTGGCGAGGAAAGAGAAGCTGTTTCCCTATCTGTCAGAATCAGTGCCTCTGTAAATCCATATATACGGTAACTACCATAGATGCCCGATCATTTGGTCAGATCTACAGCCATGTATTACCATTTCATCACGTCATTTTATTAAATTCATAAAATAAATCTAAGCAATTCTTGGACATATTGTACTGCGTGTCGTTTATATTGTTTTGAGAACTATGTTTCCTAGGACCAAGCATTTGTTCCTAGGCTGGCACAATATGATATGGCAACCGTCAGTACTTGTTGAGAGAAATAAATAATAGCTTAAAAAAATTAAAATAAAAACACAAAAACACGCTTTTGTAGACAATCGAACTAAAAAAAGTAGAAAATAATTTTCACTAAGTTTAAAATAAAAAAATAAAACATGAAGAATTCATTTTATTGTAAAAAAAGCGTGAGGTGCTTGTTACGGCCTACAGCTGCCTAAATAAGAGTAGAATCTTTCGGGCCCATAGCGGAAGACCTGCGCAAATACAATACTCTTTAGTTCAAATACAAATTACAATACAAACGAAGATGCACATCACGGCCGATCAACAAAAAATGCCTAGCTCGGAAATCGACCCTTCGATAAGCAATCCACTACAACTATCCGACAACGATAATTAACCGATTATGTGATAATAACCATCTACCTACATGACGTATACCTCTAGAAAAACTCCCGCTTGCGCACTAAACGGGCGCGGCTTTTCAAATCTACCCGCTAACCAAATAAGCAAGCAACAAAGGAAAATAATTTTATTATTACGTACAAAAAAATATTTTTACGTATTACGAACGGGCGTGATTGTAGACACAAAATTAAACCAATCAAACCAACGCTCCCTGCCACCAGAATTGTTTAATTTTTATCAAACACTATGGTCGGGATCGATCGGGGAATCGAACCCGGAACCACGCTCTGCTACCAGATTGTTACGGCCTACAGCTGCCTAAATAAGAGTAGAATCTTCCGGGCCCATAGCGGAAGACCTTACAAGCGGATGCAGGTCGGGCCTCCTAAGGCCAAAGTGGAAAATCTCTAATAACAATAAAGGGCGTTCGATCTTGCTGCTATTCAACAGGGAGAATATTAAACCGAGCTTACTTACCTATATCCAAGGCGACTGGTCCCTCAGGATTCGGTCAGGTCGCATGTGGTTGTGTGGTGCAAGGGAAGTAAGGTGCTGTGAAGTGTATCTGGGTGTGACTGGTGGTGATTGACCTTATTAGAACGTTGCCGTCGGCAGCAGCCCGGACGCCACCACCGCTCCAAATTCAGGTAACCTTCCGCGGCGCCGTCCACAGTCACTTTCTTCGTTCGTCACGATGATAGTCCATTAACTCTATCGTACGATTAACTAAATTAAAGAAGCCACTAACTCTCATTTGTTATAAAGCTTAACACATAAAACGAACACGGAGTGTCGGTCTATATGAAATCCCGTTACTATAAGCAAAAACGTAACACACCGCCCGAATACGAATGTCCGGATCAAAGTTCACTACTGCTTCGCGTGGCAACAATTATTTCTAAAATAGTAGTTAACATTGTCGAATGCACTTATACAGATTCTGAGTCAGACACAATGAGTTCCGGGTGAAGCTCTCAAGCAAGGAATGCGCGTTAAAAATCCCAGACAGTATATTTACTAGACGCGCCTAAATTATTTATTAGAGTTCCCGACAAAAAATGACAGCGTGCTGTCCCAAGCACAGCTGGCAGACGACTCCTATTTGCCCTCGCGCGTTCTACGCACGACCGAACGTCAAACCGGTATCGCCGAGCCGCGCGCCCTCTGACGTCAATCCCGAAATCAGCGTTCGGGCGTAAACAGTGCTTTTTCAGATATTTTTATGGTGAGGCTAATTTTACAAATATCCACAAAAATATTTACAACAAATGACATCAAGCACCCCACGCTCTTTTACAATAAAATGATTTTAATTTTAATCCCTATTTACTTATTTTAAACTTATTGAAATTTATTTTCTACTTTTTTATTTCGGTTGTCTACAAAAACGTGTTTTTTGTAAATTTTTTTAAACTATTATTTTTTTTTTCTATTTTTTAGTGCGGCTAACTAAAAAGCGTATTTTTTTGGAACTAAGTTCTTTTACGCGTCTTACAGTAGATTAAACTGGCAGAAATCGTAGTTGTTTTATGAATGATTCGCAAATCCTGAGTACCATGGCAAGAATAATGGGACAAACTATTTAAATTATTGCATTGTCATCAGTCCTTGATAAGAGTGCGAAGTTACAAATCAATCCGACGTTTTAAAGGGCATGAAAATCACATTCAAAATTCCGTTACATAGATACATACCAATTCAAATTTAATTTAATCACTAGCATTTAACCTTTATGCGCGGATAAAAACCTATCAATATTAATCCAAACAAAAACATTTAAGTGAAAACGAGTCTTATGTTTTTTTTTATAACATAAGGGTGACAAACGAGCACACAGTTCACCTGATTGTAAGTGGTTGCTGTGGCCCATAGACATCTACATCTATCCTCGATTACGAATCAAAATGCAGATGCGTTGTCACCGGTGAGGACTAAGATGGAATGCTTTGTTTTCAGTAAAAAGGGCCTCGGGTTCTCTATACTCACCATAAGAAACAGCAGCGTTAAGCTAATATTTTACGCTGGTATTCTGTAAGAGCGTGGTCCATCCCTGGTCTAGCCGACCCATTCGTGCTACAACTATTCCAGATATATAGATGCAGCATGGTTTTACCATGTATACACAAAAAATAGCTTCAGGCTGGTACTTGTGAGCGGTAGGTCTTTATTTATTTGTTGGGCTGAGATTGCTGGGTTTCGTGCTGGTTCTTCCTAGGACAGGTTATTCCGAACTAGTAGTAAAAGTAAAAAATGGCTTTCAATAAGGAATACTTGTAGTCTATATTGGATAATGAAATATTATATTCTCTTATTCAGTTCTTTTTTCTTTCCCAGGTGAAGCATCTTATCCGCAACACGACCTGCCAAACGCAAATGCATATAAATGCAATAATCAATGGCGAAACCAGCAAAACAGACGATCCTAAAGCGCACGATACAGTGAGCCCTAGTTGTGATCTGCTCATAAGGTTTCAGAGGTATACATGTAATATCTATATAATAAAAGCAATGATACTGTATTCACTCGCAATTATATTATAAAATATAGATGGAAACTTATATATACATTTTATTTCAACAAGTCAAGATCTTGTGGTTAGTTATTTTAAAATATTGGCGTGATAAACGCTGTCTACTTCATGGTGATAATTGTCTTGTTCAGTGCAGTAGGTGTATCTTTGTTTTACATTGGCTTTTTTTATGACAGATGATGATACATTTAAATGATTTTTTTGCAGCTCAAATAATTTTTTTATTACTACTAGTAATAACCAAAAAAAAAATTCGACTACTACTAGTAATAACTTACTTAGTAGTAGTCGAACTTTAATTTTTTTACATATAGGTATTTATTATATTAGACATTGTTACACTTTCTTTACTGCTTCCGATGATTGTTTATGTGCGCAGTAGGGTTTTTTTAGTGCAAGTGCTAAGCGCTCGTCGTAAGTTTCACATTACTCAAATAACACGGGATAACCGCTGGCACCAATGAAATGGTTACTTGCAGTTTTAAGTGTTGATTTCGATAAATTTAGATGAAGCCTGCACATCTGAAAAATTAAAATAAATATTTCGAAGACAAGTGAAGCCCCCAAGGGAGTGTCCGGCGTGTGTGTGCCAACACACACACGCCGGACACTCCCTTGTCCTAAAACCCTCATAAATGAGAGGAGCCCTGTGGCAGCTATAGGACGTTTATATTTATAGGCCTTAACTTTGCGTATACGATAATCCATTTGCGGTCAACTTCCCTTCAATAAAAATCGGGGTGTGGTTGTGTACGTATACGTAACAAAATGACCTCCAAATGGCAGCGCTCCCCTCTGCCGTGCATGATTCGTCACAGTTCTCACTCAAAGTAACAAATTCTTTGGTCCTTTAGCTATCGAGTGGTGTAATTAAACTTTGGATGTAGATGATAGATACGTCGCTGCATCACCAAACTGTATCCCCCGATTTTGTTATTTCCAGTTTTCGGAATTGCCCCCCACTATGGGAACAAATTTAACGACATATTCATGTCAAAAAAGCCCTGTCACTAGATCACTCGATGAATTATGTGTTGATGGCGATACGCGTTCCAGGCTGTTGTTTTGCGAAGCGATGTGGTCACGAGGAGGGCGGAGCACTCGAGGTGGAGTGCGGGCGCTGCTCACACAGTACAGTACGCTGCTGGCCGAGCACGTGGAAGCCACGCTCGACTCCTTTACACGCGCGCTTCACAGGGCCGATAGCGACCAGATGGTAGCCTTGTGCGATGTCATCAATTCTGATATTATAGGTCTGTTTTGGTTACTCTTTCATATATTAATACTATTTAAGATTGTATTTATATTCGTATTGGTGATAAATTGAGAGGTTTAAAAACATAAAAATAATAATTTTAATCACAAATACTCTCGGTGTGACATTTTTCGCTTACAAAACTTTATTAATGGTTAGCTAAGTAACGGGGAATCTTTGGTGAATTATTCAATTATAATAACAATCAAAGAGTGGTGCCTATGGAGCGTTAGGGTAGGCAATGTGGGATTAAAATGCTACTGGTTTAAAGAGAAGAACCACGTATCTTCATAGACCAGCAGAATTTCTTGCAATTTTTCTATTACTCGATGCAGGCGGGGTTTTTTTTTTTGTATTTCACAATAACACAACACGGTACTCAAAATTAGCATATTGTGTTTGAGCTTTAAGCGAGATTTTTATTTTAAATTATTTGTTTAGCGAGAGCGGCATGACACTCGCGTTCCTGGAGTTTATTCGTTTTTTTTTAGTTATAGTATATTGTTGGCGTCGTTTATCTTCGTAAGATCCGTTGCGTTCCATTCTTCTTCAGGTGAAGATGAGGAATTAAGGAAATCAAGGATAAGAATATAATATGGAAATATATATACTTGGGCTTATAAAGGTATACATCATAGCGTTTTCTCGTCAACAAGGAGAAACGAAACACAGACGCACAGTTTATTTTAAAATTTGCTTAAAATATTTAAAGAATTTGCAGCAGTGTTTGTTTTGATAAGTTTCTGTTCGTTTCAAAGTCAAAGTCAAGACCATAGATTAATGATAAGTCATCGCGCGCTCTGACTAGATACCGCGCTACCTGCATGTAACAGCTCCGTGAATGCAGCATCTCAATATTGTAGTATGTATAAGACAATTGCAAGGATGCTAGTGTGCGTGAAAAATTGTATATGCCAGTAGCTTAACTATTACCCGATTAACGGGAAAATTTATTTTATGCTATGGCTTAGTAGTTGAGGTCATAGTTATGAATGTATTCGAGAAATACTTATAATGAATAGTTTATTAATAACGAACGTATCAATATATTTCTGTATATTATGCATACGTGTTTTTCAAAGTAAATAACATATTTAAATGATAAGGCCTAATTTTTATCAGTTTAATTTTTTTATTTACATATCTAACTAATATTCACATATTATTTAAAAAAAATAGTGATATATATGATGTAACTAAAATAGTGTTTTCTATTTCTATTCTACGCGTCAATATGTACAACTTTTATTATAGATAGACGGAAATTAGGTCATTTGAGTAATACTACAGAAATAAACATTAAATAATATAAAATTAGGTTATAAATATATTATATTACAAAATATAGTAACAATAAATTTGCATATAAAAATCTCAGCCACGGGGAACTTTATTTTTGTATACGTGACAACACTGAATGGCGTCATTCTTATTTTGTGACTTATTTATGGCTCGTGTTATTTTATGTTGAAATTTGGAAATTGTATGATAGTTACTGATAGTATGTGATCCCAGGGTCTTTCTTATTTCTTTTACTATTATTTTTACACAGTTTCACTACGTAAACTGGTATTTTACTTCAGATTATGATCAAAATTTAATAAAACATTCAGTACGTTCACCTCACACGTTGCCTGCAACGCGACTGGCTTGGGTACGCCGACTTCGGCGTAGTATTTGATGCCGCATTTTACAAGAGCGCCGGCGGTATCTAGTCAGAGCGCGCGATGACTTATCATTAATCTATGGTCAAGATAAATTTGTTTAAAGTTCTTGTGAATGTCAAAATCTACACCGGTTCGCAACTCGTTAGATTATGTACGACGTAATATATTTATTGTAAACTTTTTTGTATACTGTACAAGTACGCCGCTATGGTGTCATCGGACTTATGTTGTTATGCACGAGTCGGCGTCGTTTTAATTACTAAAGTAAACGTAGGGCTGGTTGTATTGAGTGATATTGTTCGTTGGTGTGTGCAGGGCGCGTGGTGAGCGAGGCGTGCGCGTGGGTGTGCTCGACGGCGGCGCGGGCGAGCTGCGCGCTGCTGGAGTGCGCGGCGCCGCTGGCGGGCGTGGCGCGCGCCTGCGACCGCGCCGCGCGCGCGCTGCCCGCCGCCGCGCGCCTCGACGCCGACCTGCTCGCCTGGCCCGGCCTGCTCGCGCGCAAGCCCCGCCGCACCACCACCCTCCTGCGCAAGTCAGTAAACGCTGCACAATACGCGCATACGCGGTAGAGCCATGCTGCAGCTATATTAGTAGTATAGTTGTAGTAAAAATGAGTCGGCTCCACCGGGGAAGGACCTCACTCTCACAGAATACCAGCGTAAAATAGTAGCTTAACTCTGCTGTTTCGTATGGTCAGTGTAGAGAACCAGAGACCCTTTTTACTGGAAAAGAGCCATTCCATCTTAGTCCTCCCAGGTGACAACGCATCTGCATTTTGATTCGCAAATGAGGATAAATGTAGATGTCTATAGGCCACAACTACTTAACATCAGGTGGACTGTGAGCTCATTTGTCACCCTAACCTATAAAAAAAACCACGCCTAAAAATCCATCCTACTATGAGAGAAGCCCATAATAATGTCCTCCATACTGAGTTTCGGTCACCGCGGCCAGGTTCACCATAGACTAGCTATCTGCGCAGGACAGGACTATTGTGCACTAGTATGTGCGCAAACACAGGTGCACTCTCTATTCCCTCGCTGGCATAGTCCAATTGGATGGAAATTTGAAACGACCGGAGAGAGATCAGTCGCAGTACACATATAACACTTTTTTAATTCTTAAAATGACACAGCTAGGAACACAGTACAGACAGATACATCTAAGTTATTTAAATGAAAACATTATGACAAATGACGGCAACGCACCTGCAATTCCCCTGGTATCGCAGTAGTTTAGTTAGGGGCGGTAGTCGACATCAGGTGAATGAGCCGCATGCTCGTTTATCCACTCTTCTATAAAACTTATTTTATGTTGCTATGATGTTCTGAGCAGACGTAGCAATGTGTAAGTTGCGTCTAATTCCAACACTGAACTGAATTGGATATCCCATAGACTTAGAATATACTGACGTATAGACAGGCATGGTGTGCAAGGGAGAAGAAAATTCCCTATGTCAAAAATGCAAAATGGAAAAGGATACCAAATCTCATAAATCTGTAACCGATTTTGAATGACAGGTCAGCACAAGTCGGCACGCAAGAAATAAGCTACTAGGTATTTTGTAATTTTTTAGAGTATAATTATGCTCAATATTTCAAATAATTGTTTTCCACAATGTTTATACTTGTTCTGTGAATGACTGTGGTGTTAATAATAGAAATAATCCTGATAATTGCATATTTCACACGTAAATTCGCAAGACGTCGTTACTGCTGTGACGCGTCTATTTTTGGTTAAAATTTATGTTATATACTGTTTAAAATATAGAATATTTTCAATTATTTAATTAATTTTGATATTTTGCAAAGCAAAAAGTCACGTTGTTAATAATTTGTATAATTTTGGTGAATACATTTTTAAACAAAATATTTTACATGTACACTAGGGATTGACTCAACTATATCGAAATTAATGTCGATATTTATCTTGAATGTTTATAAAGAATCGATAAGCTTGCCCACGCAACAAAAAGAAGAATAAAATTAAATGCTTTATTTTGCCGTTTGTCAAACAGATTCCTTTTGGATCCTTTAGGTAGAAAAAAAATGGTGGACATTAATTGGGCGGGTTGGTTGGAATTCAAAGAAGAACTCTACAATTTGTAGTAAACATTTTCTTGAGAAATGTGTTGTTCACACGTGTATGTACAATTGAAGGAGCACCAATAAAACAATTAATATATAGAAATCGAGACGGCTGGTAGTATACTTAAGCGAAATTAGACATTTCGCTTAAGTAACCTTATGGAATATAAGCTCGGGAGGAAAATTGTGTAGGAGGCCATAATTTTATTAGGAAGGCAAGAGTAGAATAAATCAGGCAGAAGTCGGTTCTTCATAGCTTGCTCACTGTGTTTCTAAGGGCAAAATTCTGCATGTTGTGGCTGAGCGAAACATATTATTTAATATAATCCATAGAAGTGTATTGCAGTAGTGTGTTCTGCAAGTTTAAAGTTCAAAACCCGAGTGGAGCTGCGTTTAAAAGCTAGTAGCATATGAACTCATACTTTTATGTAATAATATGTCTACACATTTTTCGTTAAAACATACATTCGTGAATACAAAGTCATCAAAATCCAGTAAATAAAAGTGAAAAATTCACACTATTATTAACCTTTAAAATGTTATCTATAAATTCAGATGCGACATACAGAACCACATAAAGGAGGGTGGCTCTTGGATAGTGGTGACTGGTCACGTGTACGACGTGGAAAATTTCGAATGTGAGAACGCCAGCACTGTAGAGCTGGTGCGAAAGCTGCGCGGTTCTGACGCTACTGCGGCGCTAAGCGAGGAGCCACACGCCGCGTTTCTATCCAGTATCACCGAGAAGTGCGTCGGGTTATATGCTGATCAGATCTATAGCCACCGGTGTCAAGTAAGTCAACGAGTTACTTACTAATGATGGTGGTAGCTTTTTTTTAATAATTATTAAAAATTCTATGTAATTTTTTCATTAATTCCAGCCTAACAGTCTACTGGTGAACGTAGGCTTCTCACATACATTGTCTGATAAGGGGAATATTATCCATAATAGCAGTACTTGACAAGCGGATATGCAAGCGCAGTTTATTATTTTGTGTGTATAAGGATATCCACTACTCGTACATATATCGTTCTGTTAGTGTCGTAAGAGGTGACAAAGGGAAACTGAAACGAGATAGACGGCAGTATCTTGATAAAAACTTAAAATAATAAAAAACTGCGGTTACTAACCTACCTGCCAAGCGTGGCAACTATGGCAAAATGCCCTCTATCAAGCAATCTGTGAGGGAGGCCTATAATCAGCTGTGAACTTTTAAAGGCTGTAATGGATGGATGGATGATTTTTTAGAATTAGAGCTTTGCTTATCCTTTATACAATAACAATGTTGACATTTGTGTGTGACATTTGTTTTTTATATACATAAAATATGTACAGTAATTATACATACAGTCCACCTGATAGTAAGTGGATGCTATGGCCCATAGACATCTACATCTAAACTTGATTATAAATCAAAATTGAGATAAGTTATCACCTCTGAGGACTAAGATGGAATACCTCCTTACCAAAAAGAAGGGTCTCTTGTTCTCTACACTCACCATACGAAATACGGTAGCATTGAGCTGCTATTTTGCGATGGTATTCTGTGAAAGCGTGTTCCTACCCCGGTCGAGCCGATCCATTGGTGGTATAACCATAATATAGCTGCAGCCTGGCTCTAGCACGTACACAAGTAAACATTGGTGCAGGAGAGCACGTCGAGCCTGCGCGCGCTGCACGTGCTGTCGTCGTGCGCGTTCAACTTGGCGCTGGGCCTGGCGCAGTGCGGCGCGCGGCTCGCGCGCTCGCTGCCCGACCAGCAAGCCGAGCGCGACGCGGCCGCCTACGCCACCGCTGTCTTCCTTAGAGGCGGCTTGAAAGTGGGTATTCTGCTTCATTGCATTTTTGTTCATTTTAATTAGCCCACCACAGTCATCTATTGGACGTGGTCCTACGAGTGCTACGAGACGTCTCGCACCTTTGACATTGCCATGTAACACCATACAATAAGTACGGGTTATTCTTCTTTATCAGCCTTTTGAATTTACTTCTGGATTAAAGCCGTTTTTTCAAGAAGGTACCAAATGGCATAATAAATAAAACGATTCGATTTATTGACATTGGTTGATTACTAAAATATTAGTAAAAAATCGTCCTATGATGGTGTCGTAGAATCCACAGTCCTAATTCGCCTTTGAGTGCCGTCAATTTTACGGTCGCAGATAATATTCTTGGACTAAAACGTAAAACTAAGAATTAAATAACTAGTACTGTGTTCGCTTATCTGCCAACCAAGCGTGACGATAAGTTGTATTAGCAAACCCTCCTTAAAATAGGAGAATTTCTAATAAAACTATGTTGATGGATTTCATCGGGTTTAATTTTACTTATTTTTAATTTCCGACGTTTCGGGTGTTTTTTTTTTTACAGCAACCATGGTCACATAGTTAATCGGAGTGCATACTTTCAGCTTTTTAAATTATAACTTTTGGTCCGATCTACGCAGAATGAGCTTACTGTGTATTGAAGTCTTGCAGTGGATACCCTTGTGTTTAGTTTTGATTTTATTAATTACAGAATCCCAAGCAGGTAGTAAGGAGAATTTCTTTCAATAGTGGAAAAAGTTTGAAGTTTTTTTTTCACCCCTTTAAAAGTCAAGCTTTTAATGAGCCGACTTCAAAGAACTGAAAGAAATGAAATAATTTCATATAATGAAGACGGTGCTAATGCATAGTGTATAGAAGAATTAAAGCTCTGCGTAATTCATTGCACACTAATGATTTCTTATATTTACACGAACACTACACATTGAACTAATTTTACGGATTTTATCGCTTTTAATTGTAGATACTTATTTTTAATTTACTCTTTAATGCGTGAATCGCCTTCGCGCGGGGAAGAACGCGCATGTAAAGAAAGAAAAGGAGAACGAGAATGCTCGCGCGCGCCGCCCGCTCGCGCATCCTCTCATACTTCAGTCATGCGTTCAAGTCTGTGCGCTTAATATATAATTTACACGCACGGTTTTATGACGGACATTAAATTATGGAATAAGGATCTTATTACAGAATTCTTGGCAATATACAAGTCTCATGCAAACCATCTTATATTTGAATTTATTTAGTAATATATTAAAAATAATACATAAAAATAAATTAATAAATATATAATCTATTATACGCTTAGTGCAGCAAATATAACTGCTCGTGTAATATCCCTTCCAACTCTTTTGTCTATTTCTTTATTATATTATTTCTATTCGTATGTGTAAAGGCGGCTTATCCCGTACTAAATCACGTGCGATTATTGTGTAAAAATAATATTTGAAGCGTGCATACTTGAACGCATGACTGTGGTACGTGGGCGGCACGCGCGTGAATTCTCGTTCTCCTTTTCTATCTCAAAATGCGCGCATTTTGACATGCGAAAACCGATTCACGCGTTAAAGAGCGTATGTGTAAAGGCGGTTATTAAGAAAACGCCGTCATTATTTATGTGCGCACTTCACGTACGCAAACACCTTTATTTCGGGTAAGTATGTAACTTTTATTTCGTATTTGCCTAAAAACAGTAGGTAACTGTCTTAAATGAAGATAAAACTGTGAAATATTTATCATACTAGCCCACACAGTTATTGTTCTGAATTGTCGATTTAGTAGTATACTCGTACATAGAAGTCTTCGCTTAGAGTAAAGTCGTTTTATTCTATATTGTTTTTTTTTCAAATTTACTTTGAATTTTTATTAAAAAGCTTACTTTTTGTAGGAATATCTTAAGTTCAAATATCTAAATAGTTATATTAAAAATTTCATTCCCTATTAGTCTGAGAGCTGGCGACGAATTTTGGGAAGGTCCTTTGGGCAAGTTGAAATTGTGAAAAAATATAATTTCGTCAATTGCGAATCCAGTTCTGCGAGTCTGGCAGAGCGTTTGCGGTTATTTCGTTACTGCGCAGTATATAACATTAGCAAAAAAATTTCCAAAGAAATGTTTTTTGACAACTTGATTTCTTTGTTATTTTTTACTTTAGTTTTTATATAAATCCAAAAAAATAAAATTTAACTTATTTCATAGCTATCGGTCTAGTGTGATATTTAAAGCACAGTTTAAAAATTTGTACTTGTGCAAGTACTGCCCGATGTCCTATAAAAATAACATAATAAAACTACATTTAGGTGAATCAAAATTCATCTTTATCTGTACCACATCACTGTGAAAAAAGTCACGACTGTAGAGAACGTGCAACTTGTTATTTTTTCCACCTTCATCTCTGGGCGGTAAGCACTTTATACACATTGTCCCTTTTTAAGAACATGGTGTGGTAATTATCAAAATATATTTTTGCCAAGGTTACTATTAATACGTTAAAATTAATAGCTATTATACAAACTATTACAGCACTGATCTAAAATAATTCAAACTATGTATACAGATATTTATTTGGTCATATATGCGCATACATACATGCTTAATCCCAAAACAAGAATTTAGTCTTAAAATCTTTAAAAAAGATATTTCTTTGTAACCAATCACAGCGTGAGGAGCTTAGGCCGCCATCCGATGTCTGTATGTTTCGATAAGCTATTGGCTATGGATAAGACTATTTTGTCGTATTCATTAGTAAACTTTGTTTACGTCTGGGAATTGTTTAAAACCGCTAAATTTTCTGGCGATCTACAGGTATTATTAAAAATTACTCAATAAATACGTGATTAAAATTTGAGATTGCCAAAAGTATATTTTTTGGGAATAAAAAAAATATTTTTGGAGAGGTCTGGTAATACTTTATAACCGACAAAAAAGTCTGGGATTATTTTTTTGGAATTATATAAAAACTAAATTAAAAGATAAAAAAGAAATCAGGTTGCCAAAAAAACATTTTTTTGGAATTTTTTTGCAAATGTTATATTTTGCGCAATAACGAAATAACCGCAAACGCTCTGCCTGACTCGCAAGACTGGATTTGCCAATTGACGAAATTATATTTTTTGCCCAAAGGACCTTCCCAAAATTCGTCGCCAGCTCTGTCTATATTTTTCACCATTGGTGATAACCTTATTTTATATAGGACCATCTCTAAAGTATAATATATTTACTAAGAATGATAAACATATGTGGCGGTTTTGTGAAGTAAAGAGCGTTGGCCGCTCCCCAGGTAGAACACACATACTTACTAAAACATACAGGCAAATTGAGAACCTACTCTTTTTTAAAGAAAGATGTTCGGTGTTGACTGAACAGGTGTCTCAACTGACGAACCCGTTCGAAGAAGAAAAGGCGGAGGCTCGCAGCGGGTCGTCGACGGGCGGCAACAGCCCGGCGGCCGAGGCGCCGGCCGCGCCGCGTCCGCACGCCGCGCCCGCGCCCGCGCGCGCCGTGGCGCTGCTGCACGCGCTCGCCGAGCCCAGGCTGCACGTGAGCGCACGTTCTATACACTATCATGTTCATCATGCCCCGCCATTTTGAAACTATCACTTTAATATAATAATTTAAGTGATAGTAGCTTCATGGCAGAGTGCGGACCGCGAACTCAAAGATCGTAGATGCGAAACCGCCATTCGATTACTGTCGTGAACCATTCGTAAGACAAGCATTTTAAGCTTACCAGGAGTGGTTAAAGGTAATATTAGTAATTTTAATAGTATTTCTAGTATTTTAAATAGTCTCACTGGAGACTAGCCATGTGCTCGGAACAACAGGATTATAGTGCCCGAGTGTATGCGCAAACACAAAGGCACTCTCTATTTGCCTTTTTTATAGGATAAGGGTGACAAACACACGAATACACAGTCCACCTGATAGTAAGTGGTTGCTGTGACCCATAGACATCTACAGCCATCCTCGATTACTAATCGAAATGCAGATGCGTTTTCACCCGTGAGAACTAAAATGGAATGCTTCATTTCCAATAAAACGGGTCTCCGTTTCTCTACACTCACCATACGGAACACTTCCTCGGTCAAGCTGACCCATTCGTGCTATAACTATGCCAGTAATATAGCTACAGCCAGGCTGGTGCAACTTCCATAGTAAAAATTATATGTACTACAGGGGTCAAATTTTAATGACGGTTACTCTTCTTTATGCTTTTCGTGATATGTCTATTAACGACATTGTCAAATGAAATAGGCTCAAATGTCAAATCAAACAATTATATTTGTATATATTTTATTAATTAATATTGCTTTTAATTTTGCTATAGGAGCCGTTGTTCATTTACAGAATTGTTAAGAAATTAAATATGCATTATAAAACTTTCCAATTAAATGGTGCAAGAAGCGGAAAAAATGATAACAAGAAAAGGCTATTCGTAACAATATTTCCCTTAGATGATTAAAGGTATGTGGTGATTTCAACTTTAATAGTAATATGATATTCAACGCGAGTATATTTTTGGACTAGCCATCTATGTAGGACATGTTTTTATAGTGTACGATTGTGTGCACAAATACAAACACACTATTTCCTAAATCTGATAGTTCGATGGTTTAGCAATCCGAAACGAACTATACTTAGAAACTACAAGTCAATTCTGACTGCTAACATTCTATTTGTTCAATAATAATGTGATTTTATTTATATTATTTTTTCAGATGCAAGCAATGGGTGAAATAGCTGGCACATGTACTAATTGAAAAGATTCGCATGTTAAGACATATTTGTGACAAACATTGCATATGAACCCAACTAAAACGAACTGTTATTTCTTTAGTGGACTTACTTTAAACTTCCACAATTTATGTGTATGTTAATTAGGTTTCTATATATATAATTAGATTATATAACTAAATCATTATTTTATTCATCAATAAACATTAGCTATAATGAGCACTTATTTTGAAAGCGACAATTAGTAAACGATCTCTGCGAATAGTATGTACATAGGTGCCTCTGTGCAGAAGCCTAGCGATTTGTACATAGTATTTGTTACACATAAAAGCAATTTAATCCAATCAGTATTAAAAACCCAATATTTTACCCTAAAAAAACTAACGTTGAAAACAAGCATCCAGACGCAGACTATTTATTTTACAGCATAGCAACAATTATTCAGTGCGGGAAGGAAGCCTCGGTCCTGCAATGCCGCAGCCAAACGCTTAGCCACTGCGCTACGGAGTCATCATTTATTTTTTACTTAATTAATTACTAGTATAAAAGTGCGTTTTTTATTTTATATTTTCTTTATATACTTTTGTACCTAATTGTAGAGATATAAATACAAATTGCTGTGTGTAAAATACATTGATTTCTTATCCTCATCGGCATTTTTACTCAATCCACACGTTTATTTCTCATAAATAATTCAGTATAGAGATCTAACTTTTCTTATGTAAAAATATCGATAAACAATATATCGATAAAGGTTATATCGATAAAATTATTCGAGGATAGACATTTACAGCACTATTGTAATTCGTCAATGTTGTCAACACTGTTTCTCAAAACTAAATCTCATATCTTGATGTTGGTAGAGTAACTTGGCGTAATTTCATGCAATTATTTTTACTATGGAAGTCCCGCCTCTTAAACGTAGTGATTATATTCTCTTTGGCTACAGCGTGGTTCTACCACGTAAATACCTTACTCTCATCGTCCGATGGAACGGTAATCCGCCACGACCAGAGAGATAGATCAGGCGCAGGACCAACGGCTGCATGTGCTTTCTGAGGTACGGGAGTGAAACACCACCAACTTCCTGATTCCGACCTTCCTGAGAAGTTTTAGCTAACCCGTGATTTAATCCCGGGACCTGGTGATAAACAACCACGGTTACGACAACTAGACCAATGAGGCAGTCAAAACCAGTTTATACAGTTCCCTTCTACATCTGTAGCCCTGCAACCAACTTCAAGCAAAGAAGGCTACAGGTGCGATGGAAAAAAAAGTCAAGTATTACGAAAAGAAACTACCTTTACCTAACCTATAAATACTCAAAAACTAATAAAATGTTACATAAAAAGAAATACTAAAAATATAACTATATTTTAAAAAGGGCATATATAAATCTCAAAAAAAAAGTAACTTAAAATACTTTCTAAATAGTAAAAATACTTGCAAAGCTACTTGGAATTCGGTGAATTCAATAATAAATCAAACTACCCAAATTAATAACATTGACGTAATTAAATTTGATGACCAAAAATTTAGTAACCCTGACATGATATGTGAATTATTTAACTTTTTTTATTGACCTAAGTAACACTAATAATACAAATAAATCTAGTAACAATTCTGCTCAACCAAATATAGATATAAATCAAAATACAATTTTCTTACAACCATCGGAACCAGCATAAATTAAAAAAAAAATCAAAGAATTAAATAACACGAATTCAGTTGGCTACGACGAACTCGGTACCAAAATACTAAAGTCATGTGCCTTTTATATCTGTACACTACTGAGTTTCCTTATAAACCTATCATTTGTCGAGGGCTCATTCCGGAACATCTTAAGATTTCTATAACAAAACCAGTTCACAAAAAAGAAGATGAAAAGGATCTCAATAACTATAAACCAATAACTTTGATCCCCGTAATATCAAAGATATTTGAGAGAACTATGTACGATAGACTAAATAAATTTATACGAAGATTTGGTATCTTAACTGAATATCAATTCGGTTTTCGCAAAAATAGATCCACAAATTTAGCGAGCTTCAACTTTGTTAAAAACATAACGGAGGTGTCGATAGAAAAACTCCAGTAACTAATCTCATGCTAGATATGAACAAAGCCTTTGATCTTGTTGACCACAAAATCCTATTAAACAAAATTGAAAAATACGGAATAAGAGGTGCGGCTTACACATGGCTAAGCAGTTACTTGCAAGGCCGAAAACAATGCTCAGAAATTACTCGGCTAACGCAAGCACGGCAAGACAGCATATTTACCAAAGAAACTACATCGTTCACAGTTTAGATCTAATGACCGTAGTATCCCACAGGGAAGTATTTTAGGGCCTTTAATCTTCTTGCTATATAATAATAACTTGTTATAATAACCAAGCATAAATGCATCTTGTTCGCAGACGACACAACTTTTATATTTAAATGCACCAAAAATACATATATGAAACCGAAATAAATAATTATATTAATACTATTGTGACATGGCTTAATTCAAATAATCTTTTACTTAATATTGACAAAACAAAAATAATGCAAATTGTAAATTACAAAATGGAACCTATAAATATGAATAAAAAATATGAAAATTCGAAGATGTTCAATCAGTTATGTTTCTTGGTATAAAAATTGACAATAATTTAAACTGGAAGCCTCACATTGACCAAATTTGTACAAAATTAAAATTAAAATTACAAAGTTCTAAAAATATTGAGAAAGACAATGTCACAAAAAGCAGCCCTAGCTGCTTATCACGGTTATGTGTTTTCAGTATTATTATATGGTCTGCCTTTGTGGGGGAATTCTGTTGATGTGATTAGAGCGTTTAAATTACAAAATAAATGTGTAAGAGCGGTATGCGGGGCGTGGTTCATTGATAGCTGAAAGTGCTTGTTCAAAAATATACGCATATCGCCTTTGCCATGCATGTTTATTCGGGAAATATGTATTTTTGTAAAGCGACTCTCGAATTACTTCAAAACCCTCGCTGAATCTCTCGAAACGCTAATAAGGCATAAAAATTGATTATTTCATCCCAAATGCAGCTTTAGATTTTATGCAAACAGTCCTCCTATGATGGCTATTAAAATATTGTTGCGCGCCACTATTAATGTCTTGTACATGGCAACACTAGTTACACTAGCGCCCTCTAGTGTCGAGTAGCAGAACTAGGAGAGTCAAGATCTTTCCAGAAATTTCGGGACCGATATGTACTTGAACATTCTAGATGTCGCTACAGTAGAAGGTTCTGGAAACTATCTGAGGCCCTATATAAGGCCGGTATAAACCACGACCGGGGCAGTATTGAATTGGCGATACAAGAGAATACTTTGAAGCGAAATAACGGCGAACTGTGTTTTATTATTAGTGTGATTTTAGATTATAATTCGTGTTGTGTAATTAAAGTGTCAATTTTGGTAATTCAATCGGCAGTTTTTAATTGTCTCGAACCCCAAGCTCGTAACAATTGGTGTCAGAAGTGGGATTAAATCATGCCGATTTTACCAAAGGACGACATGGAGGGTATCGGTATCCGAAGTCAACGCCAGCTGGAAACGGACCAGAGACAATTTGGTAATTACAACGCCGCAAACATCGGAGGGCCAGCTGCTGACCACGGAGGCCAGTCCGTCATCAGCTCCTGCATCTACAGCACCTGAATTAGGTGCTCTGATGATGATGCTGCAGGAACAGGCTCGCCGACAGGAGGAACAGGCCCGTCAGTTGGAAGAGCAGCTGCAGCGCGGACAGGAGGCACATGCCCGCCAACAGGAGGAACAGGCCCGTCGGTTGGAAGAGCAGCTCAAACGCTATAAGGAAGAGCAGATGCTCCTCATGAAGGACCTTTACGCTACCTTCGGGAAAGAGATAAAGGAGTTGAAGGATAAGGTTGCTCTATATGGCAACCGCCTGTCTGCGGCTGAAACCCGAATCGACCAAGTGTACAATCGGGTTGACAACGTGATGGCTGACGTGAAGAAAACGCTGGACGACCTCAAACATGGAGATGGAATTACAGCTCCCGTGGTAGCTACAACACCTTCGCTAGGTGGATTATTCAAAGTGCCGCCGTTCGACGGGACTTCTTCCTGGTCGGCCTATAAAATCCAGTTCAAGGCTGTTATGAAGGCGAACGGCTGGAATAAAAGTCAGGCCATGACTGCTCTCACCCTAGGCCTACGCGACCAAGCCTTAACTGTTCTGGAAGCTCTCGGTAAGGAAGTGACTTACGAGCAGCTGCTTGAGGCATTGGAGTCGAGATATGGCGACGCTCACCTGGAACACGTCTTTCGTGCGCAGCTCAAAGATCGCGTGCAACGCAGCAATGAAAACCTGCAGCAGTGGGCCCTTGAGGTAGAGAAGCTGGTTCGGAAAGCATACCAGTCTGTACCTGCGCTCATTGTAGGGAACCTGGTGCAGACATTCATCGACGGCATCCGCGACCTTGAAGTCAGAGCTGCTGTGAGGCTCGGGCACCATGAGACGCTTAAGGATGCGTTGGCCCATGCACTGGAGGTGGAAGCCGCGCGGCAGGATCATCGTTCCCATCGTGTCAGGGAGGTTTCAGCAGCTACAGTTCACGACAGCAATAAAGGATACAGCCCTAGGTGCTACGGTTGTGGGAAAAGGGGCCATCTTCGATCCAGCTGCCCTAAACGAACTGTAGAAAAAGGTGATCGATCTCGAGAGGGTAGTGTGGCTAACAGTACCGCCCAGCAGCAGCAGGGAAACTGGCGGGTGCTGACTGATTTTAGAAGAGGTACTCCTAAGATTGTCCATGTGAATAGACTGGCGCGTTATTATGGGGCCAACAATGCTCGGGACGAGCATGTCTTAGGAGGGGGCAGTGTTGCGCGCCACTATTAATGTCTTGTACATGGCAACACTAGTTACACTAGCGCCCTCTAGTGTCGAGTAGCAGAACTAGGAGAGTCAAGATCTTTCCAGAAATTTCGGGACCGATATGTACTTGAACATTCTAGATGTCGCTACAGTAGAAGGTTCTGGAAACTATCTGAGGCCCTATATAAGGCCGGTATAAACCACGACCGGGGCAGTATTGAATTGGCGATACAAGAGAATACTTTGAAGCGAAATAACGGCGAACTGTGTTTTATTATTAGTGTGATTTTAGATTATAATTCGTGTTGTGTAATTAAAGTGTCAATTTTGGTAATTCAATCGGCAGTTTTTAATTGTCTCGAACCCCAAGCTCGTAACAATATGTAATAAATTACCTATGGAATAAATTTAAAATTGAGATGTATAAATGGCTTCTTGACAAGTGTTATTGTAGTGTTAAGGAATATTTTAATTGATTACAATATTATCTAATGTATCATGTAATTTATTCAAGCTTTTGACATTATATACAATTTAATTTGATTATTTTAAGATATATTTGCACACCGGTACAACTCCCGGTAAAATAATATTGAGACTTACTCTAATACTAAATATCTGTAAAATCTAAACATTTTAAATAAAGATTTTGACTTTGATTATCTCAGGTCGACTGTAAGTTAGTTTATCATATCAGATTTATAAAAAATTAAATTATAAATATTTACTAAATCAAATTTTAACTTCACTGAAATTTCTACTTAATGCACTAGAAGTTAGAGCGCAATGTGAAGCGAAATACCAGTTTGTAGTAACGTGTAACGTTATAGTATATCAAGATCACTTTCCCAGGATCCTCTCGCGCTGCACCTGTGGTGGGCGTGCGAACGTCGCGAAGGCTGCGCCCCTCACTTCCCCCCAGAGCACCCGCTTGAAGAATTAAGACGTGCCTTATTGGCGGCGTTGCTGTTCCACGCCGGGTTGAAGGAACATGCGCTTGCTACTGCAACTACTGGTATATACCTACTTTAATTTTGTTTTATAATAACTACATAAGAACTAAGGAACATACTGTTATTTATTTTTGTGTAGAAATGGAAAAAGGAGAAATAAAGTTGTCACCTGCAATGTCCGAGATTGTAAAAGCCGTTCAGCAGAGCAAATGGACGCTAATGAGGGCGAGGCAACAGTTGTCACGTGGATATAAGGAAGTAAGAATGTTTGAGCTTTTTATTCCTACAAAGTAATCGTTTTGTAACACTAAGGGCTCATAAGCACTATGCGGGTAACCGCAATGCGGCTAGCGGTTCACGGCCAAAAGCATACTAATTGTCAAATACAGCCATCATCCTTTAACAATAGTTCGTTGATCATATGAGGGAAACACGGTCACGTCCTCAAACCACTTCTTTTTTACGTATTTCTGTGGATAGTGGGTTCTCTTACGCAGACACTACACAGTGGAAAATAAACAATTAATGAATCACAAAATCGATATACGAATCATTTCACACACTATTTTGACACACACTGATTTGTGAACATCAGAATCTTAAAATAACTAAAATCGATTTAGCTCTGAAAGAGGTTTCACGTCCCTAAATAGCACTTGTGACGCAAATACTTTTATGTATACTACTAGACGGGCTCTGCTGCCTTTATTTATACATTGCGCACTAAGTTACGGTTAATTCTCCGTAACTCCTTTAGTCGAATGTGAGCGGTGGAGAAACTAGTTCTTTGTTTTGTAAGCCGCATACGTTGTTTTGGAGAATCTAACACTGATTTGTATTATTGTCATTATTTTATTTTTGCGCATTATGTCAACGTGATTTGAAGTTAATTTCAGATAAGTATGTAACTTTATTTAGTATTGGCCTAAAACAGTAACTGTCGTAAATGAAAATACAATTGCTGTGACATAGCTTTTGTTCTTGCCGGTCTAGCAGCATGCCTACATAGAAGGTGTTGTGATAACAGGTAGAAAAGCGAATCACGCTCATAGAATATAATGTACTTACGTACTAGAACAGCTATTTCAAACAAAAATATGATTAATATGATATTACATAATATTATATCACAATTACCTTATAATGATATTTTTATTTAAATATATCAAAGGTAACTGTAAAATATAAAAAATATATTTATTTACAAAGAATCATTAATAATACATTTTATTTACAAAGATATTTATTTTGATTAGAATAGATAAGAATAAGAGTCGATCGGCAGTGCGGAACGAGGTCAAAAATGCGAAATCCCTAGACAAAGGCGACACTTTGTTTACATTGTGCCTAATTAGTTACTGTTACGAAAACTAGCTAAATAAAACAACATCAAATCTCAGTAGCAACTTTGTTGAGTGTTTGTGAAGTGTCGCTACGAGTTTCAATTGATAAATATAATTAAATATCGTGCGTTTTATCGATAATACAGGGAGCTTAAGTCAAAAAGTCACTTCTTGACCTTACCTTTTTTTTCTCAAGTGGTTTACATAGTATCTGAATGCGCATGATGAAGGCACATTTATTAGACTTTAGCTTTCCCCTCAAACGTGTCAAGACAAGGGCCTGGCACCGACCTATTTGTGTTAGAATACGTGTTAGAGACACGTGTTGCAACCATGTCTTGGTGTCTGTTCTAGTACGTAGGACATATTACTTCAATGTCACGCTTGGTTTTTCTACAAATCTATTTAAATCTACGCCTGTAGGAGAGGCCCATGTCCTACACTAGACTAATGAAGGTAAAGAGTCTAATCCGAATTACATAGATTTATTCTAGAGTTCTATATAAAAAACGATTAATTCATCTTAGGTATGCGCAGCTCCATTGGAAAGGGCCAGGTTTTTGTTACACGAAGTACGTGCTGCGATATCCCCTGCAGTCACGGCTTTACAAAAGAGGCCTCCATCCCACCGGCCGCCTACCGCTAAAAGGATTTTTCAAAAAGTCATGCGAATGGCCAAGTCGCCTAGTTTCAATAAATGGTAAAGGAATATATTCTTCATTATGTTGATAATGCAAAATAGAAATATGATATAATAATTTACAAACTTAACGTTGAAGTTTACGTAGATGTTGGAATTCTGTTATTAGTTAACAATCGCACAGTTAATAATACATAAAAAGTGTTGTACGTATTTAAATATGCTATGTAATGTTTATAATGATTTTGATGAACTCTCTCTTAACTAATAAAAAAATTATTTCATTCAATTGCTGCATTCCTTGGGGAAGGCCTATGTTCATCAGTAGACTTGTAAAGTGATGTAATAATGATTATGATAATGTATTGCATTTATCCTTTAATTTATAAAGTTGAAAGTTTCTTTTGTTATTTTGTGTTGCTGTTATTAAATACGGTAATGTTTTCAGTTTTGAAACAACAAAGGACTTAAGGAACAGACAGAATAGCTTGAGTAAGAGCATGTTAAGAACGACAGGTAGTTTGCTTCAAGGTGATGCACTTCTTATTAAATCGACAATAGGGCACACCTCGAGCAAGGCCACCGAAGATATTCACATAAAAGTCACTGAACCAAAGAGTATTTCTAATACAGAAAGTGTTAACGATCCAGCTTTAAAAGACGCTGCTAATCAACAAACTAAAAATAAACTAAAGTTAAAGGTTAAGCCTCTTGAGAAAGATTTTAAAAATGCCTCGAATTATGATGACATGCGTAACGAAGCTCGGGGTGACATAAAATTATCTGAAAGGGATGACGTGCTAGACAAAGATGATGATAAAACACCCACAAATGAGGTATCAATTAGCTCTATAAACGATATCACTGACAATTCGGTTTTAAAAGAATCGATTGAAAGCGAAAAGCAGGTGATGTTGCTGGCTGACGATTTGAAAAATCAATTAATTACTGCCGATGAAGAAAAGGACGACGATAATTCTGAAAGGAATAAGTTTGTTAATGCCTGGGTGGCAAAACTAGCTTGTGAGGAAAAAGGTAATTTATTTGTTGCTATAAAATACTAATAAAAAATAAAATACATTATCATATTATACATATATTATGTATAATATGTAAAATTATTCATTTTGTTTTAATTTTATTTTCATACTTAATTCTCAAATAAAATCAAATATTTGCAATTTAGATTTATATTGGATGCTTGAAGAAGTCACACCGGAACAACAAACATTGACAACAGCAATCATTGATTTTGTAATGACTGAAGAGCCTTGCGATATTGATATTCTCAGAAGAGCTTTATATTGCCAGGTAAGTTTGTAATTTATCTCAGTAAAATTCTTTTAATAGACTTGTGAAAAAATGTGTTAATATTTTCCCCTTTACTGTTTTGTGACATTTTAGGTGCAGCGAGCTGAGATTCGTAAAAATGGTTATAAAATAATAAATAAAATTCTACACTTATCTCAAACCATGTCCGAGAGCGTTAAGTACGCCGCACTCTCTGGTCTAGTAGGTGCCTCAATGGCTGATTCGGCGCCGCACACACTTCTGAAACCCACCGTCCCTTTGACATTGCCTTTAAAGGGCATCGAATCTGTTATACCATACTCAAAATATATGGTGCTTCTAGAGCGTTCGAAATTGATGGATTTTATTCTTATCGAATTAAAGGCAAAAGTTTTAGAAGGTGAACAACACCAACCTTTACCTTTAAAAATGAGTGCCAACTATGGAGCTCATGCATTGCTGAACAAACCTTCAAGAGCGAGGTATGATAAATATAAAATAAACATAGTTTATATTTATAGGAATTAAGTTGTTGACCGTGGATCATTTTTTTAACAGATTTTTAATTTCCCTGCTGACACTGTTGGTAGAAGGTTTTAACGGCCCGGAATTAGAGCAATTAATTAACGGAGGAGCATTAAGTTCTTGTTTGACGTTATTAAAACAAATTGGTGGAGATACGTCACAATATACTTCCCTAATTTGTCATGGAACAAAATCTAAATGTACGTAATGGATATGTGAAATACAATTTTATTTTCTTTTGTATATAAATGTAAGAATATTATATATTTTTGGTTTATCTTTAGCCGAATGCTTAGTTATTTACGAGGATGAAAGGCTGGGTGCTCGCGCCAGAGGCGCTTCACTATCTGGTCCTGAATTGGCTTCTCTTATGAAGATAGGAACTCGAGTTGTGCGTGGTAAAGATTGGAAGTGGGGTGATCAGGTAATGTCATAATTAAACACGTATTTTCTGTTCAATAAATATTATAATTTTAGAATTATTACTATCTTAAGGCGAGCATTTCCAACGTTAAGAGCCCTCTTACATTTCGGCGTTTCGCAAATTTAGGTATTTTACACACCAAGCGGGCGGCGAGTTACGCGACCGATACTTTCTTTCATATCTATTCACTCGCGCTCGCACTATAATACTGTGAGTATGGCGATTAAACGATCTTGATCTTCCATAATACAAGTTTTCTTAGGATGGAGTCCAGTGGATGGAAAATTTTTGGTGTGTCATTTTAATGTTATCTTATTAATTTATTATTATATAATTATATAATTTATTATTATATACTATTTTGATATATTTTCATTATATATGAACGTTTGTGTCAAAATAAGTACACATAAATATTTTAATTGTTACGCAATAATCGATTATGTCTACTACCAGTAGAATAGTGGTATAAATAAATAATACGGTTGCAACCATTTTTAATAAATAAAACAACCAAATGTCACTAATATTTTTTTAATCGGTATTTACAGGTATTTACAAAAAGCTTGTAACTTGAGTAACATATTGAAAATCTAAAATTGGTCGTCTTTGTAAATTTTTAGTACTTTTACTGCATAATCTAGGCCAGTACATAATATTATGGCAAGTATTCAGACATTTTTATTTGCTAAATGAAGCTGGCCTTGGATTTGGTAAAACCAGTCACGATTTTGATTTAATGTTACACTTGAATCACTCAATTTAGAACCTTTAACATTTTTTAGGTCTAAAGGCCGTGTCAAAATCTATTCTGAAAGCTGAAATAGGACATTTAACTTCAATAAGACCGTCACTGTATAAACCATTAGGCGAAGCCCTCAAATAACAATGATCTAGATCAATGAATAGACCACATTTTTCTATAATAATATTTTCTTGTTTGCTCAATTGTGCCAATGCTACAGACTCGTTGTCTCTACCATGTTTGATGGAAGAGACGTGATCTAAATTATAACTATATAAAATAGTTTTAAACCGATCGATCAAAAACTGCAGTCGTAGTCGACGATGCTCACGCAAGCAATCGACACACACTACGATAGCAATCGACGCACACTGCGATAGTATCGAAACGACGCAGCGCGCGAAATTAACTGACGCAGGTCCAACCTCGACAAGCGCTCGCGCGATAGTGACCGCAGATGGCCGGCGCAGTGAAATATATAGTACTTTTATTTAATTAATTAAATATAATAGTAACGATTTAAAAAGTAAAAATAATAGTATAGTTTAAGCAAATGTTGATGATTATTTTGGTATAAATTTTACGTCTAAATGATGTAGAACTTCGGAAATATTGAGGCTTGTATCGAAGCTTTTTCGGTCGTTTTTTGAATTATGTCGATTTTTTTTCCTAGCGTGAAAGGCATATTACGAAAATGTATTTTATAATTATTAAAGTGTAGGATATTTGGGAGATAAAATATTTTTTTTGATGGTTGATATTCAATAGAATCTACAAATTAGAGCTCCCAAATCATGTTTTCGAGAGTTTTTGCCTAAACATGCATCGGGATAATGATTATTACTGAATAAATAAATAAGTTATCTAAAATTCGCTTTGAGCTTATTTGAGAAGAGAAAACGAGCTATTTTTACCAAGTAATTGTTATTTCAAGCAACGAACGATAAACATACAAATCTCAACGAGGAAACCTTGCAATATCGCGTTCTTTTGTAATACACCTCTTAAAAGGCTTTTAGCGCTGTATATTAATTTGTCCAGCACGAAGTAAGCGTGTGACAAGTCGGTGGACAAAAGTTACTTTATTTGAAACGGTTTTGCTTAATAATAATGTCCTCCAGACCGAATTTTGATTTCGGTGGCCAGTTTCGTAGAATTATAGTGCCTGTATGCGCGAACACCGATGCACTTTGTATTCCCTCACTCTCATAGTCCGATGGAATAGACACGACCGGAGAGAGATCAGGCGCAGGACCAACGGCTTTCCGAGGCACGGGGGTGAAAACACTGCCAACTTCCTGAGTCCGGGCTGCTACTGAGAATTTGTTGCCAGAAAAAACCTAATAACAAATTTAGGCTCGACCCGGGATTTGAACCCGGGGTTTCATAATCAATAATCGCGTTTAGGACTATTAGACCAACGAGGCAGTTATTTTTACTTTTGCTTATTATCAGGAAATAAAAATCTAAATAAAAATGTAGTCAATTAAGACTCTAATTCAATAGAATGCCTTTCATATTATCATTCATATTATATGGTTATTGCTTAAAAGAACGAAAATTGGAACGTTTTTCTTGGCGATCAAATTGTATTTTTTTATCTCAATTTCTAAAAATTATTCCAAAAGTCAATAAAATTTTTAATCCTCCAATTGAGTATTTCATGTATGCGTATTTTTTTTCCGTGCATACATCCTATTTAAAGAAGTATCAGTTCTCTAGTGTCAGAATTGTTTCTAAAATACGTTATTTTGTCCAACCAGACCCTAAAACTTTCATTAGTCTATGAAATAAAACTGACCATGCCTTTTATAGTGTTTTCTTTTTTTAAGGTTTTTAAATGTAATGCTTTTTTAACACACTATATTGAATAAAACTGCGGATTTTATCGTGTTTATTTTACTATTTTTATTCCCGACGTTTCGAGTGCTTTACAGCGACACTATATATGTATATATCCAATACAACAGTTATACTATAGTAAGGTGACATCCAAATTTAATGAAAATATATAAAGTAACTTTAATTTAACAACTCAGGACGGTGTACCGGGCGGTGAAGGCCGGGTTATTGGAGAGCTAGGCGAGGATGGTTGGGTACGTGTTGCCTGGGATTCTGGTGGCACTAACTCGTATCGCATGGGTAAAGAGGGGAAATATGATCTCAAGTTAGCTCGTTCCCCATCTCCGCCGCCATCAGTGGATGAGACAATGCATGGCACTGGTAAGTTGAAAGTCTAGAAGTGTTATTAGCCTAGAACAAGCTGTTTCGCGACTTCGTTCGCGTGAACGAAAGACAAAAAATTATATATATTTTATATTATTTTAGGACACGTTTAAGGTATTCATTGAAACAAAATATTGATTTTTATAAATTTAAAACTAGACTGAATACGATGGTAGACAATTTTATTTAAATAATTTTTAATATTTATTGATCAAAAATAAACAGGTACTCCAATTTTATATTTCGTTTTTGCATAGTTATTATGTACAATTTGTTGATATTTATGATTATAATTGTAATATTGTATTAGCATTTTCACATTACATCTTCATATCATATTTAAAAGGCCTGCTACACGATATATTTATTGTAGTAAACCATAATTGTAATAAGTCGATTTAAAGTTCTCTGCTGGACATAAATTAAAAAATTTTAGAAAATGTTAAACGCGTAGCTTAGAATCTCACGGTGGTAATGATGGTTTTAATTAAGAGTCTGTTGTGGTCTTTGTGCTCGACATTTTTGGGTAGGTTTTCTGTCATCAGTTGGTTGCCAGAGCCTACTGCGTTAAATGACCAGAGTGTACCACATGTAGGGTAGTTTGATAAAAAAAATTAAATTCTCGTTTATATACTTACATTTCCATATACAATTATATTTTGAGTCGTCTTATATTCTTTTTTTTTTCGTCATCTCGTAACAGTCCACTTCTAAACGTAAGACAGGCATGTGGCAGGGTTGATCAACATGTTTGGCAAGATTTTTGAACTTTTGACGGTTTTGTTTCCGTAACTGGTATGAGTGTTTTATGTGGTTTTTACTGAATATGGCAGGGAGGATTAACTTGCTTGGCAGGGTTGTTGATCGCATTACTAGATTTTTTTTTATAGAAGTGGGGGCAAACGAGCTTGCGGCTCACCTGATGGTAAGTGACTACCGCCGCCCATGAACAACCGCAATACCAGGGGCATTGCAGATGCGTTGCGGGCCTTTTAGAAAGGTGTAAGCTCTTTTCTTGAAGGTTCCTAAGTCGTATCGGTCCGGAAAATTCGCTGGTGGTAATTGATTCCACAAGGAAATTGTGCGAGGGAGAAAACTTCTTCTAAATCGCACAGTGGTGGACCGCCAATCATCCAGATGGTATAGATGGCAATGCGAGTTTTGTCGCGATGTGCGATGGTGAAATTGAGCGGCTGGAATTAGTCCGAACAATTCCTCAGAGCACTCCCCGTGATAGATGCGATAAAATACGCAAAGAGATGCAACATCTCTACGCAGTGCCAGTGTATCGAGCCGATCAGAAAGAACTCGGTCGTCGACGATTCGAACCGCTCTGCGCTGGATGCGGTAAGTGGAAGGAGCTGGCACTGGGGTGCCCCGGCCCAGAGATGAGAACAGTATTCCATGTGGGGCCGAACTTGCGCTTTGTAAAGTTGCAAGCGATGTGCCGGCATGAAATACTGTCTCGCTCTGCTGAGCACGCCAAGCTTTTTAGAAGCCAATTTGGCCTTCCCTTCCAAGTGACCACGAAACTGCACACCATTCGATATGTCGACGCCGAGGATTCCGATGCTAGCTGAGGCAGCAAGGAGAGTGCCTTGAAACTGAGGAGATACGACAAAGGGATTCTTTTTAGTGAACCCCGTCGTCTAGAGTCGAGTTGGACTCAAAAAGAGAACTCAACAGATTGCGGCATGGGCCAGTGAGTGAGAAGAGATGGCTGACAGAACTTCTCTTGGACAGCCTTGGGGAGAGACCAGAATGCACGGGTTCCCGAAGGAAGGCGAACTAGCTTCTCGCCAATTCTGCCGATGTGCTCAGACCTTGCCTTGGCAATGACGCTTTTGAAGGACCTGGAGGCGGAATTATACTTCTTTTTAAGTGCGCTGGTGTTTACATCCCGAGACGTTGACGCGTCAGCCCAGGCCCGGTAACACTCCTGCTTATAGCGTGATGCTATTTCACAGGAGCGACCAAACCATGGCTGGGATCTGCCTCCGATGGGCACCACAGAGGATGGAATAAAAAGTTCCATACCCTGAAGTACCACATCAGCAACAGAATCGGCAACAACGCTCGGATCTTTCGGCAAGAAGCAATCCGCCCCCAAGGGTAGGATACAAAAAAAGACCGCATCCCGTCCCAATCAGCTGACCTATAGTGCAAACACGGCGGCAAGCTGCAGATCGCAACTGCGATTGGAGCGTGAGTGGCACACAATGGTCCGAAGAGCCCAGAGGGGCATCGACGGAGACCTGATATCCGTCCGGATGAGAGGTCAGCAGAAGGTCCAACAGGGAAGGTACATGGTCTTCCACATCTGGGATCCGCGTAGGCGAAGTAACCAGTTGTGTTAGACCATATGCCAAAGCAAAGTCATAGACAGATCTACCCGCATGATCGGTAAAACGTGAACCGAGCCATTCGGCGTGGTGGGCGTTAAAATCACCGAGTATCACGATCTCTGCGGATGGGACTTGTTGTAACACGGAGTCTGCAGCCATTTGAACGTGGTCGATGAGTCGGTCTGTGTCGGCATTACCGCTATGGGACCTATAGAGGCACCCGTAGACGCGCGGATGGTCGTCGCTGTCTACGCGTAGTCAGAGGATGGACAGGTCAGAACCTTCAAGACTGCCGAGGCGTCGAGAACAGATGTCCTCTCTGATGTATGATAGCGAGGGATTCTCCAGGGATGCTTGTACCCTCCTGGGGTAGTATTTTATTTAATTCCACTACCATGTTGATGGGGTGGGGGGGATAGGGCCTCCGGCAGGTCATGATGTGTTTACGACATATTTCATTATTCATTACTACCCGATGACGTTGACAGTGGAGAACAACGTGGAGTGGTGGCCGGTGAGCGAGGTGCGCGCGGCCTGCACGTGCGCTGTGCGCGTGGCGTGCGTGCGCGCGGGCAGCCAGAGCGGCGCCGCGGGGGCGGGAGCGGACGCGGGGGGTGCGGCGCGGCGCAACGTGGCCGCGCTGCAGCGTCGCCTGCTCGCGCTCGCTCGCGCGCACCACTCGCCGCCGCCCACCGCCTTCGCCGCGCACTCGCACACCGCGCTCGCTTTGCTCAGAGGTGCGATCCTTTACCTATACTTGCATGTCTATACTTTATAATTCTGTATTAAACAGATTTTCTACGAATCTTGGAGAAGAAAAAAAGATGGAGCGCTGCTGCGTACATTTCAAGTGACGCAGAAACCAAGACAAAATCTTACTCAATTTATTGTAACGTATATGCATCTAAAATCATTTGTAACCAACATGGTAAGTACATATCCAGTATAGTGTCCAGTTTTGACGTTTCACGGGCTGACTAAGCAAGAAAGAAGAGATGTGTGTGCGTGAGTGTATTTCAAGAAGTAGAGCATTGTTTCTGCTTCATTTGAAACGTGCGCAGCGCTCAGTCTGCTATTTTTTAAGAAGATTCCTTTATTTTGAATTTTTACTTTAGATGTTTCCTTTTATTTTACGTTACTTATTTACCTTATTCTTCTTTAGTACTCACATGACAGTTAAGGCCACTTGTAGTCATAATTTTATGTCATGCTATCAGTATAATATAATATGTATAATGTTACTCAGAACCGATAGTAGTTTTAAATAAGAAAACCTCAATATTGTTTATATTCACAGATATTATAGATAGCAATAGATTTTACACCGATTCGGCATGAACATATACTGACTTCGCATCTATTCTTATATGTATATTAATAATCTTTATATATTTACCTCTTCGTCCATAGCTAACGATCACGCTTCTTGCGAACATTACTTTACCCAACAATACTCAATAAAAACCAATTCATACTTATTTCTTTTTTACTATAGCAAGCGCCCAAACTCCTGAAATGCGAAGATCATTGTGCACCGACTCGTGGTTTGAATTATGCTACAGCATTATTTCTGCGACAGACAAGCCGATTTCTCAAGATTTGATATATTTACAGGTTTGTAACTTCAGAAAAGTTATTCAGTTACACATAATGCATAAGAAAGTTGTTTTAATATTATAATCTGATTTAGATTTTAAAATCCAATTTTATAAGTAAATTTGATTTCCTGCTTTAAAGCGTCTACCAACAAGAGACGGTGGTGTTTCGGTTACGGTGAGAATCTGACCGCGCGACCACGTTTGGTTCACACTATGGTGACGGCGGTAGGGCTAGGTTGCGTGGGCAGTTCAGTCCTTACAAACATGATCAAGCGTTCTGGTTGTGGGTTTAGAATCCGAGGTCTTGATTCCGTTAGCTTTTAAGTCTACTATTCGTTTTAATGAAAAATTGTAGTTTTCGAAGGTGCTCGGAAACATTGACGGTAAACATATCTAAGGATCCGCGCTCACTGCCGGCACGGCATGGCTAGAGATTTTTAAGTGATGAGCACTAGTAATTTAACTGAACTTTGTGAAATTTAAATTATAATGTTAGGAATAACAAAATGACTAGTTGGTAAGTTTATGGATGCCCACACGGCATCGGTAATGCCTATAGACGGCCTATGCTTTGTCAGCCTTCGGGATGCCAAGGCAACACTCGTTATGCCAGCAGAGGCAAGTACGGCTGCTTTGAATCTTGGCTGCCAAATCCTATTTACCGAACTTGTTGAATATGTTTATCTCCTTCAGCAAGAGTTATAGAGTGAATAGGGTGTAAAGATTAGTAGTTAAACAAGGTGTTACGTTGATAAGCCATCGACGCTACTAGAACTACTGCGGCAGTGGAAACTGCAATGACTACTAAATCCCAATCTATAATTATAAATACACCACCCTATACAACTAGTTTTAATAGCTTGCAACGTTACTCCCGCAGATAAAATACAAACTTTGTTAATAGATTCAGTCCATCTGGCTACTAAAGCATGTATTAATGGAGCATAACGGAGCCGCTGAATGGCGTAAGACCGTAGCTGCACAACTATTGGCATTAGTGGGACGGCTGTGGCTTGAAACCCATGTTGCTGATCCGGCGCTTAGACCAAACCATTTGATGGTTGTGACTGGCGATGAGGAGGAGCTAGGTGAGTGAATTTGAAATCTTACTAGATAACTGGCAAACTGTTATAATATTAGATAATAACTGGCAAACTGTAATAATATTATATAACAACTGGCAAACTGTAATAATATTAGATAACAACTGGCAAACTGTAATAATATTAAATAACAACTGGCAAACTAATAATATTAGATAACAACTGGCAAACTGTAACTTGTACAAAGTTTCTAATTCTCAATAGTGTGTCAGTGGCGAATCGAATGACTAAAATAGTTTAGAAGACTGACGTTCCATAATACACGTCCGATAAGAATAGGACTTTCCTCCTTTACGCTTCGCAATGCGCATCAAATACTTTGTGTAAACAGTTTGCAAGAAATTAAACTTTTGTATGTGCTTGCATTTTTGCTGTATTTTCTTTAAAATAAATGAAAGAATAATCTTAAAATGACGACGTGAAAAGTGTTTCAAAAGAGAGGCATGTTGTCACAAAAACTCTTCTTTAGCTCATCCTGCACACGTAATACGTACAAGTATTTAACCGCAACATGTTTGCGTTTTCAGATAACAGATGGCGCGCGCCTGCTACAGCTAGCTACACAGGCACTACATGCGCAGCCGTCGTAAACTTAGTACGTCAGCTGCACGCGGCTCCTCAATGGCACACACCCATCACGGCACTGCTCCTCGAAAAGCTTCAACTGGCAGCGCAAATGGTATTGCTATGATGAAAAATATATTTTTAAGCAGGTTTAGTGCTTCAAGATATTCGTAACTTAACTCACCTCAAAAGTCTTCAAGCTTACTTTCCCTGTAGATGTTCATCCATTTTAATATTAACCACAATAATCAAAGTTACAAAGTACATAATAAAATGGTGCGACGGTTATAGGCATACTACAATTAACTTACAATAGGTGGCGCGCGTATCGTACCGACAAATTTATTTGAAAGTTATAAATATCATTTAACTTCAATGAATGTATTATCATTCCCAATTAAACAATATAATCCTTCCAAATTTAAAACGATATTTCCCCAATTATTTCGTCTGCGGCTGCGACGCGTCGGGTACCAACTAGTTACTAATAAAAATAATTAGAATACTTACATTATTCATTTCCCCATTGTTATTCTGAGACCAATAAAGAAAGATATGGAACAGCATGGTTTTAGATGCATATGTGTGCGTCCAGTATAAGGCTTTTACGGAATATTAAAGAATCGTTTCTGAGAAGGTGGATGCGTGAGTGCATTGTGCGTGCCCAGAAGTTGAGCATTATTTAGGCGTCACATGGAATGTATGTCGTGTTTAATCCGTCCCATTTACTATCACTTGGAATTGAATTAGCTTTGCCTATGCCCAGGTCCAGGTGTTCGCTCTTACAGTCGGAAGTATTTTAGCTTAATCATCTATAAAATGAATGGTCTAAAAGATCAGAAAGAAAATACACAGTATTTTATGTCTTTTGTTTATTATCATAATAATATTGCATTAATTTTAAACTTAACTTTGTGTGATAAAACGTAATTATTATGTATTTTTGTTTTAGATAACAAGTGATTGGCATTGGTGGCCGCATGCTAGTCAAGATCTTACTCAACCAGTGAAGCCATCACCTCCCTCTTTGAATACCTGTCTAATAGGTACTTTTTAATTTTATAAGTTTGTGAAATCTGGAGAAATAATGCAGTGTCATATGAAAACTGTTGATTTTTAGCTGGTGCGTTGGGCGTTGTTGGTGGAGTAGAATGGCGTATCAGACTTGGTCAGAAAGTGACGGCTGGCTCACCACCGCGGAATGCAATCGTCACGCAACTGTCACAGAGGGCGAAAGTTACTTTAATACACGATGACAACTCAGTCAGCAAGGTATTGTTAAATACTGTTTTATGTAATTTATTCATTAGAATATTTATTTACGAAGTAGTAAATATATTATTATATTTATATAAAATATATATTTATATTTGCTGAGTAGTGGTGGAATAAGATAATTCACAATACAATCTAATCCATTGGGTGTTGTAACAGGTGACAGAGGTAAACTGAAACAAGAGATTCGCAGCAGAATCTTCCTGCTATCAATTCAAAATAATAAAATTTGCGGTTCCAAATCGTGGCAACTATGACAAATGCAGAATCAAAAGAGGGATCTCCATGAGGCAATATAATATGTAAAGACTCCTTTTCTGCCTAGGAGCTCGTCTTCCTTCTTACCTATTTTTGCTGCCAAATAGGAGTATTTGCACTGCTGTGCTTTGGCCTGATAGGTATTATGAGAGCCAGTATAATTACAGGCTGTCAGGCACTCCATTTTTAGTTCCCAGGAGTGATAACGCATCTGTACCGTTCTTTGTTTAAAGTTTGTTGCTGGTGTCCATGGCTGCAGTAGCCACTTACCATGAAGTGGACTGTAAGTTCGTTTGTCAATTCAGTATTATAAACAAAAAATCTCATATTAAGTTTAACAATATAATAGTGAATACATGCGGTGGTGTTGTATAAGGTCAACCTATTCTAAATTGTTTCATGAGGTAAGCGTTCTCATAGAGGAACTATTCTCAGAATTTTCAAGCGGCGGGAGTTGCGTAAATCTAATTGAAGTGAAATTGAGAATTAGAATTCTAGTTTTTAAGCGAATAAAAGAATGTCGCGTTTATATTAGAGGTTGATGTTTAATGTGTATTTTTGTACAATTTGGTTAGGTGGAATTGAATTCGGTGAGGAGCGCGGAGTGCGAGCGGCTGGCGCAGGCGCTGGGCGGCGGCGAGAGCGCGCTGCGCGTGTGCGCCGCGCTGCTGGGCGCCGCGCCCAGCGCGCTGCCGCTGCACCCGCACCACCTGCCCGGTCAGTACGCCCGCACCCGCTACATGCACTAGCTGTGTCTACTACACCCTAACATTTTATACATATTAAGGGGGATGCTCCGATACCCCAGCCATACATTTTTGGTTTGACATAGATATGAAGCGTAGACAATACACCATTTAATTATTTGGGTGTAGCGTAGTGCAGATATTTTTTTATACCTAAATGAAACTAACAAAATGATACTGAACTTAATGACACCTTAATAAATTTCATAATAATTTGAAAGCTTTTAGAAAAATTTACTTCGCAAATATCCGCGTTATAAAATAAAATGATGTGTCTTACCTAGTATGAAGAACACCTCCCGCCCTCCCTCAATTGCGTGCACTATCCCCGTCACCACTAATCCCTGTTGGGAGTAGCGGTGCTGGGATTAGTGGTGACGGGGATAGTGCACGCAATTGAGGGAGGGCGGGAGGTGTTCTTCATACTAGGTAAGACACATCATTTTATTTTATAACGCGGATATTTGCGAAGTAAATTTTTCTAAAAGCTTTTATATGATGGATTTCCGCAAAGTAACGCCTGATTCTATTAATTATATTCATAATAATTTTTAAATACCAATTAAACATTTTATATGTTTTCTCTTGTTTTCATAATATTAACAAGCGTCATTTAATTTTCTAGCTGAGATAGACGTTTACGCCCTAAGAAGACAACAAATGGAGCTGCTAATGTTATGTGCTGCTAGAGGCCTACTCACAACTAGAACGCGTCTCAGAAAAGTTTTAATGCAACCACCGGACAATGGTGGTACGTAAATTTATTTTTCATTTAGTTACAATTTTCTAAAATAAGAAAAGCTGTACAGTCTTTAATATATTCATAAATTGTTGGTGAGGGGTAACAAAGTTATATATTTGGTTTTTCTTCGGCTTTCTTCAATGCTTACCACTTTATTTTAGTTTCAAGTAGTGGAATATAACAAGAACTGACTAAACTACTACTGCTTGCAGACACGGCTATATCGGTAGTCTTAGTACATCAGAAGATTTCTTCATTATAAAGAGCAATGGCAGAAAAATAGTTGACAAAAATTATTGCGTCTAGAAATAAATTATATATAAAATGAGTTTTATTATTGTTCTATAATTTTTGAAATAAAAATGTATTTTAAATAAAGCCACAGAAAAAAACAAATATTTTTGGGGATATCAAATGACTTAAATCATTTTACTCTATTCAAGTGTTGCCATTTACTATATCTATACAAATAATAAAATTGAAGTGTCTGTTTGTAATGTCAAAATTACAGTTTTTTACTAAATGCATATGAAAGTAAATACGATACCTATACCTAAAATACAATTTTTAAAATTTTTGTTTGTCTGTCTGTCTGTCTGTCTGTCTGTCTGTCTGTTTGTTCCGGGTAATCTCCGAAACGGCTGGACCGATTTTGACGGGACTTTCACTGGCAGATAGCTGATTTCATAAGGAGTAACATAGGCTACTTTTATTTTAGAAAAAGAATCAGGGTTCCGCGCAGAAACATAAAAACCCTAACACGCGAACGAAGTCGCGGGGAACAGCTAGTTTATACTATTTTCGTATAATTTTGTAAGACTACCAACGCAACACACAAATACAAAATATTTTTATATAAAGTTATTATTAGTAATAACTATACTATCTATACAAATAAATAAAATTGAAGTGTCTGTTTGTAATGTCAAAATTACAGTTTTTTACTAAATGCATATGAAAGTAAATACGATACCTATAACTAAAATACAATTTTTAAAATTTTTGTCTGTCTGTCTGTCTGTCTGTCTGTCTGTTTGTTCCGGGTAATCTCCGAAACGGCTGGACCGATTTTGACGGGACTTTCACTGGCAGATAGCTGATTTCATAAGGAGTAACATAGGCTACTTTTATTTTAGAAAAAGAATCAGGGTTCCGCGCAGAAACATAAAAACCCTAACACGCGAACGAAGTCGCGGGGAACAGCTAGTCAGTAATAAAAGTGATATGGTTGAAAATAAGTCTCTTACAAAGAACTTCCTACAATAATACATTATCTCAATCATAGTTCTTTGTAACAATTTCATTTAATGTTATGGCAGCACTAGCTAAAACAAAATGTCACTGTTTTTTTTTTACTTGCTTTACGGCTCTGGGTCCTAGCCCGATCTGAGAATGTCATTGTATGACACAAAGGCCCTGGACCCATGCCAGAAATAAACATTTATAGTATGCAAATATATAATAGAAATACAATAATGTAAACACTCTCAACTATGTAGGTGGGTACATTACGTTGAGAATTTATTAAGCTAACATCAAATAACCACAGGACGCATGACTTTTCGCATGACATAACCTAAAAAGGTTCAAATCTAAATATCTTGTTTTTGACGCCTTCTCATGACAAAATACTTTGACAGAGTTATTAAGGGACTGACGCTTAACATTTTAAGATATTTTTGATATATAGACGCTACCATTCCTTCTCAACTAATTTTATGTATGAAAGTCTGCCATTGTTCTTTATGTAATCAGTGAAGTAATTACTCGCGATCCGCCCCGGCTTTGCATGGGTGATTTCTAGATCTCGACAACAGCGCCACCTACTGGGTCCGATTGTGAATCTAAACCATCCAGGGACCCACTCAAAAGATATTCTGGCCGAGTTTCATATATATAAGAGCTAAGTTTAAAAATGTGATGTTTCTTTGAAATTAACGCCCTCACAACTCCCCTTGCGGGCGGAATTTCGTAAAATCTGACCTCTACTCGGCGAAAGGAATATTCCTACCAAATTTCAAGGCTCTAGGCCTTATGGTTCCAGAGATATTGTTATGAGTCTGTACGTTGGCGGAAATCTCTTACATTATTAGATTATTTGGATAATTGTAAATATAAAAGACATGGACAATTTTTTTCTATCAATTTTTGTGAAAGGCATTATATTACTGACTATAATGCTTTTTATAAGAATATAAAGTAAAACATGTATAAGTTGTGAACTTGTGATGATAACTACGAATTTATATCCCTGTGCTTTTAGGAGCATGTCAAATAATTTATTTTGTTGGTTTTGCAGGTACAATGGAAAGAGGCGGCAGTACGGGCACCGAGGGCACGTTGTTGCGTCGCCTGCTGTCGCTGGCGACGCGTCCCAGTCCGTTGGCCGCGGCGTACTCGCCCCGCGATCTCGCCACCGCCGCCATTGCCATCGCGCACCAGCTTGCCGCACACGTTGCCGGTAAGCATGGTAAACAATAATGATTCTTAATGTAATAATTGTAAGACTGCTTTTACAATGGTCGTTGTTTCTCTCATTATTTCATACATTACCGAAATATTATCACATCTGTCAAAAATGTGTATGGGGAAACTGTAATGGTATATTATTTCTATAATAAAATATCAGCAATATCAGTCAAGTCAGTACAAATCAAAGGTCGACTCCCAAAAATAAAAAATTATGTGTGTAATAATTTATTACGTTCTGAATTTTCGTTAAATGATTTTAAATTTATATTTCGCCATATTTATTTATTTTTCTGTATAGGAGATGAAAAAGATGTCGATTCGCCTCCTGATTTTCCAATTATAGACAAGAGTAATATGATGCAAGTTTCCATGGGCCCGTCTACGAGCACAGCGTCTTTGTGTGAGTTTTAACAAAAAGTTTAATTATTAAATTTTAAAACACATCAGAAAATTTATTAATTTCATTTTTCAGCACGAAAAGATCTCAATACATGGGCAAACTCTTCTCAAGTGCAACAGGTCATAGAAATGGGTTTCTCACGACACGCTGTCTATGGAGCCATACAAACTTTGGGTAAAATCATTTCTCACATAATATTTGATTTAACTTTATTGATTTGAACTTTTAATATTATCAGTAATCTATAAAGAAATTAGTCACCTATTGAATTATTATAATCAGTATTTTTTTTCTATATTTAATTATCTTAGGTGGTAACACTATACCGACAGTGGAAGCGCTGGTCGCTTACTTACTAGAACAACAGCAGCACGGTTTCGATGAGACGGTGTACGAAGTAAAACCTCAAACGTCTAAACAAGAGAAGCGTCCTGCGCCGTACCGTTGGCGCAGTTGTTTCGCTTCCGAGGAGGAGTACGCTCAGTACCTTTCGGATATTATCACTCCAGGCATGACTGTGCGATGCTGTAAAGCTTATGAAAGTGTAAGTATGAAACTTACCTTTAAGTTATATTTGTTGATTCTCTTTTTCTAACATAACATACCTTTTATACAGGTCGCTTTGGGAGACGTAGGTCAGGTGCAAAAAATTGAACGTGACATAAAACAGAATGTATTCCTACATGTAAGTTTTGATTATTACACTTTTTATATTTATCAAATCATATCGTAAAAAGTAAAATATGGCGTAATAAAATCCATCAACTCTAGCTTAAGGAACTGCCAGCAAGATGTCAAGGCCATCGACAATCTCGTTGATGTCAGATTTAAAAAACACGGATAGCTGAGGGCGAACTGTTCAAAGTTGCGAGATGTTTCTGTTCTGCAATCGCCAATCCGCCTGCCTAACGTGACGATTATTGCAAATAACTCCTACATAGGCAGATGCCAATGTTTAATAGAGGACTATTAAGGGCTAATGATATAGAAGGTGTGTGCATTATTGAAACACAGTAAAACAATCTTATTGTTTTGATTATTATATTCGGAGCCTACACTTCTTTGTCTTAGGGTATTTTGGACAATGTATCACAGGGTTTATGTACACATTCTTGGTTTAAAGGCTTGTAGCTAATGCCTTAACAAATAAAAAACCAGTCCAAAGTTTGTAAAAAAGGCTTCCAAAACTTATTCTGCCATCAGGGCGGCGCCACTTAGAATTGAGGTGAAATATTTGACATATTATCTCCTCCAGGGAAGTTAAATTGTTAGAAAAGTGTATAAAGATTAACTTTCTGAAATATTAGCTATATTTTATACTAGATGTTTCCTGTGTCTTCGTCCGCGTGGAATTTATGACCGTTAGATTTCATTGGTTTTAAATGTTTGCGCGTAACCCTAGTTCTTTTTTCTAAAATAAAAGTAGCCTAAGTTAGTTCTTATTACATCAGCTATGTGCTAGTAAAAGTCTTGTGAAAATCGCTCCTGCCATTTACATTTTACTATGATATTACACATTAGACTACACATTAAATGAAACTAATTTTTACGGATTTTATCGCGTTTAATTTAACTTTTTGTTTCGCGACGTTTCGGGTGTTAACAAGCAGCAGCAGCAAGGAGCAGATGACAGCGCCCATCCATGGATGTGTGCTGCGATCTGCTTGGGATCCTATAATTAATAAAATATAATCCAAACCCAAGCATACCACTGCAAGACTTCAAGATACTGTAAGCTGATTCTGCGTAGATTGGACCAAAAATTAATATTCATAAACTGAAGGTAGCCGAGCTAACTATGACATCGGGACGCCAAACACCTCAGTCCCCTTACCGTGACCATGGATACTGTAAAGCACCCAGCACTTAAAAAGTTATTAAACGCGATAAAATCCATAAAAATGAATTTAATTTAATTAGCCGTAATTAGTATTTAACGTGGTGCGGTTGGGCGGGCGTGTGCGTGTGCGTGTGCGCAGGTGGAGTGGCGCGGGCTGGGGCGCGTGTGCGGCGTGCGCGCGCTGCACGCGGAGGTGGTGTCGGGCGCGCCGCCCTTCGCTCCCGGCGACCGCGTGCGCGTGCGCGCCGCCGTCACGCAGCCGCGCTACAAGTGGGGCTGCGTCGACCACACGTGCGTCGGCACCGTCACCGGTACGCACCTTCCTCTCGTTTGCATCCCGCCCACACTTTTATTGCGCCTTTTACAGCGCCCCATGCCAATCTACTTCACATTATATATATAGTGAAAACAAACTAGGATACAAGCAGGGACATTAAACGTTACTCAAAATAACGTTACGCGTAGTTCGAGTAACGATAATTCATACCGTTCTACTAGGAATTTAACAAAATGAATTCCTTGTCTATAAAGATTATTGAGATAATATATTAAAAATATTTCGTTGATTAATATAACGATATAACATCATTATTGATATAATGATATAATTTCATTATTAATCTGTCTATGGTTAAGACACATACTTTACATATTTTATATAATATGCGATGATCTCTCTCTAACGAACTTAATGGTAATGCTTATATACGGCGGCGGTGGCTTCTACGGGGCGCGATAACGGAGCGGTAGTGTACAAGTGAGTTTGTAACGTTTCAGCCGTAACGATATTATAAGCGAATATAGGCATAACGTTACCGATACCTATAACGTAACGAAAAATATTGTTCTACGAAAATGATATTCTTCAACTTTATTGACAAGTTTAGCATTCAGTATCATTACAAACTTTTAAACGTTACGAAATGACATTTAGTGTAACAAATTCAATTCGTTTCCGAGGCCCTGCTTACGACCTAAATAATTATATTAAAAGTAAGCTCTTAAAAACATAATTGTAGTGGGCCTGACGACTCTATACGAATACTCGTACTTGGTTTTTAATAACATTACCATAGGCACACATAAACCGTGTAGTGGCGGTGTAATCATATCAAAAACCCCACATTGTCCCGAGGTAGTCGTAAAAGGTGACAGAAGAAGAATGAAACAGGAGATGGGCAGCAGCATCTTTCTGATAACAACTTAAAATAGTAAAAACTGTGGTTGCCTAGCGTGGTAACTATGATAAAATCCCCCTTCTTAAAGGCCTATGTTCAGCTGTGGACTTTCATACGCTGTAATGGAATGATGCTTTATTACTTCTTAGAACTAAAACGAAACGTCTCACAGCTTGTAATTATACTTTTCAAACTAATCCACAATAGAAGATTCACTAGTGAAGAAAACCACAAACAAAAATGGGTTTTATATAAGTACGCAGTTAAAACATATCTCCGACTATTCAAGTTTCTAAAAATACTAAACAGACTACAACACCCCACTCTCCATAGTATTGCTATCGTGCTTCAGTTTATTAGAACGGTAATTAATACCAAATAAACATTTTGTCTCGACCCTAAAAACACTGTAGGATTCCCGCTAATAACTTTGTTTTAACTACGGCCAAGAGATATTACCTTTTCACGAGACAAAGTTACTACGTGGTAACACACCTTTTCTGCCTCGGAGTCCGTCTGGCCAGGCACCACCCTCTTCCGTTTTTCTGCCGCCAAATAGCAGTGCTTGCATTGCTGTGTTTGAGTCTGAAGGTCATAGAGAGCCAGTATTTACGTGGTAGAGCCATGCTGCAGCTATATTATGGTTGTAGCACAAACGGGTTGGCTCGACCGGGGTGAGCCACACTCTCACAGAATACCAGCGTAAAATAGCAGATTAATGCGGCTGTGTTTCGTATGGTGACTGTAGAGAACCGGAGACCCATTTTACTGGAAACAAGGCACTCCATCTTAGTATTCAGGAGTGACAACTATATATATATGTTACGGCCCTCAGTTACCCCGGCAAAAGTCGACTGGGCTAGGGCCCATAGTAGCCCCCTCGACGAGCAACTGAGGGTTCGGGCCCAATGGCCTATGGATAATTCTTAACTAAGGGCTAACAAGCAAACGCAACTTACCGAGTTCCGGAGGCAGGGTTGACCTCAGTGTATCAGTCAGGTGGTAGGTGAGGTGTATGTAAGTAGTGTGCGAAAGTGTGTAGATGTAACCTGACGTCACCGATGATTTGAGAGCAGACCCACAGGCGTTGCTTTTCTCCAAAATGTGCGATCCCTCCAGTGGGCGTTCACCAATCTTCTGCTTTTATTTCACTATATTAGTTTATCAACTTTATTGTAAATTTAATTAACTTCAAATTTAACCAAATCAACGTTAATCGAAATTAAAACAAGTGACACGCTGCACAACTTAAGAACGGTCGGTCAAAGTTCAATGTCGCAGGTTCACTTAGCACGAAATTATAACCACGAGCACGAACGCGATCTCTTCTAGAGTCACAAAATTTCAGTGTTCCACCCGACAAAGCCAATGTCTTATTACGATATCAAAATGACACGCAACAACTCGTCGATGCAAATTAATGTCATCGACGTAAATCAATAGAAGTTAACTTAATCACTCAAAAACTCCCGAGACGCCTCTTTGTCACGTAAAACGAACGAAAAGACAACTCAATTCGAGGCAGTCGTCACGCGACCAAACTATACGAGAGTAACTTCTACACTTACACGGCGGCCGCGCCCAACTCCTCAAAACTATTACAACAAGAATTATATAAGACAAGCCTCGTTGTCACGCAAAACGCACGAGATCAGACAACGCTATTCAGAGGCGGTTTCGAGCGCAAACTTTAGACCGTCCAACCGACACCGGCCGCGCCCAACCAACTGACCTCGCCCACGCGTACAGGCCACCGAGCGCTCGGCCAAGATATATATATATCTATAGGCCACAGCATCCACTTACCATCATGTGGACTGTGTGCTCGTTTGTCACCCTTATTCTATATAAAAAGAATGATAGGTTTTGAGACACTCCATCCAAGTACGAGTTGATAACATATAAAACCTTCTTTGTTTGAAGTTGGATGCAGGTGTCCGTCCATGAGATGCATTAGCCACTTAACGACTGGTAAATTAGTTAAACAAGATGGTAAGTTGTCAAATTAGTTAAGTAAAAAAATATAAAAATATAGTTAATAGTTAAGTATAAAAACCTATTGAATCTCAGTTAAGATTAGTAGCGGTTCTAACTGTGCATGATATAAAACATTTCCCTTGCTTCCTTGCTACGTCAATAAGAATCCAATGACACTCATTTCCATGTCTTTCTATCTTATTCGTTGAATTAAATTAATAAGTTATTAAAAATTTGATTTCAGGAATTTCTAGCAACGGCCGTGACTTGACAGTAGATTTTCCTCAACAACCCGGCTGGACCGGTCAAGTCAGCGAAATGGAACTAGTCACAGATCAATGTAAGTTAATTATATATTTGAAACAATTACGATTGTGTCCTTTCGTTTTTAGCAAATGCTTGTTATTTATTTTGTATTTTCTTCCGCCGCTTTTAGTTCGAAACCCAGTCAAAACTGGCTTTTGTACCGAACACAAATGATAAGTTATATATTTGCATTTTGATATATTTCATTGATTGATTTGTCATGTATTACAGTCTATCAAAAATCCTCTGTTGAACATAGGGCTTTCCCATAGATTTCCTCATAGAGGAGAATATTTGCTACGTTTAGCAGGCGTGCTGATAACTGAAGTATTATTTTGTAGATGCCGCTCCCCATCTCCTCTTCTTATGTCCCTCTGTAGTCTTACGACAACCGATGATATGGGGTAGTGTATTCTCTCACGCAGCTACTATACTACACTATCCTCATGTTTGTCATTTTACCTCTGGCAGAGTGGTAAAGTGCAGGCTAGTACTTTGTATTTCTGGTTTCGTTAATACTTGAGTATTTTAGGAAATGGTCAAATGATATAATAATTAGCGACCAAACATCATCAGATCGTGGTGTTTGTCGAAATAATGTTTTAGGCACCCTAATATCCTTTATTTTTACCTATATTTACAATTACTTGTACAAATGTTCAAAGATCAGTATCCATTTGTTGTCTTGTATCCATTGTACAAGAAAACTTAGGTGTGGTTTTACGAATCGATGTAAAACATTCTTTAATGCAAAACGAATTTCTTGAGGCCATAAACGCTAATGTTGGTCATAGACCTTTTCTAATATGAAGGCTCGCCGTTCTATCGTCGTATCGTCGTTCGTATCTGCTCGCCCTTGCCGGTTGTTGTATTTTACATCTGCTATTTACGAGATAGTTATAGAAGCCGTACATATATCGTCACAAGATCTCTCTGGCAATTCCCACTATCGTTTCTTACAATAATTACGGAACGAAACAAAGTTGAAACGAGTTGATGTATTTTTTTACGCTATCATCATTATCAATATAATAATAATTAAGCAAGAAAATAATAGTAAAGTTAAAAAAAAACTGCTTATTAAAAGTGTAAACTATTCGATTCGATTCGATTCGATGTAACGTATATTTTTCGGCTTATGTAGTAATGAAACCAAAAATGGAATTTAATATTTCTACTTCAAAATATACAGTTCATTCGTTAAGGTTGTTTTTCTTAAAGGCGACATAATTACAAAAGTATATTTTTAGCAACAAGCAACAACTCCCAACGCATAGCTTTCTGTTCGCATCGAGCGAGAACGTTTAACAATGAGCAACAACGTCCGTAGGTCTGTTACCGTGGTATGTCTGCGAGGTTAGCCTAAGATGACGTTCTACGATCGTCAATGCTACCATAGCGTTAATGAAGGTAGAATGTAATGTTGGCTAAGACCGCTGAGAAGGCAGTAGTAGTATAATATGGTGATGGTGTGCGTGCGGTTGGTGGGTGCAGCGGAGTGGGGCGAGAGCGCGGGCGGCGCGGCGGTGGGGTGGCGCGGCGCGGTGCGCGTGGTGCGCGTGTCGTCGTGCCGGCCCGGCGCCGGCGCGCGCCGCCTGCTCGACGCGCAGCCGCACACCTACTGGCAGAGCTCCAGCGGCACCGGACAGGTACCGCACACACACCCTACACTACCCTCTTTGCTCTTCATACGTAATGCCCATACACGATCCAGTTTACCGTCAAATTTGCATAGGCGTTTGAATAGGCGTCCAGTTTGCAGTGCCTCTATATAGACCATTCACGTTCAAGTTCGCCGTCTAGTTTGCATCGGTTGAAATCATGACGTTACCAGTGACGGACGATGATGCGTTAGCCATCCTAGACTTATTGCTCTGACTAACGTCATGTATACTTGATCGCTCATACGCACGTTCAAGTTTACATGACGCGGCAATCTTGATCAAGTCGGCGGTGAAGGAAAACATCTTGAGAAAACTTGCATCTCTAGGACAAATAAGAAAAAAATATATTTCGAAGACATGTGAAGTTTGCCAATTCGCCCAGCGCGGCGGATATTTCCTTGCCCTAAAACCCTCTCAGAAAAGGTAGAAGGTGATAAGTACTTCATTGTAGCTTCTCAGATTCATCGTAAAACGGAGCTATTCTGCTGAATCTGTTCCGAATCTAGAGCTGTGAATAAGATTTTTTATTATTATATGTGTTTCGGTAGCTCCATGTGAAAGAAGCTTTTGGAAACTCAAATTAATAAAATTTTACTTAAGGTCTGCTGAATGCTGCTAACGAGGAAATCGCAACTAACCAATCTTTCCATTTAATCTATAGAAAAGGAGAAGAAAGTAAATTTTGATAATGCAGAAGAATATTTTGGCAAAATAAAGTTCTGTAAGCATGTTTAGCATTTTTTGTTTCTTTTTGGGGGTGCTTGATAGAAAACCGCCCTGGGTGCCAACCCATGCTACGCTGTCGCCGGTTATATCTAGTCTTGAGTTAACTTTATTTATTTAAAATGCAATAGGAATTGTCAATTATCCTATTGTTACAAATTACTTAAAATTATTTTAAAAAAAATTGATATTTCTTAGTAATGACTTAACATTATAAAATATTCTAAGAACATATTCAGCAGTAAAAAGTAAATACAAGATAACACCAAAATTTATGAAGCATGCAAATTACAAACCAACAGCAGGGCAGCCTCTCCGCTCACACAACAAACAAAATCATGACATCGAATAAGTTTTGTAAAATGATTGACGGAAGCTTGTTGAAACGAGTAGATGTTTCGAAGTTTATCCTCACTTCTTTTTTATTTACTTTTTTATGCACTCAAATTGATAACTTCATATTTTCGTTGATAACATTAATATGAGTGCGGTGTGGGCGCAGCACTGGATCCGCGTGTCGATGCGGTGCGGCGTGCGCGTGCGGCGGCTGGGGCTGGGCGTGGCGGGCGGCGCGCACGCGGCGGGCGCGCTGTGCGTGCGCGGCGGCGCCAGCTTCGAGGAGGCCGCGCTCGTGCCGCTGGCCGCCGCGCCCTGCGTGCCCTGCGCGCCCGCCGCAAAGCGTGACCGCCCGCCCGCGCACCTCGCACAGGTGCAGCTGCTCGCCGACTGCAAGCAGGTATGCAAGCCGCATTGATTGCTAGGTACGATCATTTGATAACACTAGCGAGGTTCTCCAGTCGCAGTCGAGTACCGGTAGCGTTAAGATAAATCCCAACTAGACGGAATGACGACCTGGTCGTATATGCTGAGAGGCGATGAAAGCGTGCCCTGTGGCATCCTTTGGGAGAGGTCTGTGTTCAGTATTGAACATGTGAAGGACTGTAATGATGATAATGAAATAATATTATTACTATCTTTTATACAATATTATTATTATATTAATAAATGTGACGCAAAAAGTAATGATTTCGTAATGGAGTAGAAACAGATAATACTGTTCTTCAGATATCACTGTTCAAGCTTGTAGCGGGTCAGAGTGTTCAACGTGATTACAAACACACGATCCTATATTACATTGTGCTGTGAATAAACATCGCCAGAGTTCTGGTTCTGCACTCAGAACTTATCAATTACTAAGCACTAGGTACATAGCGAATCAATTAATTGCGCAGAGAATACTAAACTGTTACAATTGTACACACTAACAGAGATTCTCATTTATCCTAATATATGACCTACCCGTACCCCATGCAACACTCATACGATAAGAGCGGAGCACGCAGGATGCAGTTTTCAGAGACACAAAGACAGTTACAACTCAAACAAATACTTAAGTCATCCATTAATTTATGTCTGCACACATTTTGGTCTCCAATCACAAGTTCATATAGTTATAATAATAGGATAAATATATTATACTAGCTGTACCCCGCGACTTCGCTTGCATGTACTTTGGTTTTAATTTTTTTTGCGCGAAACCCTAATTTTTTTTCTAAAATAAAAGTAGCCTAAGTTACTCCTTATAACTTTAGCTATCTGCCAGTGAAAGTTACGTCAAAATCAGTCCAGCCGTTTTAGAGATTAGCTGGAACAAACAGATAAAAATTTTAAAAACTGTGTTTTTGTTATAAGTACCGTATTTACTATCATATGCATTTAGTAAAAAGCTTTTATTTTTAACATTACAAACAGACATCAATTTTATTTACTTGTATAGATGTATAAGATAAACTATTTTTGTAGTACTGTTTCAACGATATAGTATGTTTATTTTGGTCGAGGAAACAAACAGTATTTAATACATAAGTATATTGAATATATTTTTGTAAAGTGAAACTTTTCTAGCCCCTAAAATAATATTTTTGCCACAATTCACGTTCTAATTATTAATTTTCCGTTTTTAGTATTATCCCTGCATAGAAATTGGAATAAAGCAAAACCGCAACGTTAATGCAGACTGTCGAGTGCACGGTCTTTATATTACCGGCTTTAGACCAAACCCACTGTACTCAGAAATCTTAACGGTAAGTAGAGTTAATGATTGCTTTAATTTTAATGAGGTTTTTAAACTTTTTGTTTATAATATGGGTTATTTTTATAGAACATGAATTTCATTGCCGAAGACTGGATGGAAAAAGATAACCCAACTGGTGCCACTTCTGCTGAAACTAATCCAGCGTCACTACCCAGTGATTGTCCAAAGGTAGTGTTTTATGAAAGCAAAGAATATTACAGTAGTTTGTATCTTTTTCAAAACCTTATTTTTGTTTACAGGTCTATGTGTGGGGTTTGAATGATAAAGATCAGTTAGGCGGTGTTAAAGGTTCCAAAGTAAAAGTGCCGGTATTCTCGCCAGTTTTAAGTGCACTGCGACCAGTTCATATTGCTGGTGGGTCGAAGACACTTTTTGTCGTGTCTCATGATGGCAAAGTAAGTATTTTTTTAAGTATCAGCAATAACATTTTCAAATTAAATAAAATACGTTCTTTCGTTTAAAACCATTTTTACAACTTATAGCAAATTTTACTGTAGAAATCTTCGCTGTTTTAAAGAAATGTGTATTTCTTTTATAATTCTTTTATGTGAGCAAGCGAAGTTCGCATTTTGAAATATTGCTTAGCATTTCATTTTATTCTATGATACGTTTGTTATTCACGTATCTATGAGGATATTTGTTTTACTTTTGATTCTGCATAAAGGCAACGTATAAATATAATAATCTGAATTACTGCATGTTTCAATAAAGCTTTTAGACACATATTTTCCCATATTATGGTAATCTGTTGGGAAGAGTATTAGTGTGCGAAAAGAGAACTGACGTAGAATGTGAGGAGTAATAGAATAGCATTTTGTCATTATAAGATTTTACACAAAAATAATTATGCACAACACTCAGGAATAATTACATTGTGTTATTCTTTATGTTATCTTCTATCTTTATGTTAGCCGTGTAGTGGCGGTCAAGAATACCACTACCCCATATCCTCCCGTGGGTGTCGTAAAAGGCGACAAAGGGAAACAGGCAGGAGATGGGCAGCAGCATCTTCCTGATAATAGCCAAAATTACAATAAAAAAACTGTGGTTGCCAACCCGCTCGCCAAGCGTGGCAACTATGGCAAATACCCCCCTATGAATGTAACAAAGAGACGGCCCCCAGTCCCCGGCGGCCCCGCTATTCCTGGCTAGGGTGGCGACCATGGTAACGGCGGGGCAGGGGGTGCTAAGAATCTCCGGTGGAGGTTCGGTTGCCACCTTAGACGACTCGACCTGGCAACGTACAACGCACGCACCCTGAGGACTGACGAGAAGATCGTGGAGCTGGAAGAAGAGATAGACAAGTTGCGCTGGCATATTATAGGATTATCCGAAGTCCGAAGAGAGGGGGAGGACACGGTAATCCTCGAATCCGGCAACTTGCTCTATCACCGGGAGGGCGACCATCTGTCCCAAGGAGGTGTCGGATTTATCGTCCACAAGTCTCTCGTTAACAACGTTGTAAAGATCGGGAGTGTGTCGACGAGGGTTGCGTACCTTATACTCAGAATCACCAAACGGTATTCGCTGAAGGTCATACAGGTTTACGCACCAACCTCGGCACACCCCGATGGGGAGGTGGAGCAAATGTATGAGGATATCTCTAGAGCCATGCATTCCTCCAAAACCCAATATACGGTGTTAATGGGAGACTTCAATGCAAAACTAGGCACAAGAGAGAACGGTGAGCTGAAAGTAGGGAAATTTGGAATAGGGCAACGGAACCCAAGGGGCCAGCAGCTGGCCGACTTCATGGAGAAAGAGGGACTCTTTATGATGAACTCTTTCTTCCAGAAGCGGCCCTACAGGAAGTGGACCTGGTCGAGCCCCGACGATTCGACAAAAAATGAGATTGACTTCATTATGACGACCAGACGACAACTGTTCAGTCATGTCTCCGTGATCGCGAGGGTGAAAACTGGTAGCGATCACCGAATGGTTAGAGGCACACTGAACCTAAACGTTAAGTTGGAGAGGTCTCATCTAATGAAGTCAACGCTCCGTCCCCCTCGTGCTCTGTTCCAAAGTCCCGAAACCTTTCAGCTCGAGTTACAAAAACGTTTTCAGTGCCTAGAAGACTGCAATGAAGTGGACGATATGAATGACAAGCTCGTGGAAACTGTCCATGCGGTCGGAGCTAAGTTCTGCAAGACCCGCCGCAGAAGAACACAAAAACTCTCCGATCACACTCTTAATCTCATGGCTGTTAGACGGGAGATGAAGCTACATTCTTCAACAGACTTGACAGCATACAGGCATCTGAACTCTGATCTCCAAATGCATGCGGCGGGACTTACGCAACTTCAATACAGCTCGTATTGAAGAAGCGATCGAGCGGAACCAAGGCTCCAAAGTCTTTGCCAGAGATCTGTCTGCCAGAAAGAGCCACCTGTCAAAGCTGAAGACAGAATGTGGCAGCATCGTTTCCGGGACACCTGAGATTTTGAGTGAGATTGAGAGGTTCTATGGGCAGCTGTACCGTCATCGTTGGAGCCACACGCAAGTGTGAATAACGATCCAAGAGCGAGTCTCATCCGACACTATTCCGAAGATATCCCGGACGTCAGTCTGAGCGAGATTAGAATGGCTCTCCAGCACCTTAAAAACGGTAAGGCCCCAGGCGAGGATGGAATTACAGCGGAGCTTCTGAAAGCGGGTGGAAGACCGGTACTTGAAGTCCTTCAGAAGCTCTTTAATTCCGTCCTCCATGGTGGCATTACACCGGAGGCGTGGAGCAGAAGTGCGGTGGTCTTGTTCTTCAAGAAAGGTGACAACGCTCTCTTGAAGAACTACAGACCGATTTCCCTTCTGAGCCGCGTCTACGTGCTGTTTTCGAGAGTCATTACGAATCGTCTCGCGCGCAGACTTGACGACTTCCAGCCTCCCGAACAAGCCGGTTTCCGAAAGGGCTTTAGCACCATAGACCACATACATACCCTTCGGCAAATTGTACAGAAGTCCGAAGGGTACAATTTGCCACTATGTCTGGCGTATGTGGACTATGAGAAAGCCTTTGATTCCGTTGAAATTTGGGCGGTGCTGCAGTCCCTTCAGCGGTGCTAAGTTGACTGTCGGTATATCGAAGTGTTGAAGTGCTTGTACAGTAGGGCTACGATGGCTATCTGAGTACAGAACCAGAGTACGAAACCTATCCAATTGCAGAGAGGTGTAAGACAGGGTGACGTCATATCCCCGAAACTCTTCACCGCTGCATTGGAAGACGTTTTCAAGCTTCTGGACTGGAAAGGATACGGTATCAACATCAATGGCGAGTACATCACTCACCTTCGATTTGCCGACGATATAGTCCTTATGGCAGAATCGCTGGAGGACCTAAGCACTATGCTCAATGACCTCGATAGTGTTTCCCAACGGATAGGTCTTAAGATGAACATGGACAAAACAAAGATCACGTTCAATGTCCATGTCACACCTATGCCGGTAGTTGTTGGGAGCACTAAGCTCGAAGTTGTTGACGAGTATGTTTACCTGGGACAAATAGTCCAACTAGGTAAGTCCAACTTCGACCGAGAGGTCAATCGACGGATTCAACTCGGCTGGGCAGCGTTTGGGAAGCTACGACACATCTTCTCGTCAGACATACCTCAAAACCTGAAAACGAAATTGTACAACCAGTGCGTGTTGCCAGTGATGACTTATGGAACTGAGACGTGGTCCTTCACTGCTGGCCGTATGAGGAAGCTCAAGGTCGCTCAGCGAGCTATGGAGAGGGCTATGCTCGGAGTTTCTCTGCGTGATAAACTTAGGAATGAGGATATCCGCAGTAGAACCAGATTAACCGACATAGCCCAACGGATTAGTAAGCTGAAGTGGCAGTGGGCCGGCCATATAGCTCGAAGAACCGACAACCGATGGGGAAGAAAGGTTCTCGAGTGGCAGCTTCGTACCGGTAGGCGAAGTGTAGGGCGTCCCCCCACGAGATGGAGTGACGACCTGGTAAGACATGCAGGAAGTCGATGGATGCAGGTGGCTCAGGACCGTGCTTTGTGGCATTCTTTGGGGGAGGCCTATGTTCAGCAGTGGACTTGTGAAAGGGCTGTAATGATGATTCTTTATGTATTTTACTTTACTTTGTTCTGCATATACTATATATATATATATATATATATATATATATATATATATATATATATATATATATAGTATATATATTATATATATATTATAATACGAATGGGTGGTTCCGGCAGCTGTACGCGTGCGGCGAGGGCACGAACGGGCGGCTGGGGCTGGGGCACAGCAACAACGTGTCGACGCCGCGCGCCAACCCGTACCTCGCGCACACGCTCGTGCGCCGCGTCGCCGTGCACTCGGGCGGCAAGCACGCGCTCGCGCTCACCGCCGACGGCAAGGTATACTCGCACTGCACCGCGCGCTATTTCTATTTGTGATCGAATGGAATTAACAAACACTACTAAGTGATAGGACTCCTGTCCAGGAGTCCGTCTGGATAAGTATGCGGTAGAGAGGGTGGTTCTTGGTGGTAGTGTGTGCACTGCTGTGTTCTTAGTACAGTCAAATAAGGTCTGAAATCAAAATTTTGACACTCAACTTTGCATTTTTGATATAATGTAGTTTTAATGATACGAAACCAATGTGTAAAGGTTTTCGTGTCCGCAACCCCCGGCAAGTGTTAAAAAAAATTGTCATAAGTTTTTTCGCAATTACTCGAAAACGGTTCCTCCGGTCAAAATTAACCAAGTTAGGGAGGTTTTAAGTACATGGGATAAATGTAAATTAAAAATAAATCGTAGGGAGTAGAAAAATAAGCAATTTTTTTTATTGCTTACAAATTCTAACCTAAATTTTTTAAATTACATCTTATTCCTCAGAGGTGACATCGCATCTGTAGCCTTCTTTGTTTAAAGTTGGTTGCAGATGTTATTGGGCTGCAGTATCCACTTACTTTCAGGCGGACTGTAAATTTGTTTGTCACTTCGATTTTATAAAGACATGTTTCTTAATTTTTAAATTTATTTGTACACACTGTCCACACAGACACATTGTTAATATCATAGTGTTTACAAAAATTTTAAATAAATGTTTAACTCTAGCACTGGTTATGCTACCCTTCATCATCAGTTAAATTTGGAGCGTATAGTTTTTGGTTTTGAGTTAAAATGCATGAAATAAACAAATACGTAATGCGATTAAAGGTGTAAAAAGTTTGTTACTGCTATCGCCAATCTATGACTGGCCGTTGCTTACGATGATTATCTAATTAAAGGTGTACTCATGGGGCGAGGGGGAAGACGGCAAGCTCGGGCACGGCAACCGGCTGACGCTGGAAGCGCCTCGGTTAATCGAAACGCTGGCGGGCGAGCGCGTGGTGGGCGTGGCGTGCGGCTCCGCGCACAGCGCCTGCGTGTCGGCGCGCGGACACCTCTACACGTGGGGGCTCGGCGAGTACGGCCGCCTCGGACACGGCGACGACGTCACGCAGCTCGCGCCCAAGATGGTGACCACTTTGTATTACTTGAAGCTTTTATGCACCATATATCAAATAATATGTATGAGCAGCTACTTCAGGTCTTGCGATATCAGTATGATCTATTTTGATCGCAACTTGGCGGAGACAATATCCATCCATTACAGCCCACAAAATTTGAATATAAATTTCCTGATAATATGTATTCTGCTTAGTTGCCACGCTTGGCAGACGGGTTGGCAACCGCAGTTTTTTTATTAAATTGTGATATTACCAGGAGGATGCTGCTGCCCACGTCCTGTTTTATTTTCCTTCTGTTGCTTCTCACGACACCCACGAAATGATATGGGGTAGTGGATTTTCTTACGCCGCAACTACACACAGAGAATTTTTCTAAACACTCAGACAAGTAGATTTTACCATTAAACGAAATTCTTTTTCTGAGCACATGGCAATATTACTTTAAATTGTGATTTACAAAACAAATTACTATCTAGAAATATTCGCCTTATTATGATCCTCGTAGCCGGATTATTTGAGTATGTAATGTAATAAGCCGAGTGATGTAAGTAACACACAACAGTTGTTATACATGAACAAACATGTAGGGGATTTCTTTGTTCACCAAAAAACATTAATTATGATATTTTTTTGGAAATCTCGCTGGTTACATTCGTGCTGCGATCGTGTTAAAGTTTCAGCGTGGCAAATCTGTGCTTGATTGTTAGCGATAGTAGATGCAAGGTATCTTATAATAATTTCTTATTACTGTAGTGTTTTTAACTGACATGACAATGGTATTTCGCTTTTGTAACTATTCGGGTTAGTAATCATTAATTTTAGAATTAAATTTAACATCGCTTGCTTTTAAGGTGGAAGCTCTAGCTGGCTTTAGAGTTATTCAAGTAGCTTGCGGATCTCGAGACGCGCAGACTCTAGCATTGACTGCTTGCGGCAAAGTTTTCTCTTGGGGTGATGGAGATTTCGGAAAGTTGGGCAAGTATTTAAAAATTATTATTGAACATAATGTAACGAGTTGAAAAATGACTTGATTATACTTATAAATAAGACGTAAAGAAATTTCTTAAAGTTCATAGTAGTACTATTTGCAAATATATCTTATAACGTGCAACATTGATTGTGGTTTATTGTTTAAAAGATATTTTTAATATAGTTTATTATAGTTTTTCGTTAATGGTTTTCAATGTTTCCTGTTAGGACGAGGAGGTTCAGACGGATGCGCTGTGCCTATGAACATAGAGAGATTGAATACACTTGGTGTGATACAAGTTGAATGCGGTGCACAATTCAGTCTAGCCTTAACAAGGGATGGAGAGGTAAGTTTAATAGTAATTGTCATTAGTTAAAGCGTGAATATTAGCTATAGCTTAAGTTATCATTAGTGCTTAACGAAATCTTGCGTCAGTGCAATATTTTTTTTAGGTTTGTGTAATGTTTTACAATAATTAAAGGCTATATACACGAAAATGTACCCACACTCTTCTTTGAAATTGGCTGCGTTTTTCCTTATCTTTCCATTAAGGATCTATTGGCTTGTTTGTTACTCTATTGTTGACTGAATACTGAAGCGTTGGCCATTTATTTCGAATATTTTACAAAATTATTTTGTAACTTAAATATGGTGACGGGATCATCTCTCTGTATCAATATTTGTCCTTAAAGTGACTGTCACTTTATATCAACTGTGATCCCTACCTGCTACGCTTGACGATATATTAAATATATAAATTTTATGTAAATGTAAAGAAGCGCTTTTTCGAAATAAATATATTTGAGGCTGTTGAAGCAGTAGTAATTTTAGTGGCATGCTGCAGCATGACTCTACTACGTAATATATTGTGTGCAATTAATAACAAAAGAAGATATTGTGGCGTTGAGAATTGTATATTATGCGTACGTGAGGTGTGGACTTGGGGCAAGGGCGACTACTTCCGGCTGGGGCACGGGCTGGACGCGCACGTGCGGCGCCCCACGCTGGTGGAGGCGCTGCGCGGCCGCCGCGTCGTGCACGTCGCCGTCGGCGCGCTGCACTGCCTCGCCGTCACCAGCGACAACCAGGTACCGCCTCACTCACTGCTCGCTCATTCAAATTCAATATTGTTTTCAAACGATTTTTGCTCGGTGCTATCTCATTGCATTGTTTCATGTTATGGGTACCCGATTTTTCATTTAATTTTCTTTTAAAATTACACATGTAAACTGTTATTTGTTTGTTTTGACAGTTATAGATAATGCTTCACCTTAGTACAGTCATACTCTATGTAAGCGTAAGATGTGATTACGTTCCGTTCGATCGCAGGTGTGGGCATGGGGCGATAATGATCACGGGCAGCAGGGCAACGGCACGACGTGCGTGAACCGGCGGCCCGCGCTGGTGGCGGGCGTGGAGGGCGTGCAGCGCGCCGCCGCCGGCTCGTCGCATTCGGCCGCCTGGGCGCTGCGCCCCGCCGCTCGCGCCCTCCCTCCCGCACCGCACCTCGCGCCCCTTCCCTTCCCTACTCTCAAGGACCCGCTCGGCGCGCACAGCCTCGGTGAGTGACACAAGCACACGCCGCTGCTCGACGCACTCGGCCGCCTGGGCGCTGTGCAATGCTGCGCGTGCCGTCCTCTGTCATGAGAAATTTTAATGCTAAGCTTTATTTTCGCTTCAGAATTTTGCTGTTTTTTTTTTTTCAATATTTCCGCCTCATGGCATTGTATGACTTAGAAGGCCGTATTATCAACGCAATAATATCGACAATTTTATTAGGTCTCTACTCAGAAGAATCGGCCATAGAAGAACCACAGGGACCACGTCCGTCATTGGCTTCGGCAGCTTTAGCCCTAGAGCCTCCTGTTGCCGTTCAACATGCACTGTCTTTGTTGTTACTAGCCTTACACATAACACAGGTCAGTAAAAATTATAATGCCTTCCAGATCAGTCAAGGCGGCTAGTCTGAACGGAGACTAGCCATCTGTACAGGACAGGATTGTAGTGTCCGAGTGTATGCGCAAGCACAGGCCGGTGCAGTCTCTATTCACTCACTTTCACAGTCTGATGGCACATTAATACGACATGACAGGAGAGAGATTAGGCGCAAGACCAAAGGAGAGTCAAGAAATATTATAAGATCAGTAATATCTTGTCTGGATGTTTGTCCATGTGAATTATATATATATATATTGTTACGAGCTTGGGGTTTGAGACAATTAAAAACTGCCGAATTACCTAAATTGACACTAGTTCGCAGTTGTATCGCTTCGAAGTATTGACGTGTATCGTCAATTCAATACTGACTGGGTTGCGGTCTATACCGGCCTTATATAAGGCCTCAGATAATTTCCAGAAGCTTCTACTGTAGAAACATCTAGAATACTCGAGTACATACCGGTCCTGGCTGACTGGGTGCCAATAGTGCTAGAAAGTTCTTACATGGAAATTTATAGAAGGATCTTGACTCTCCTAGTTCTGCTACTCGATACTAGAGGGCGCTAGTGGTAGCAAGCGTTGCCATGTATCAGCATTAATGGTGGCGCTCAACAGTATATATGTATACAAAAGTAAGTCAATGTTATAGTGACTATGTCTGATGTTTTTCTTTGGGTTGTTTTTTTTATAAGCTACTTACACCTGTCTCTCAGAAGGGTAGGCAGAGACTACGGTCTCCCATTCTACACACCTCTCTCGCCTCTTTCACATCCATATACCTACGCATACATACTCATCGGTTAAGGGTATTCTTAATCTGGCCTATCTTCAATATATCGCCAATTTGGTCTATAAACTCATCTAGCGCGTCCCTGCCCGACTCTGTCATTCACTTCTGCAACATAAATTTGCTTTATCACTCTTTCGTTGTTCATTCTTTCTACATGACCAAACCACCGAAACATTTCTTTCTTAATCCTGGTCTGATTAACATCATCTTGCGAGCCACACTTTTCTCTTATCACACAATTTTTCATCCTGTCATTCAGATTCAGCCCTGACATACTCCGCATGTTGACCGCATTTCTACAACATTTATTCTACTCTCGTGCTTCTTCTGCCACACCTAACTTTCATTACCATGCATTAAGGTAGCATACCATTGTGAATTGCCATACATGCCTTTTTTAACACATTCTGGCTTCCCACAATTGAGTGAAGAGCCCCATTTACATTAAGTAAAAACCACTAGCTCTACCTACCCTATATTATCCCGTCAGGCGTAACAGGCGACAGAGGGAAATGAAACAGGAAATGATCAACAGCTGCTTCTTGATTACAGTTCAAAATTATAAAAACCTGCGGTTGCCAACCCGCCTGCCAAGCGAGGCAACTATTGCATATGGGGCTAGACTTTTGATACGCTGTAATGAATGAATGTACCTTGTGTATCGTGTAGTGGCGATGTAAGGATATTCACTACTCAATATTGTAACGTGGGTGTTTGAGTTGAGTTGTAAGAGGGCTACAGAGGGAAACAAATTAGGACGTGGACAACAGCGTTTTTACTAACTAAAAAATAAAACTCGCTCAACTCGCCTGCCATCCGTGGTAACTGTGGCAAATATCCGTACTGTAAGGCTGTAACAATGAAAGAATGAAAATTAAAATTAAAATCCAATATAAGACATAAATTCTAACAAATGTTTGCGTTACTAGGCACGCAGTTTACTGGTGGAGGCACTTCGTGCGCATGAAGCGAGCTCTACGGTGCCGGTGTTCGCCAGCCTTGACGCAGAAGACGATGACACGGAAACTGACGCGCGCACAGGTGGCGGTGAGGCGCCCGCAGACAGAACTACACTCCCCGTATGTTTACTTCATATTAGCCTTTGTTGCCATTGAATAGGGTTCATTTTTAATCGACGACAAAAAGAATATCGTCTCGTAACGTCTTCGATCTTCTATTTTTTATTTCATTATCAGATCCTTTGCTGGACATTGGCCTCTCCTTCGGTAGGAAGGATCTGTCATTATCGCCTCGTTAGGCAGGCGGATTAACTATCGCAGTACCAGATGTTTCGTAACAATCCTAAACAAGATAGTACGACGATTTTTATCCGAGTCCATAGTCTCCTATTACGACACCCAAACGTAATCGATGTCGGTAAACTAATATATGCTGATTTTATTTTAACGAATGAGTATTCTTTCATAATGGTCCTAGAATTTTTTTAACCACCAGTGCGATTGTGTAACTCTGGTGAAATTGTTGGTTAAATTCGTTTTGAAGTTTGTGAATTTTGACGTGTGGTTTTGTTGTATTGTGCAAATGTATCAATCAGTATGAATTATAAGCCAATGGTTTGTATATTAATTTCTGTTTTTGGTCACTAAATATTAATAAAGACCACGCAGTTGTGTAGTGAATTTTAGGTCAACGAATTCGTCCAGTTATGTAATAGCACTGCTGGTTTGATGATTATTGAAGTGCAAACTTCTTTAGAATCGTTGTGATTTGAAACTCTATAAAACGAAAAAGTGACACTAAAAAGAGACAAGCATATACATCTATAGGATTTAGCCTGCGAGAGGAGATAGAATACAGTATACAGTGTGTTATTACCTCAGTCTCCTTTTCTGAAGTTTTCATTTCTACCGCCTACTGCACACATGTTTTTGTAGTCGTTATATATATACATATATATATATATATATATATATATATACATATATATATATATATATATATATATATATATATATATATATATATATATTTAAATTAATATTTATTAATAACTTCATTTTTATGGTTAGAGCGGTGCAAGCAGTCCGCTTAGCGGTTCGATCTCATCACGTCATTCTGCCGTAATGTCGTCTAGTGCGGTGTCGGTCGCCGCTGCGACGATGACCGTGCAACAGGCCGAGGCGCCTAAAGTGAGTCTTAAAAATAGTATTTTATGCCTAATTGTATTCTGTATTTTGTAACTTTTGTTTTTGTTTATCTATTATAGTTGGTACTGGATGACTTCACATCTCAACTGGGTGAATCAGATGCGAGAGCTTTAGTGGACTTATTAAAGCTTGCTGCAGCCGGCCGAGTACCCGATGCTAATAACGCAGTGAAAGTTATCACTGACGTGTTGATGGGTAATATTCTATGACTATTACTACTAGTAATGATGAACGCTTCCTATTATATTTGAAAGTTATTGCCGTGGTCGCAAGCGGTATGAGGTTATAATCATCATATTGAATTTGAATGAGTGTTTCTCTGGTTTTGAGTTTATATGTGCCCTATGCAGTTGAATAGTTTTCACTGTGGTTGAATCAACTAGAAAACTATTATTATGTTTATTTTATTCTTTATTGTACTAAAATCTGTAAGAAGGGTACAAGAATATGTTCAATAGTTAAATAATGGTCTTTTTTGTAGCAAAATTAGATCACTATTATCATCACAATCTATCAAATTTCATCACTGAACAAAGTTGTCCTCCATTGATTGTCTCATACTTGTCACACTTCGGGCTATTTGTAATAGTTGCCACACTTGGCAGGTGTTAGTAATTTCGTAGTTTTTTTTTTATTATTGCACGCTCCATAACGCGAAACGTTATTAGTAGTGCTTTCCTTTCGACAACTCAAGGTCAAGCAATTTTGTGTTCTTAAAATGCCTCTATTATAACTATATTACACTTACACGATTATATGAGTAGCCGTAACAACAAAAAAAAAACACTAATTGATCCATCTTATCTTATTTATACGGTTTGAAAAAAAGTGGACGTGCGGATGTTGATTTTGTATATGTGGTCATTGTGGTCGCGATAATTCCCGAAAAAATTGACGTATCGAAACCGCGTTTTCATTTTAGCTTCAGAATTACATCAACTGGTTCCTTATTTCATATCAGTATCCTAGTACGCGTAATTTTTTTAATAAAATGATATTCTAGTTTAAAAGTCAGGAATGTTATTTTTTTTCATCAAAGTAAAACGATAATCTCATGAGGCGTGCACTTTTGGACTTTCCAAACATTTTGGGTATTTTCAGGAAGAGGCTGATTCCCATGTCCTATTTCAGTTTCCCCGTGTCATCTGTTACAACATTCACGGGATGATATGGCGTAGTCGCAGCGTAAGAGCTGCCATTTACACGGCATGGAATACTGTAATATTATGGTGTTGTTATTAATTTATTAATGATGGTGTCAACTATGACCGGGCAATTGCAGCGTTGTGCGGCAGCAAGCCGGCGGTGGCCGACATGGTGGTGGAGGTGTGCGTGTGCGAGCTAGAGGAGGCGGCGGCTGGCGCGGGCCGCGCGCCTCCGCTGCCTGCCACCGTCGACAGCCCGCACCCCTACGCGGACGACACCGACATATCCGGTAAGTAGCTGTTCGTCGCATGCGATACACCTGTGTGGAAAAGAGAAGCATATACATCTTTCTTTATAAACCGGCTGATTTAGGGTGTACTATTCGTGCTCGTGCATAAAATAACACGAGACCTGCTGTCGATGACGTCACAGCGGCGTGCTCGTACTATAAGGTCGTAAGGTAATCTAACGAGACTAACGAACATCGCTCGCTGTACAAACTGGTGTGACGTGGAGCGGGCGGGGGCGTCGCATTACTGAGTCTCAAGTTAGTGTGTATAATATTAGTTGAATGAAGTAGCTACATACGTGGCAGAGACATGCTGCAACTATATTATGGTTGTAGCACGAATGGGTCGGCTCGACCGCAGAAGGACCACACATTCACAGAACAACAGCGTAAAATAGCAGCTTAACGCTGCTGTGTTTCGTACGGTGAAGAGAACCGGAGAACCTTTTTTACTGGAAACGAGGTATTTTATCTCACTCAGGGGTGACAATATAATTATCTCACTCAGGGGTGATAATTAAATAATAATTTAAAAAAAACAAATTCAAGTCATACTACTTTATGCGTGGCAAGAATTAATGAATTTGTAACGCTTGAACCGACCGCTAGTTAAAAAGTTTACTTCAAGTTGGTAGTATATTTGATAAATAACTAAAAACATTATCTATGTAATTTTAAATGATACTGCAATCATGTATAGAGTCTGGAACCAGTGCAAATATATCTGTCATGCCATTATCACCACGAATGTGCTATTGAGAAAATGCTTACTTTATGTATTTATATTTTAGTAATTGGTTTTATGCGGTATGGGAAGGATCATGTACTGTGTTATACAATTTTAATCTAAAATTTATTCCATCGATAATTATCTGGCCCGTTTCGTAGTTTAATTTATTTTTATTTACTATAAACTAACTATCCAGGAGTTGTGAAAATTCCGGGCGCATCGTCACTCCGTGTAACATTTGAGCAGGGCTGCTCCACCGAGCGGCGCAACGATCCACTAACAATATCGGACGCAGCTGGGCGCGTGTTGGCCACGCGATCCGGCCGTGAACCTGCCGACTGGGCACAGGAAATTATAGTTAATGGTAAGATACTCACAGTTCTAAAAGTTGCTTTTGAAAACTTTATAGAACCCTGTTGAATTATTTTAAAACCCTACAATGCAGAAAATTCTCTAATCCAATGTCTCTCATCCCATGTTCGGCATTGCCTTTTTCTGGATTTTATAATAAAAAAAAACTCAGGGTCATAATTAAACTATTAAGCCATTTTTTCTGAAATTCACTAACGAAGATTTTTATAAATGTGTATTATTTATTTAAATATATTTTAATAGAACTATTTACGAGGCAATAATATATTATGTTAATAATAATATTTCTTTTATTTTACAACAGGTGATGAATTAAGATGGAGGTTTACAAGCGACGGTTCAGTAAACGGTTGGGGTTGGAGGTTTACTGTATATCCAATACTTCCGGCTCATTCGGTTGCGGTAACTATTTTTATTTGGCATTATTTTTTTGTGGTAATGCGTTGGTGGTGGAAGCATTATGGCATGTAGGAATCAAACTATCGTCAATTAGGTGGTAGTACTCCTTTTCGCTCTAAAAGTCCGTCAGGGTAGGTATCATCCTGTTATCTATTTCTGCCGCCAATAGTAGTATGTGCACTGTTTTCGGTCGGCTGTACAAAATTTTTAATTTTAAATTATATTACTCCAAAAAGCATTGACGCAAGGTGGAGAGTACGTCGAGTGTCCATACTTATTTAGATCGTGTCGATTTAGAAATGAAGTGACATGTGATCTCTTAGGGAATGTGAAGCAGAAACGTGCACAGGCGTTTTAAACTCTTTGTATTATTTTTTTTGGCTTTAGCGAGCAAACATTCACCAAATACTATATCTGCATAAGTTAGCTTCGATAGTATGAGTCCTTCACACAAGCTAATGCGCATGTTTACCGTCAAATACTCTTTGATCGGGTACAAGATTTTAAACCTATAGAAGCAATTACACATGGTTTCTTGTATATGACCCTCAAAACGCAACCTTCTATCCATAACGAAACCTAAATTTCGAACTTCCAATACACGTTTTAAATGATTAATCTTAATATTAATTTGAGGATTGAAAGCTTGTGTAGTTTTTGCCTGTTTATGCGTTCCCAGTAAATTGTACTAAGATTTATTGGGGTTCAAAACCAAATTATTTTATATACACCAGTCGCCTATGGGGTCCAAATCTGAATTGATTTTGTTATTGCTATATGTATTGGTGTCACTGATTTAAAAAAAACATGTATTATTGAATGTCGTCAGCATATATGTGATAACTACAGTTTTTAATGATGTCCACTATATCTGAGTTATACAACGGTGGTAGAGCCACGCGGCAGTTTTTGCTGCTGCACGTATGGGCCGGCTCGAGCCGGGTTGGTACCACGACCTCACAGAATACCGGTGTGAAGTAGAAGCTCTGCTCCTGCGTTTCTTCTGGTGAGTGCAGGTGGCCGGAGGCCCAATCTGACCGAGACCCAGGTGTCCTCTCCGGCTGATACTTAGTATCTCTCCTACCCGGGGTACAAATTGGAGCACTCCTTTGTGACTCGGGCTGGAGTTTGCGTGTATGTTAGAGAGGACATCTGTTCTCGACGCCTCGGCAGTCTTGAAAGTTCGGACCTGTCCATCCTTTGGCTACGCGTAGACAGCGATGACCATCCACGCGTCTACGGGTGCCTCTATAGGTCCCATAGCGGTAATTCTGAAACAGACCGACTCATCGACCACGTCCAAATGGCTACAGATTCCTTGCTACAACAGGTCCCATTCACAGAGATCGTGATTCTTGGCGATTTTAACGACCACCACGCCGAATGGCTCGGTTCACGTTCAACCGATCAAGCGGGGAGATCTGTTTATGACTTTGCCTTGGCATATAGTCTGACACAACTGGTTACTTCGCCTACGCGAATTCCAGATGTGGAGGATCATACACCTTCCCTGTTGGACCTGCTGACCTCTCATCCCGACGGATATCAGGTTTCTGTCAATGCCCCTCTCGGCTCTTCGGACCATTGTCTGATCCGGAGTGTGGTGCCACTCACTTTCCCCTCGCGGTAGTGTTCTGCAGGTTGCCGCTGCGTTTGGCATTCAGGTCGGCGGATTGGGACGGAATGCGGTCTTTCTTTGCATCCTACCCATGGGGGCGGGTTTGCTTCTCGCCGGATGATCCCATCGCTGTTGCTGACTCTGTCACTGATGTGGTGCTACAGGGAATGGAACTATTTATTCCAACATCTGTGGTACCCATCGGAGGCAGATCTCAGCCTTGGTTTGGTTGCTCCTGTAAGACTGCATTAGCAGTAAGCAGGAGTGTTATCAAGCCTGGGCTGCGGCTTCGACGACTCGGGATGTAAACACCAGCACACTTAGAAAGAAGTATAACTTCGCCTCCAGGTCCTTCAAAAGAGGTTATTGATAACCACTGGCAAGGTGGTCATCAAATTATATTTAATTTAATATTAAAAATGTGTATAATATGTACATACATCATTTTCCATTATAACTTGCTTACTCTTCTAATAATTTAAAATTTTCTTCCAGGAAAGCGGATCCGATCGCTACGTTTTGTCCTGTCCGTCGGTTGAGTTGGCATGGCGTTTACTCGACGGTCCTTTGCTGACGGCTATTTCTAACGATCATCAACTGGCCCCAAGACTTGCACAAGCACTCGCTATTTGTGCTCAGATGCCGACTCTTTGTAAGTATTTATTAAGGCGCAGGTTGAGCAAAATGTCGCGCTAGTCGTTATTTGTGCGGTTTTTAGGAGCTATCTACTTTTTATTTAAAATATATATCAACAAATAAAAAACACATTATATTTCTACATAATCTTGATTCCATAACAGCTATATCCAATTTTTTTTAAAGGAATAAATATTAATATAATCTCCTTACAACGAAACCACATAAATGTGAAATAATTAGTGATAACATGCATCTCCTCGTAAAGTAAATATTATTTTATTTTGCGATTTACACCAATGGATAGGCAATTTATTAATGAACATTTCTATTATAATTTTTTTTTCAAAAGACCAAAATTTGATTTTATTAAGAAATTATTTTAAAATCTGGGCGTATTCACTGCCCACGGGCTTGCTGGAGTCGGTGAGCTCTGAGCTCTTGAACGTGAAACCCGTGTCGTTAGTCAAAGCGTCGGCCAGCGCACACGCCCACGTCATCTTATCAGTCGATAATATTATTACTTATTAGGTTATTTATAGGTAGTATTATTTGTTTGTTTTGGGTATAATTTTTCGTATTAGTTATACATATATTTGTTGTTTTTTACTGCGCGTTGAAGCTTTTTGCGTGTTTTCTTTGAAGTAAATGCAAATATAAAAATTAAGCACCATTAGCATGTAAGGTTTGGTTTGAATTGGGCGTTTAATTTGGTCTATGGTTGTCTAATAAGGCCCGGTCGGATAAGTCGGCCTATAGGCGACTAAGTTGCCTATCTGCGGCATTGGGGGTTATTACTAGACTCTCTAACTAAACTGACTATTTATTTTTTAACTCAAAACGGGACATGGGTTTATTTATACTCTAAAAACTATAACTTTATACAATTAGTGTTCACTATAAAATTATATTCGGTATAGACGGTAATTATTAAATGCAACATATTTTTTTTAATTATTAATTACATTTGTCAGTGGATTAAATTTGCTTTAATAAAGTTGGTGATGATTTTAAATAAGAATAAAATTCTGGGCAAGTTTTTTTTATTGTTACCTTTGTTAACAACATCGCCTTTAGAACTGGAACCGTAAGTGTTTTTTCAGACGTCCACAATTTATTCAAAATAGAAAAATACTCTTTCTTCTGGCGAATTTGTACCAAGTAGACATAAAATATATTCGATTAAAAAAATTATGTTGAAGATTGTTGGCTTTGAATACTTCCATCCAACGAGTTACGGGACAATTTTGTGTCCCGGAGCTTTATTTGGGGACAATGGGACAGGTGACCGAGAAAAGGGACAGTCCCGTTCAAAACGGGACGTATGGTCACTTTACCTATAACCCGGCGACAGCTCCGTGGCGCAGTAGCTTAGCAATCAATTGTTGCGCTTGGGGCCGCGGGTTCGAATCCCGCACGGTACAAGTATTTGAAAGGCCTAGTGACCTATAGTGAGTAGGTATCTTTTAAACTCATAATTTTCAATGCTTCATTTTTAATATATAATTAATTATAAAATTTCATAATTAGATAATATATGAGAATAAATAATTCTAATATAATGCAACTAATACACCGAATAAAAAAATTAAAATACATTTATCGTTGTACGCTGTGTGTATTTCCATAAAATAGTTTATTGATGTTAATAAAATACTACGTTCGTACAGTAGGTGGCGTCTTACATATTTCTTACGCGATATTATATTGTAGCGAGTCGGCGCGGCACACCAAATGCTCAAGGTCGTTCGCATGGAATAGCCCCTTAATATCAGTCCTCAAACTTTCTAAATTTCTAAAAATAAAGTTAATGTTAACACAATGAAATAATTTATTATAAATAAATATGCACTTATAACACAATATATGTATTCAATTAATATTTGTACAGAGCACTCAATATTACAGTTTTTGTAATAACTATACTTAATTACACTTTGACTAATTCGACGCGTGTTCTCAAAACAGAATGCCCAAGAATCATGATGCACCCTAATTTATACATTTCCCTTTCCACTTCACATTTCCCTTTCCACTTCTCTTCCGTTGTGCACGAAGAGGGGCGGCCGATGTTGGTTGCCAACACTACCATCCTGCATGGTTCCTGCCTCAGGAACCTCACGAGTCTATTTAAAATACTGCGAAGACATAAATTGATTAGAAACTACTTTTATATATATATCGATTATCTTTTTTTTTTATAAACTGATCATGACGCAATTAATAGTCAAAGATTACAATCAGGTTACACATTTTTAGTTCTACAAAACTCGACGGCACTCTTAAGACCACCTGCACTTAAAGGAACTTGTCACACTTACGAGACCAGGTTCGTCTTTCTCCTGGAATCACTTGCATTTAAAGGACATTTAGTCTCACTTAAACGTACCAAGTTCATTCCAGTTGCGTTTAATAAGATAATTCGTTTTACTTAAACGTACCAAACTTATTTAAACTATGCTTATCTCGGTTTTGTTTAACTTTTTATGTGTTTTACCCATATTTTGTACTGACTTGCGCACCCAGTAAAATGCAATCAAAAATTTTGCCATATACACTTTTTCGGTACTACCTAACATCGACCTTGTGATGTACTTCTGTATACTTTACCACCTAAAAGTTCATAGTTTTTGAAAATATCTTTATTTGCTTCGGCCTGTCCTGTCTCTTAAATTTCTTTAAGCTCAAAGAATGCGATCGCCTACGCCTTTTATTTTTAGTGCGCTTATTGCGTTGCAATCATCGTGATCTACGTGAAAAACAAGTTGTTAATTAGCAGGCAGGATACACAGTTGCCTATCCTCTCATCCATCACGCATACGAGGGCCCTCAAACAGAAATACGCTCTCATACCGTGGACTATAATAAAGCACTTCGCTTTCACATTTAAGCATACATCTCCATACGAAGTATCTCACACATACTCTTACTTAAACTTGCGAGATCCTACGTTAACCACGTGAATCACGTTAACAACGTGAACCAGGACAGCGCCTGCCAGGATAGAGCCTGCTGCATGTTCAGAGAACACGACTTCCGCGCATACAGAGTATGACACTTCCGCGCACACATAGTATACGACTTGCGAGGCACCGCCATGTATAGCATACGCGCGCTTCGGAACGGCGCCCACCGCGCGTGCAGCATACGCATCTGCCGAAACCAGGCCATGATACAGCTGGACCCGGTAGTCCATATCGACCAGCAAGGCACACACTCGCCTTACACTCGCGTACATGTAATCACATCACACGTGCTACTGTAACACATAAAAGAAAACATTAAAAAGTCTCAGTCGGAACTTGATTTCAAGAAATGCAGCACTACTCTTGGGACACCATTCGCTTTTCTAGGGCACCATAACTTCGATTTCGTCAGTTATACTTTGTTTTTCCACAACTAATTAAAAAGTTAAGCACTTATTCTTACAAAATATTTTTAAGACAATGTTTAGGATAAATTTGCTTTCCTCGTGTATCAAATGGTGATCGCTAGCAGCGGCCAATAATGTGCCTGTGGCGTCATAAGCCCACGGCATACTTCCACTCAAGAGCGAGCGCCACAGCACCACGCCTTCCACTATATCCATATATCATATATATATATTTGTCGAACATAACACTTGGATTAAACTGTAACACTTGTCAACACATTAGAATACAAAAATACTACTTAGTGTTTTTAATTCATCGCACGTTAAAGTAAAGTTTTTTTTTTTTTGTTTATCGTTTAAACATGATGTAAATTACACCAAATATCAAATTATAACATAACTCGAGCATGTTAAATTTCCACTGAATGCAAAACTATAACTCATCTTAAAATACCTCCAACATTTCTTTTGACATTTTTACGTAAAGGAATAATGAATGTACTTGCGGGTACCTTATTATCAATTGAATCTTAATTGAACAAAACGATTTAACTTTTGGCTTAAAACATTTCACTTTAAACTTTTACTAACTAAACTTTAATGGTATGTCAATGTCGTAAATAGTACCTACAACAAATTTCATTTCGACATTTAATAAAAACAAAGACATCTACGCGAAGTCATTCACAAAGTTAATAACTATCACACTATTCGAAGATTATATTATGTGGAAGATAACAGGGATTGTATCCCACTTCTGATGTTAACACAATGAAATAATTTATTATAAATAAATATGCACTTATAACACAATATATGTATTCAATTAATATTTGTACAGAGCACTCAATATTACAGTTTTTGTAATAACTATACTTAATTACACTTTGACTAATTCGACGCGTGTTCTCAAAACAGAATGCCCAAGAATCATGATGCACCCTAATTTATACATTTCCCTTACCACTTCACATTTCCCTTTCCACTTCACATTTCCCTTTCCACTTCTCTTCCGTTGTGCACGAAGAGGGGCGGCCGATGTTGGTTGCCAACATAATTAAGACATATATAATATGGGAATATCATACTTATCATGAGCATTATTCCCCTTCACAAGTCCATTGATCGTAAAAAAAATTACATAAGAAAATAGTTTTAAACATTTGAATAATCCTTATTTTAGTTTACTAGTTCGAACGAAAAACTTAGATCTGGCTGCTTAACAATGAACCAGAATTTGTAGATAGTTTTACACATAAGCTATTGCACTATATCGTCCCGTGGGTGTCGTAATAGGCAACAGAGGGAACTGAAACAGGGGGCAACAGCATCTTAAAACAACTCAAAATTATAAAAACTTCGGTTGCCAACTAACTCCAACAACTACTTACTAAGCGTGGTATGTAAGGCAATATCCCTATGAGGCAACCTATACTAATGGCGAAGGCCAGTTATCTTTTTTACAGAATTTATAAGAAAAATTACATTCTTTATTGTAGGACAAATTAAAAACGTTTTATTCGTAATGGCTGAAAAGTTCTGTCTTTATCCACCTATTTCTGAAAAGTAATTAACGTATTTAAAATATTAGATACCCCCCCCCCCCCCCCCTCTCTAGGCACTAACTTTTGAACGTCTGATTGTATTTTCAACAGAGGAAAATAGTTATAGGTCTCCACACCATTGATATTTTTTATGACATCGAAAACTGTGTCAGGACCAGGTCGTCTTTTCAGCTACTTAGTTTTTTGACTTTACTTATTTCGCGAGAACTGTAAATTCGCGCGTTGAATGTTACACGTTTGTGCGGCAGTTATTTTTCCATACCGTTTTCGTAGTTCCCAAAGCGCTTGCTCTTAACTATCGGCATTCTTCATCAATTTAAAATATGAAAAAGTTAAGTCATAATAATTGGTAATACTCAAAGGATACACTAATTGGCAATGTCAAGAATAGATTTTGGACAAGAAAGAGAAAGTGTAGTGATTGACATATATGCCAATCATTATGTTGTCAAACAAATTAAAGTATAATCATTGGCACAATTAAAAAAGCCGATGCTTCTTTTTCACAACATTAAAATAACGTTTAATATGCTTTAATAACGTAAATTGATAAAAATAGATAGAAATTTGCATAATTATAAACTTATATAAAAATCACTTTTTTGTTTCAAAATGTAGCCACAAAACCTTAACTTTTTGTTAAATTTTTACGGACTTGTTCAAACACATTTTTAAAACAGGTGTTATAAAAAAATTGTTGACGATTTAAATATAAATAAATATTTTGTTAGTGTAAGAAATTATATATCCTAACAATATATGTGTTGCTGTAATATAGAAGAAAGAAAACGTTCTAATATTCAGATTAAAATAGCAAAGTGCCAATCATTGGTGGAGTGCCAACATTAGTACTATTTACCCTGTGTGTATAATATGAATGAGTTCCGTAATGGTATGTGAATGTGTGCGTCAGCGTGGCGCGCGCGCGTGTGGTGCGTGCGGCGGCTGCGCGGCGTGGTATGCGGCGGCGCGCGCGAGGCGGGCGCGGGCGCGGGGGTGCCGCCCGCGCTGCTGCAGCTGCCGCAGCTGCTGCTGGCACAGTACGAGCACGAAGAACCCGCGCTGCGCACCGGCACACACCTGCTGCACACGCACTACCTCAAGGTGAACCGCACTAAATGTCTTAGTTTGACTTTATAATGTATTACGGATTACTAAGATAATGTCTAAAATACTTTTGACAATAATATTGGCTGCCGTTTCCATGTTTTGAGCTGCTATACAGACAGAGCAACAGACAAAAATTAATGGCTTTGAGGCATTACATCTTAGTTATCAAAGAAGGCAACTCATATGTTACGGCCCGCAGCTGCCCCTGCAAAGTCGCCCTGGCTGGGACCCATAGCAGCCTGATCGACGAGCAGACGCGGGTCGGGCCCAAATGGCCATATGGAAGAATGTCCTATCATACTAAACTGAAGGGAGAAGGCTAGAAAAATATAGTACGTACCTGTATCCGAAGCTAAGGGCGCCCCAAGGCTTGGTCAGACCGTAGGTGGGTGTAAGGCGCATGGAAAGTAGTATTTAGTGATGTGTATGTGTCTGAGACCTGGACCAGCTGAGGTGACCTGCAGCGGCCGATTTCCAGGCTGCCCCACAATGCTGCATCACTCCAGTAGGCTTCCCCGCTGGACCGTTTCTTTCTTCATGGCCCTATTTCAGTCTATTAACTTCATTGTACATTTAACTAACTTAAACTCTCCTAATTCCACATTCATCGTAGAATTGAACCCGTGACTCTCGACACAGTAACGGACAGTAATTCAAAGTTCAACATTCAATGTCCCGGATTTATTTATAACCAAATGACGAATAGTGGACTAACGCGATCTCTTGGTAAGTCACACGGTTCAGCGTTACAAACACAACTAAATTCCTTCGTTCGATATCCAATACTACGCCGCGATAAGAGTTCAAATACGCCTCGTTGACACGTAAAACTAACAAAACAGTCAACACGCAAAAAAGGGCACTTCACGCGACGGTACAATTACTTTCAATCAGTTAAACACAATACAAGCCTCTTGTCAAGAACCTAACCCTAGACAACCTAAAACGAGGCGGTTTTCACGAAACACGTAGTGAAGTCACGCGCACAAAAATCTAACAGTCTAGACCGCACTCCGGTCGCGCTAAACTTCTGCAGCGATAACCGAGATACGCGGATTATCCGCACCGCCGCCATCGAGTTACTACTCTCTCGCCCACGAGCGTCACACGCTGGGAGCTGCCTACCGCTGCCTGCAACGCGTCGTTGCTAAGGCCCTACACACCAGTGAAAACGTGATATCAAGGTTGTGGTTACCTTATTGCAGTACTGGGAATGTGTCTGAACGGCACACGTAGATATCGTGTTACTACGCAGAAACAGGATCGATTTCTTCAAATGACCACCAGAAGACAACCCAATATCACAGCGATGCAACTACTACAAAGGCTCCAGGAGGACCATCAACGGCTGATAAGCGACCAAACCGTGTGAAGGAGGTTGCATGTAGTTGGTCTTCATGGTCGAAGACCGCTACGATTAGTCGCTACTACCGTTACCGTTACCGCTACCGTAAGTACCGCTACCAGCATTGCGACGTGGCAATCGCGGTCGGTGGCCTTCGTGGGCTCGGGAGAATTTACCATGGAGTGACGAACAGTGGTATTTGGTGCTGTTCACCGATGAGTCCCGGTTTGGGTTTCATCTGGATTCACGAAGAACACGCGGTTGGAGAACTCCAGCTAGAGTTAGCCGTCTACGGCACCTTCAGGAGGCCCACTCATACCAAGGCGAGAGAATCATGGTGTGGGCTCGTTTGGATCCAAGCATAACTGCATAAAAATTCCAAGAGGAGGTAGTAGAGCCTGTTATTGTCCCACACAGAATCCAAATGGGCCAGGAATTTTTACTCATGCACGATAATGCTCTTTCCCATACGGCGCGGCTGGTGATGGCCGCTCTCCGAGATTACGATATTCAAGTTTTGGATTGGCTTGCACAGTCGCCCCACTTAATCCTATCGAGCATGCCTGAGACGTGTTACAACGAAAAGCTTTGAGAGATTTCCCGCCAAATTTGACGACCGAACAATAACTTTACGAACATTTATAAAGAACATGGGACCTCATACCGCAGCAAGACATTGACAATTTAATTTTAAGTATGAACAATCAATGTCGATGTGTAATTTATGTAAGAGGTGGCAGGCAACATTGATTATTAATAATTAGATTTTATAAGAATTTTTTTTCAATTTTAATTAACATTAATAGTTTTATAAGAAGAAAATTTATCATACTAATTTTCTACGGCGATTAAAAAATTTATAAACAAAAAAAAATACGAAATGTTTTTTATTTTATTAGTAAAGACCTTAAAATAATCTATCATTTTTCCATTCTCTATATCAGAAAATTCTTCATAAATTTTTAGATATTTGATGAAATGTAAAATATCACTAGATTCTGTTGACGTGTTTATTTCCTAGGTGCCGGCAAAAATCAAACCCAGGTTGCTCGCGTACTGTGTTCACGTCGCATGCTTCGTGCGATTGATATCGTCTTTTATTGTTTAAATAAATCTTATTTGATAATACATCACAAGTTCACAGGATGTAAAATCCGACAATTCACAAATAAATTTCAGAAACATATTAGTACATAGTACATTAGTAGTTTACAAACACGTCGGCATCCAGGAGCTAGCGTGGCTTGCGTGCGGGCTGCGCGTGGACGCGCGCGTGTGCGGCGGGGCGGACGCGGCGCGGTGGGCGTGGTTCAAGCGCTACTGCCTGTGCGTGCGCACCGCAGACGCGCTGATCCGTCGCGCGCCTCTGCCCGTGCCCTTCCTAGCGGACGTGCGCAAGCGACTCGCTGACCTTGGGGTCTACAACGTCGACGACACCGCCGGCGACGCGCCCTACCCCTGGGAGGACAACACCAAGTTCACTAAGCAACATGACGAGCAGTTACTGCATTGGGTCAATAAGTGGGTTCCCTTTATTCATGTTCCAAGTTATTTAAAAAAATTCCTGTTATTTTGTTTCTTCAGTTCGCTGTATTAAAATATTATGTTGTCTGTGTTATCATCACGCTCGTAAGTGCTAACGGTGTCAGTGTCTAGAATTAATAAAACTTGTTTATTTTAACTGTTCTAGTTACTTTTGCTAGACTTTATAGCTTAAGTAAGAAGATGTAAGTCACAAGAAGCTTCGACTATGGAGACGGACAGTACATAAGCACATTTCTTATCTAGTAAGAAAAATCAAACACAACTTAGATCATTTTATTGTAATATCAACCAATAATGGAAGAACATCATCGATCATTTACTTTTGTTTGTGACTACTATCTAAGAATGTTGATAGCACTGGATTATATTAGCGTCTTAATTGTGATCATTCGTCATCTCCAATGGAAAGTATTGTGGAAAGCAATACTAACAATGAGGTTATTTGTAACCGCGCTTAAAATACTACATAAAAGGCTTGGCCGCACACAATACACAGTGATCCACTAACTGTGTACATCGAGTAAATAGGTTTAAGGAGCAGTCTCATTTGACATAGTATCCATTACAGCCTATAAGAGCTCACTGCTGAACATAATCCTCCCTTATAGATTACCTCATGGGGCGATTTTGCCGTAGTCGCGACGGTTGCCAACCCGCTTGGCAACTCATGTTTTATACCAAGAATCCATCTTATATCAAATAACTTTCTTTTCAGTTTTAAGCGTGTTCTGTTCCCACTTCCCAGTCAGCGTGTGTTATGCGATGACCGATGACCGTAAATAAAGCGCAAGGTCAAACTTTACGCTTTGCAGGAGTGGACCTCAGTACTGAATTTGCACATGGCCAACTCTATGTTGCTTTTTCCCGCGTCAGTAGCTCCCGTAACATTTTTCTGTACGCTCCAGTTGTCTACTTCTAACGTCGTTTACACAGAAGTTCTATCACAAACGACTCAGAACTTTGAGCATAACAATTTATTTTGTTACTACTTATTCATACAGTAAGGATATAAATCGTTTAATATTCTCTTACCTAAACGTCAAATTCTTTAAGTAAAACCTATATACGCGAGCTACGCCGCGGGCACAGCTAGTAAATAATAATTTCAATGGTGCACGTACGTATACAACACGAGTACACACGCGTGACAGCACTTGGGATGCCTTATATACTGGCCGTGCCAATAATTCTCGGGAAAAAGTAGAGTCTTTGCTGAACAAAGTCTCGGATTGGGGGCGACTAAATCTAGTCCAGTTCAATCCCCAGAAGACACAAGTTTGCGCGTTTACCGCTAAAAAGAACCCCTTTGTCGTATCTCCTCAGTTTCAAGGCACTCCCCTTGCTGCCTCATCTAGCATCGGAATCCTCGGCGTGGACATATCGAATAGTGTGCAGTTTCGTGGTCACTTGGAAGGGAAGGCCAAATTGGCCTCTAAAATGCTTGGCGTGCTCAGTAGAGCGAGATAGTATTTCATGCCGGCACATCGCTTGCAACTTTACAAAGCGCAACTCCGGCCTCACATGGAATACTGTTCTCATCTCTGAGCCGGGGCACCCCAGTGCCAGCTCCTTCCACTTGACTGCATCCAGCGCAGAGTGGTTCGAATCGTCAAAGGCCGAATTCTTTCTGATTGGCTCGATACACTGGCACTGCGTAGGGATGTTGCATCCCTTTGCATTTTCTTTCGAATCTACCACGGGGAGTACTCTGAGGAATGTTCGGATTAATTCCAGCCGCCAAATTGCACGAACGCACATCGCGTCAAAATTCACGATACCATCCTCACCATCTGGATGCTTGGCGGTCCACGACTGGGCGTTTTACTAGGAGTTTTCTTCCTCGTACAACTTCTCTGTGGAATTGTTTACCATCGGCGATTTTTCCGGACCGATACGATTTAGAGACCTTCAAGAAAAGAGCTTACACCTTTCTAAAAGGCCGGCAACGCATCTGCAATTTTCCTGGTGTTGCGGTTGTTCATGGGCGGCGGCAGTCACTTACCATCAGGTGAGCCGCGTGCTCGTTTGCCCCCTCTTCTATAAAAAAACATGGATTGTGACACTATAGAATGTAGACAATCAGGTCATCCACCACTTTTTCTGCCACCAGGCGGCGCCACTTAAAAATGAAGTGGAATATTTGTCAGATTTCATAGCGAGGAAGTAAATTTTTTTGACATCTGGTGAGCGGAACATTAGAAGTGATTGTTGTGACGGTGTCGTTATACCAGGCGAGCAGAAGAGTGGTCGGGGTGGTGGGGCGGCGGCGCGCGCGGGTGCGCGGTGTACGGCTGGGGGCACAACCACCGCGGCCAGCTGGGCGGCGTGGACGGCGCCAAGGTGCGCTCGCCCGCGCCCTGCCTCGCGCTCGCCGCGCTCAGCCCCGTGCAGCTCGTCGGCGGCGAGCAGACGCTCTTCGCCGTCACGCCCGACGGAAAAGTTTACGCTACAGGTGCTCTTGCTACTTTGTCATTGCTTTATTTTATTTCTTTACTAAATAACATGTTTAATTACAACAAGCCTAACAAATTCTCACTAATTGATATGCAGCAACATAATCTTTCGTCGTTTAAAGGACATTGCACAAATACAATCATCAATAACTTTACAATAATCTTATTTTACTTTTGCAGGCTATGGCGCTGGAGGACGATTAGGAATAGGCGGCATAGATTCTGTGTCCCAACCTACCCTTTTAGCATCGATTCAACATGTCTTCATAACGAAGGTATAAAATATGGGTTATATTTAACTAATTATATTATATTAACCAAAACGTTAAACTGTTAACAAAACAAAATAAAATTAGGAAGGGGTTGTTTTTAAATTTAAAATATCAAAAACTATAAGATAAGATAGAATTTATGTAAAAAAAGTTATGCTCAAACAAAACAAATGAGTTGAATGCAAGAAATTGTAATTAAATAAGTACATTTTTTTTTAATTTTAGGTGGCTTGTAACTCTGGAGGCAAACATTGCCTGGCTTTGTCTGCTGATGGGGACGTTTACAGCTGGGGTGAGGGCGAGGACGGTAAACTTGGCCACGGCAATAGAGTGTAAGTTTTTTGATAAGTAACTTGTATTTTTTTACATTACTAAGGTTTACTAGTGTCATTTTAGTCGTACTATTGACATAAAAATATACTTTACAAATTCAATAATGTCTAAATTCTTTCTATGTGTATAATATCAGTACGACGAATCAACGACGAACTCAAGATCGTTGCTAATTAATAAACACATAAAACAGTATGTCAAAACGCTGTACTTAGGAATACTGTCCTGTGACTTGCACTCAAGCACACACACTTGAGAGTCGAGTTTCGTTTATTAAGCAGTGTGGCACTCAGCTGATATTGTAAACCTAAATCACATCTTGAGATTTGTTTATTAATAAGATCATAACCGCAAGATTGAATTTTTGAATTATTACTCAAGTGCGTATACTTGAGCTGAGTAACGTTTATTAATACGGACCTAAGAAACAGACAACATACCTTATTCATTTACTAATGTATTTACGCAGTGATTGATTCAAATCATTTTGTTCTAGCTACTTTAAAAAATTTACCAACAGTCAACAATGTTTTTGTTAGAACGTACAAATTTAGTCGGCGTCAATGATACAACTAGATACGCCATAGGGAAATAAAATAGGAGTTTAGCAGCAGCATCGCCTTGGTAACAACTCAAAATAATAAATTAAATTTTCCCCTTCCTCCCGGACCTCGGTTTCGAGCAGACGTTTCATTTACTAATGTATTTACGCAGTGATTGATTCAAATCATTTCGTTCTAGCTACTTTAAAAAATTTACCAACAGTCAACAATGTTTTTGTTAGAACGTAGAAATTTAGTCGGCGTAAATGATACAACTAGAGACGCCATAGGGATATAAAATAGGAGTTTAGCAGCAGCATCGCCTTGGTAACAACTCAAAATAATAAATTAAATTTTCCCCTTCCTCCCGGACCGCGGTTTCGAGCAGACGTGTTCAGTGTTGTTGTCTTTCTTGTATAAATAAAATAATAATTCAATATTTAATTAAGTGCAAATAATAGGAGTGCATAATCTGTAAGAGCTTCATGCACCAGGCGCGCTGTGCAAAATACCGAGTTCGACCCCAAGAGCGACATACAGTGACCCACCTGTCAATCATCGCTTAGCGCCGCCCTTTTGTTTCGGCCCACTCTGGCGTAGCGGTTAGTGACAACTGTTGCTAAATTACCTGTGCTCCTGGTACCTTACGTCTCACACGCGGACGAATATTGCAACTATCGTAATTAAACAGAGGTAATTGTTATCACATCTACCGCCTTTAAAAAAAAAACATGCCGCTAAAGTGTACTCGTCCAAGGGCTCTGTAAACATCAAATTATGAGTCGGATTCAAGCACAAAAGGTTCAACTGAAAACTGTATATTGTTTGTTTTTTTTTTCTCTTTTCTTGGTGTATTATCGATTTGGACAAATGTTTTATATATATTTAAGTGATAAATTATACAATATACTAACAAAATTAGTATAGTAACAAACTTCTGAAAAAGGTCAAGAATGAATATGAAAAAGATGAAATAAGAAATGCAGGTGCAAATAATAGAAAGCTTTGGGAGGTAATAAATAGAATAACCAACAGAAATTCCGCAAAAGCCTCTTCTACTTAACTATTATCAGCATGTACCACACCAAAGGAATCAGTTAATAATGTCAACACTTATTTTGCTAATATTGGTACACAACTGGCCGAAAAAATTCTTGAGAACTCTGAATTGAATCTTTCTCCTACTAATAATAGCTTAGTCCATTCCATAGTTCTTTTGCCTACTGATGAAGCTGAAATTGCATCTGTAATAAATATACTTGGAAGTGACTGTGCCGTTGGCTGGGATAAAATATCTGGTGGTTTCCTAAAACAAACTAAAAAAAATATTGTATCTCCACTTACCCACGTATGTAACCTGGCTCTCACTTAAGGAATATATCCAACAGCTTTTAAAAAATCACTCATTCATCCTGTCTACAAAAATAAAAATAGACCGAGACTGTGTAAGCAACTTTAGACCAATATCACTGTCATTATCTAAAATACTAGAACGCGTGATGAATAACACAGCCCCACAAAAAAAAAATTGAAGTTATTTTCTGCGATATATGAGGAGGTGTACTTTATGTTTTTGGGGTTGCTGAATCCGAATCCGGGGTCCGTTTAACCCCATCACGTCAGGGTTAAGGGCATCTGAAGGTCAAATTGCGAAATGAATATTAAAAAAATCTGGGAAAATCTATATATTTTTTTCGGGGTCGCTAAATCTGAATCTGGGGTTCTCTTGACCTTGAAGTGTCAGAATCTGCAGCTATATTTCTGGTATAGTTGTAACACGAATGAGTCTGCTCGACTGGGGAAGGACCACGCTCTCACAGAATACCAGCGTCAAATAGCAGCTTAACACTGCTGTGTTTCGTATGGTGAGTGTAGAGAACCGGAGACCGTTTTTACTGTAAACGAGGCATTCCATCTTAGTCCTTACGGGTGAATACGCATCTGCATTTTGATTCGTAATCGAGGATAAATGTAGATGTCTATGGGCCACAGCAACCACTTACCGTCAGGTGGACTGTGTGCTCGTTTGTCACCCTTATCCTATAAAAAAATGGAGAAGCTTTGTATAAAGGGTGTACCGTTGCAGTTTTTCAGGGATTACCTTACAGATAGAACACAGTCCGTAAAAATTGATAAACACATTAGTGATGAGCTCCCCATCTGCTATGGTGTTCCCCAAGGAAGTATTCTTGGCCCTACCTTGTTTCTTCTTTACATTAATGACCTGTGCAAACTTAAACTAGTGAACGGAAAAATAGTTACGTTTGCAGACACAACACTGCGATTTACTGGTAATCACCAGTAAATCGCTGGCTGTGTCAAACAAAATAATCAATAAAAACCTGCGTAAAAAAACATATAGCTGACGTGAAACACCGACGTCCCAGGAAGTCTGCAGTTTGTGATCCTATCCTAGACGGTACCCTCCATTACATCAGATTTTATTTATTTTTTATTTACACTTGGGTTTTCAATATAAAAAGGTTACAAAAGACGAAATTAATGCCTTAGGCATTCTCTTCAAATCAACCCTGGTCGTAATGACATTATTTGATAGGTGCTTTAAGACATGAAAATTATATACAACAAGATCATTGTTGATTTCTCATATTTACGCGAACACTACACATTTAAATAAAACTAATTTTACGGATTTTATCGCGTATATTGTATATTTGTCGGATGCAAGTACGTATAAAAAGGTTAAAAATGACCCAACAAATAACACACTTAAAACAACTAGTGATCTCATAAAGAAACACTCCGAAAAATTAAATCTAGACGTAAAATCGATAATACCTACGTGTGCTAAACCACCGAAGCTATATGGGTTACCAAAAATACACAAGCCCAATGCTCCACTACGTCCTATAGTGAGCCAAATCGATTCACCAACTTACAGATTGGCTCAACACTTAGCGAATATACTCTTACCGCTCAAGGGACATACAAGAGCACACACAAAGGATTCCTACCATTTTGTCAGCGAGATTAAAGACCTACATCTGGCAGACAATGAAACTATGGTGAGTTTTGATGTGCAGTCTCTGTTCACATGCCTACCTGTTGAAGACTGCATCTCGATTGTTACTAGAAGGCTAGAGGAAAACAACATGCCCGTAGAATACGCAGTATTACTCAGACACTGCCTTACATCTGGCTACCTATTGTGGAAGGAGGAGTTCTACAAGCAAGTAGATGGTGTGGCGATGGGCTCACCTGTATCTCCCATTGTTGCCGATATATTCATGGAGGACTTTGAGGAGAAAGCCCTGCTTACTTCTCCCATAAAGCCAAGATTCTACAAGCGGTACGTAGACGACACTTTCACAATTCTACCTTTAGATAAAGTAACTGCATTTTTAGACATTCTTAACTCCTTAAATTCTAAAATTCAGTTCACAATGGAGTTATAGGCAAACAATTCTTTAGCTTTTATAGATGTGTTAGTAATTCGGAATCCTGATAACACCTTGAGCCACACTGTGTATAGAAAAAAGACCCATACAGATAGATATTTAAACGGTGATTCTCACCACCATCCTTCACAGTTAGCTACCGTGGGTAAATCTTTGTTTCAGAGAGCACGAGGGATCTGTGACAGTAAACACCTGGCCGCCGAGCTCCAACACGTCAAGCAAGTTTTGCACGACAATAAGCTTCGGGTCCCGCGCCTAAGTCACAGTGAACGAGTGAAGCCGGCCACAGTCGAGCGAGTGCCTGCTGTACTGCCATATGTCAGAGGTGTCACTGACAAGATTGGTTACATCTTGAAGCGTGCTTCCATTAAAACATATTTCAAGCCGCCGAAGAAGATTAGTCAGTTTTTACCATCAGTCAAGTGTAATATTCCTCTGCAAGATGCAGGAGTGTACAAGCTGGATTGTGAATGTGGTCTCTCTTATATAGGACAAACTAAAAGATCCATAAAAACCCGCGTTAAAGAACACATAGCTGATGTGAAGAATAGACGCTCCGGGAAGTCTGCAGTCTGTGAACACGTACAGGATCGCCCCCGTCACTACATTAGATTTGATAGACCACAAATCTTCGCTAAAAAACACCGATTCCTTCCAAGGATGATTCGCGAGGCTATTGAAATCAAAAAACATCCTAATTTCAATAGAGAAGATGGCTGGGTGCTACCATCTGCTTGGGATCCCATAATTAATAAAATTAAATCCCAACCCAAGCATACAACTGCAAGACTTCATGATACTGTAAGTTCATACTGCGTAGATCGGAACAAAAATTAATAATTTTTAATCTGGAGGTAGCCGTGGTTAACTATGACATTGGGACGTCATACCCCCCGTGACCATGGGTGCTGTAAAGTGCTTGAAACGTCGGGAAAGTAAAATAAGTTAATATACGCGATAAAATCCGTAAAATTAGTTTTATTTAAAAGATCATTGTTGTATGTAATTTTCATGGAGGATTAAACTGGACTAGATTTAGTCGCCCCCAATCCAAGACTTTGTCCAGCAAAGACTCGACTTCAGACACAAGTTTGTTCCGGTACTCGGCGACGTTTTCCCGAGAAATATTGGCACGGCCGGTGTATAGAGCATCACCAGTGCTGTCATCCGCATAACAATGAATGCTACCGGTTTGCAACATATCATTGATATGCAGAAGAAACAGCGTTGGTGATAGCACACAGCCTTGTGGAACACCAGCGTTAATAGGCTCGTAGTCGGAGCATGCACCGTCTACAACGACCTTGATGCTCTGATCTGCAAGAAAGCTAGTGATCCAATTGCATAATTTCTCGGGAAGCCCATAGGAAGGGAGCTTCGAAAGAAGCGCTTTGTGCCAAACCCGATCGAAGGCCTTCGCAATGTCCAAACTAACGGCCAATGCTTCCCCCTTGGACTCTACTGCCTCCGCCCATCTATGAGTTAAGTAGACCAGAAGATCACCAGCTGATCGACCCCGACGAAAACCGTATTGGCGGTCACTAATCAGCTGGTGATCCTCAAGGTTACCGCATGAGGTGGCAGTTTATAACGGATTCCATTATTTTGGAGAACAAGGAGGTAATGGCGATAGGCCTGTAGTTGGACGGGTCTGAGTGGTCGCCTTTTTTAGGGATCGGGTGGACAAAAGCTGTCTTCCATGATTTCGGAACTACGCCTAGGGAGTAGGAGTACCGAAAAAGACGCGTTAGAACCGGTGCTAACTCCGGAGCACACGTCCTCAGCACAATTGGGGGGATTCCGTCAGGCCCACTCCACTTGTGGATGTCCAGGGAGAGGAGTGCTCTGCGAACCGAGCGCTGTGAGAACCGCACATCCGGCATGTAGCACTCACACCTCGGGATGGTCGGCGGTGTGTTCCCCCCGTCATCAACAGTCGAGTTGGACGCAAAAAGGGAGCCTAAAAGGTCGGCTTTCTCTTTTGCGTCGTAGGCCAGTGAGTCGTCCTCCTTGTGCAGAGATGGTAGTGATGGCTTACAGAAATTCCCTTGGACAGCCTTAGCGAGAGACCAGAATACACGGGTTCCCGAAGGAAGGCGAACTAGTTTCTCGCCAATTCTGCCTATGTGCTCTGACTTTGCCTTGGCAATAACTCTTTATAATCTATCTATCTAATATACTTCTTTTTAAGTATGCTGGTGTTTACATCCCGAGTCGCCGAAGCCGCAGCCCAGGCTTGATAACACTCCTGCTTACTGCGTAATGCAGTCTTACAGAAGCGACCAAACCAAAGCTGAGATCTGCCTCCGATGGGTACCGGTACAGATGATAGAATAAATAGTTCCATTCCCTGTAGCACCACATCAGTGACAGAGTCAGCAACAGCGCTGGGATCATCCGACAAGACGCAAACCCGCCCCCATGGGTAGGAAGCAAAGTAAGACCGCATTCCGTCCCAATCCGCCGACCTGTAAAGCCAAACACGGCGGCAACCTGCAGAACGCAACCGCGAGGGGAGTGGGAGTGGCACCACACTCCGGATCAGATAATGGTCCGAAGAGCCGAGAGGGGCATCGACGGAAACCTGATATCCGTCCGGATGAGAGATCAGCAGAAGGTCGAACAGGGAAGGTGTATGATCCTCAACATCTGAAATCCGCGTAGGCGAAGTTGTGTCAGACCATATGCCAAGGCAAAATCATGAACAGATCTCCCCGCATGATCGGTTAAACGTGAACCTAGCCATTCGGCATGGTGGGCGTTAAAATCGCCACGGATCACGATCTCTGCGGATGGGACCTGTTGTAGCAAGGAATCTGTAGCCATTTGGACGTGGTCGATGAGTCGGTCTGTTTCGGCATTACCGCTATGGGACCTATAGAGGCACCCGTAGACGCGCGGATGGTCGTCGCTGTCTACGCGTAGCCAGAGGATGGACAGGTCAGAACCTTCAAGATTGCCGAGGCATCGATAACAGATGTCCTCTCTGACGTATACGCAACCTCCAGCCCGAGTTACAAAGGAGTGCTCCAATTTGTACCCCGGGTAGGAGAGATACGAAGTATCATCCGGAGAGGACACCTGCGTCTCGGTCATAAAGAGCAAGGCCGGCTTCGCCATCTCGAGATGGTAGTGGACGGCGTTTAGGTTCGAGTGAAGTCCCCTGATGTTGCAGAAATTCACGGATAGCGTGGCAGGGGTCACCTTGGTCATGTTGCTCAGTTTGCCCCGGGCAGTTATTGTGTTGAGCGGAATTTTGCCCCCCCCCCCCCCCCAGAATACGCGACGCAGCCTGAGCACCCACGCTCAGGAGTGGAATAGTATGGTCGTTGATGCTCAGCGAGGGATTCTCCAGGGGGCTTAGGTGCTTTGATGATGATGCTGCAGGAGCAGGCCCGCCGACAGGAGGAACAGGCCCGTCGGTTGGAAGAGCAGCTGCAGCGCAGTATGGAAGAGCAAATGCTCCTCAGGAAGGACTTTCATGCTACCTTCGGGAAAGAGATAAGACAACTAGATAGGACAACTGCCTGTCGGAAGGTGAAAACCGAATCGACCAAGTGAGCAATCGGGTTGACAACGTGATGGCTGATGTGAAGAAAACGCTGGATGACCTCAAACTTTGGGATGGAATTACAGCTCCCGTGGTAGCTACAACACATTCGCTACGTGGATTCAAAGTGCCACCGTTTGACGGGACTTCTTCCTGGTCGACCTACAAAATCCAGTTCGAGGCTGTCATGAAGGCCAACGGCTGGAATAAAAGTCAGGCCATGACTGCTCTCACCCTAGGCCTGCGCGACCAGGCCTTAACTGTTCTGGAAGCTCTTGGTAAGGAAGTGACTTACGAGCAGCTCCTTGAGGCTTTGGAGGCGAGATATGGCGACGCTCACCTGGAACACGTCTTTCGTGCGCAGAGACGCTTAAGGACGCGTTGGCCTGTGCACTGGAGGTGGAAACCGTGCGGCAGGGAGGTTTTAGCAGCTATAGTTCGCGACCGCAATAATTTCTACAGCCCTAGGTGCTACGGCTGTGGGGAAAGGGGCCATCTTCGATTCAGCTGCCCTAAGCGAGCTGTAGAAAGGGAAGGTGATCGATCTCGAGAGGGTAGTGTGGCTAACAGCACCGCCCAGCAGCAGCAGGGAAACTGGCGAGTGCTGACTTATGTTAGAAGAGGTACTTCTAAGATTGTCCATGTGGATCGACTGGCGCGTTATTATGAGGCCAATAATGCTCGGGATGAGCATGTCTTAGGAGGGGCAGTGTTGCGCGCCACTATTAATGTCTTGTACATGGCAACACTAGTTACTACTAGCGGCCTCTAGTGTCGAGTAGTAGAACTAGGAGAGTCAAGATCGTTCTAGAAGTTTCGGGACCGATATATACTCGAACATACTAGATGTTTCTACAGTAGAAGGTTCTGGAAACTATCTGAGGCCCTATATAAGGCCGATATTACGATATATATTGGCGATACAAGCGAATACTTCGAAGCGAAATAACTGCGAACTAAAGTGATCAGTAGTACAATTGTGTTTTATTATTAGTGTGGTTTTAGATTGTAATTAGTATTTGTAATTAAAGTGTCAATTTTGGTAATTCAATCGGCAGTTTTTAATTGTTTCGAACCCCAAACTCGTAGCAGTATGTTATTACATTATCAGAGATGAGATCTGTAGCCCTCTTTGTTTCATGTCGTTTGCAATTTTTCTGTACTTGTTATCAGGTGGACTGTTAACTCATTTGTTACTCTAATATTTTAAGAATATTTTTAACACGTGTTTTATGTTCCTACGTCAATACACACACAGAAGCTACGACCGTCCGAAGCTAATCACCGCGTTGTCGGGTCTGGAGGTCGTGGCGATCGCTTGCGGCGGCGCACACTCCGCTTGCCTGACTGCGCGCGGTCGTATCTACACATGGGGCAAGGGCAGATACGGACGCCTGGGACATGGCGATTCTGAAGACCAGCTTGTGCCTAAGATGGTATGTAAATCATGAACTTGATGATGTCTGTAGACGATGCAATCGTAAAACTACGAGTAGAAGACTAGTTGTTTTAGTTGATCTAACTTTTGAAGTGGTAGTTAATTTTTTTTGTGGTGTGAATGTTTTTTTATTTTATATTTATTTTTATAAGAATAGTAGTAACGTTATTAACGTAAATCAAACTCCCATTACCCTTCTGAGTAAGCTTAGAAATACTTGTTATAGGAGTGGTTCGCCACAGTAGTCGAATGGCGAATTAAAACTACGACCATTAGGCTACTGTCGCACGCTCGCAAAATAGATTATGGTGCTTGTTTGAAGCGCGTTCAGAAGAAAGTTTTACTTCATCTAAATAATAGATCGGTACAGTTAGGTTCTTTTAATTTAATAACAATTTTTTTTACCTTAAAAACGTCGCGGTCGATACTGGCCAAGCTAACAAGCATTGTTTGACGATTTTAACTCAAATGCAACACGAAATTGCATTTTAGCGTTGAATTTGAGTTAAACTCTCGTGATATTTAGGTGGAGGCGCTCTCGCAGCACCGGGTGATCGACGTGGCGTGCGGGTCGGGCGACGCGCAGACGCTATGCATCACGGACGACGACAACGTGTGGTCCTGGGGCGACGGCGACTATGGCAAACTTGGTATCCCACATTTCTTTGGTTAATTAATTTTGACGTGAGTACGTATTTTAATTTGCTTCCATAGTGGGAGAAGATTTAAAAAACTGATGATAACAAAAGCGGGGGATACAGTTTGGTGTTGTAACTACACATCTATCATCTACGAGTACACAACTCGATAGCTAAAGGATCAATAAATTCGTAACGTTGAGTGAGCACTGTCGCGCGTGCCAGGGGAGGGGGGGGGGGCAGACAGTGTCTTTGCCGAAAGTTAATTGTCCTTGCTAAAAAGCGACGGTACATCAGCACAAATTCTAACCTTAATTGAAACTCAAGCCCCGTTGTGTGTGCGTGTAGCGGTTAGCGACTTACTTATTTTTATCCAAAATAGATTATCTATCTATACATATAATAAAACTGTAAATAGCATATGTCTGTACATTTTATATTTTTGTAATAAAAGTGATTGAGGGGTACTAAAAATAAGTAATTAAATACATTTCTACCATTTTTAGAATTTTCTGTCTGTCTGTCTGTCTGTCTGTTTGTTTGTTAACGTATCACGTATAATGTACTAATTTATATCATAAGAATTGTTAAGGAAATTATAAAGTGTATCTTCGGGTTACATTTAGTCTTTATTTCATTAAAATCAGTTCATTCCATCAAAAGTTATGATAAATATTCTGAAGTATGGGTAGGGAAGTATAGGTACGAATTTGCTCAACGGTGGCTTTGTTTGAGTCATCAAGTGCATTTTAAACTAATATCATATCATAAATCATAGTTAAATTATGTAAAATAATGATATAATTATGTATATCTAAAACGCAGTAAACAAAAGTATTAAATAACGTATTAAATATATTATACAAAAATATATTAACCTTATTAACTAAATCTGAAGCACAATAGTTAACCCATTTCTTCGATAGATGGTGGTGTTGTGAAAATGTAATGCAATTGCAATGTGGTTTTTTCCTGTAGATGAGTTTTCATATTTACTGCTAATCTTTATTATATTACTCGCTGCCCTACTGCGTGTTGACAAACTCAATTTATTCTTTACCGCCGAGTACTCTATGTGGTAAATCAAATTTTAAAAGAACTATTAACAATTGCGTTGGTTTTGGCGAGAGTCAAACTTTATTTTTTGCTTACTGTGCAGGCACTGATTTATAAGTTCTCTTGCGTTTTATATAATGTATCAATCGCGTCAATTAATCTCTTTTATTTTTAGAATTGATGTTAGCAGCGCCATCTCTCTTTAAATATATACATATAATAAAAATGATGATAACATGTTGTGTCTCTTTCTGTACATTGTATAGGTATATATTTTGGTGGCTAAAATCGTTATGGGGAACTGAAAATAATTAAATAAGAACATTTTATAATTTTTAGAATTGTCTGTCTGTCTATTTGTCTGTTATTATATGAACGCATCACGTCTAAAGTAAACATCTTTTATTTTCAAAGAAATCGTTAAGAAAATCATAAAGCGTATCTTCGAGTTACATTTAATCTTTGTTTTATTAAAATTGGTTAATTCTATCGAAAGTAATGATTATTATTTTGAAACGTAGGTTCGAATTTGTTCAATGGCGCCATAAAATCTCAGAAATAGTAATAAAAAGAGTTGTGTGTAAAAAAAAACGTTCCATAATAATTAATATATTTATACTTAAAACACAAAAAGAGATTTAAAAAGGATGTTTTCTCACACAAAGGACGTAATAGATGGAGTTGTACAAATTACAAACTTTTCTGAATTGCTGTGTTGAGATTTTTCGCCGATGAATCGTATTGAGACTTACTGAAGAAATTTGTATCCATCGAAGCCATACAACGGAACCCGACCAAAAATAAAAATTTTGCAACGAAATGTTGTGATATTGTATTTATAATATACGCAAAATCAGAACTGCCATTTTAGCGATTTGGGAACTAGATTTAGCGCTTTTTTGGAATGTATAGCGCGCATTTCGAAATTTTAGCACCTAGCTTAATCCAGCGTTTTTTGGTGTATTTAGCACACATTTCAATATTTTAGCGACTAGCGGGTTATTAACTCTTTTATAGCAGCACTGTTAGTCCACATTACCGATAATAATAATAATGACCTTTATTATTTTTTCCCACAAATAGTACATTGCAGTTTATCTTTTTCAAACATATTTTTCCACAAAACAAAGAGCATGGGAGACGAGTCCAAACTAGGATACCCTGTGCTATGGATCTCCTGGCTTCCCCTTTAGGATGATCAACTTGATTTTTTTACCGACGACTATAAGCGGGGAAATCCCCTTTATTAAAGTTTTCGTTCATGATTTTGGCAACGCATTTATTTTGCTTTATTCAGTTTCAGTCAGTTGCTTAGAGCACAGCTAAGTTAAAAGTTACTTAGAAGTTATAACACAAAGAAACTGTGTAGCAACCGCAATCAGATGCTGACATCTGAAACTAAGTTGCGAAATACATTGCACTTTAAAACAATGACATTTTTATTGTTCGTACAGTACTAACTACTGTTGACAGCAATTGCCATAATTATAAGTCGATGTCCTGCGAAGTATTGATACATCAAAAAAATATTGCCAGAAAAAAACTTAATGTTGTTTTCTTTATTATGATTATATAAAAAAACACAAACTTTGTTAGTAGTTAATTTAGCGCGAAATCTAGGGCTTTTTTAAAGCGCTGTTTTCATGAAATCTAGCGCTTTTTGTGTTGTCCTAGAGCTGAATGAGTTTTTTTTTATCTGGCAGCACTGCCCAAAAACCCTCTATTAAGAAGTAACTTTCCTTTCAGTTTTAAGCGCGTTCAGTTACCAGTTACAGTGAGCGTGTGTTATGCGATGACCGTAAATAAAGCGCAAGGTCAAACTTTACGCGTTGTAGAGTGTACCTCAGTACTGACTGTTTTGCACATGGCCAATTCTATGTTGCTTTTTCCCGCGTTAGTAGCCCCCGTAACCTTTTTGTGTACACCCCGGCTAAGCCTACTTCTAACGTCGTTTACACAGAAGCTCTATCATAAACGACTTAAAACTTTGATGATAATGATTTATTTAGTTACCACTTATTGATACAGTAATGAAATAAATCGTTTAATGTTCTCTTACCTAAACGACAAATTCTTTATGTAAAAACTGTATACGCGAGCTACGCCGCGGGCACAGCTAGTAAATAATACTTATTGAAAGTATAAAAAAATAAATATATTTTTATTATTTATAATATGTAGGCGGCACGAATGGGTTGGCTCACCATACGAAATACTGCTGTGTTTAGTATGGTGAGTGTAGAGAACCGGAGACACTTTTTACTAGAAACGAGGCATTCCACCTCAGTCCTCAGGGGTTACAATGCATCTGCATTTTGATTCTTAATTGAGGATAAATGTAGATGTCTATGGGCCACAGCCTCCACTTACCATCAGGTGATCTGTGTGCTCGTTTGTCATCCTTATTCTATAAAAAAAAATATACTTTTATCACTGGTCGGAAAACCTTTGTCCTGGGAAGAACCAACTTTGTCTATCTCGAACAAAGGTGTAGAATAGTCAGTTTCTGTTTAAACGTATACCTAGAGTATTATTCAGGATAAAAAAACTTGACTTAAAAATAACAAAAAAGTACGTAAAATGTGGTCCTTTGTTATATATTTCACACATTAAATCTTTTTTTGCTAGGGCGAGGAGGTTCGGAAGGCTGCAAGCTTCCGATGAGAATAGACTGTCTGAAAGGTCTGCGAGTTATCAAGGTTGAATGCGGCTCACAGTTCTCCGTCGCTTTATGCCAATGTGGAAGTGTTTATACATGGTTTGTACAAGTCACCTAATTATTATCATTGACTTATGTTGATTTCTGTCATATTTTTAATGGTCAATATCAAGATAAAAGACTTTATAATTCAATCTGGAACACTGCATTGAAATGAAATATTGTAATTGTGTATTTTTTTTTTTTAAATAAAATCTATTTACAATTTTTAAATAGAATGTACGAACGAATTATATATAAAATTAAATTATTATTATATAAAATTATTTCAAAGTTTTTTTGCGTTAATGTTACAGATATATCAATATAATGTTTTAAATGAAAAAAATATAATTTTAGGGGTAAAGGCGACTACCATAGACTAGGACACGGCAGCTATGAACATGTAAGACGTCCAATGCGCGTTACGGGCATGCAGGGCAAAATGATAACATCGATTGCGACAGGTTATAATCTATTATAAATATTCGCGCGGTGTAGTATTTTGTTAAAATTTTTGGACTTTTGTTAAAGTTTCCATGTTTTTGGCTAAACTGGGATCTTAGTCAATAATAAATTGTATTAATTTTTATTATATTTAATTTTACAAGTGCTTTAATTATTAAGTTTGTTAACTGAGATAAATTTATTAATACTGTTTTTTTACTGATTGTCCGAATATAATCCTCAGAACATCATACTGTTAGCTCTAGACTATAGAAGAATCTAATTTCGAAAAAAAAAAGTTGTTATGATTTATGGATGTATATGTTTGTTTTTAAAACTGTGTTAGGGAGTCTACATTGCGTTGCTTGCACGGACACGGGCGAGGTGTACACATGGGGAGACAACGACGAGGGACAACTGGGCGACGGCACAACGTTGGCGGCGCAAAGGCCCCGCCTGCTGGTGGCTTTACAGGTATTTAATAGTCTTAATATAATAATTATCACTTAGTAACCTTTTATAAGCATTGCTGTAAAACACTGAAAAATTTAAACATAGCGTCATGCCTGTGCTTATCCCCGAGGGGATAGATACAGTTTAAAGACCAGTGAACCTCACGGACCAAGTTAAGCCAAAAAATGAGCATAGATCGAGATTTACAAACCTAATATCCACTGAACGCCTTTTACGCAGTATTTTTTAAACAGTTGTTTGTGCCAATTAAAAATAAAATTTAATAATTGTATAATGTCTGTGGAATTACTTTGTGAACGTGTGGCAGTGGAATCTTTCGCTTTCCGGGTTGGCTTATGACTCGGTCTGTGAACGCGCCCCGCAATAAAAGAATAATTACTCTATGCACAACTATGAAGACGCCATGATGAGTGGTTGTGTGTTCCCACCGTATCGCATATATTATTTTTCTGTGCGAATGATTATGGAGTTTGAAGTCGCCTTAGTCGCTCGCTTGCTTCTGGCAATGATCGCTTCCAATACGAAAACTCGAACTTTGCTCTTGGCAACGATCGTTTCCAAAAATTATTTTTTATTAATCGACGCTAAACTCTATTTTAAAGTCCTTTCAAAACGTTTTTAAACCATAGTCTAAAAGATTATCTAATATCTGGACACAAGTTAGCAACTTCATACAACTAATTTATTTGTGCAATTACGAGTATGAAGTGAATTTTGAAGTTGCCATTTTTAGTGGTGAATTGTGAAACGGCGGGTAGATTTCTTTTACTTTTTCATGAAGATTTTCCACAACAATTGTTATTGTTTCTTGTTCAATTGTTTAAAAAAATGACGAAATTTCAAGTTGTTCGTTTGAAACCGCCAAAATATGCCCGACCTTAACTTTAGTCTGTTATAAAATACTATATTATATTATACACACAACTTTTGTCAAAATTACGTTAGGCCACTGGAATCGATTGTAAATCAAATTATAATGAATACAATAGAAATACCGAGTGTTTAATGTCAAATTTTATGAGCAAAGTTCGACGGTTTTTTTGAAATCGAAAGCAAGTGAGCGGTTAGTGGAGTGCCTCAAATAATCGCCAAGCCTAGGAATTTGGAAATTCGGTAAGTGTTTTGCTTCTTTTGTTATTATCACTTACATGAGGTATTTTCCAAAGGCATTCCGAATTTGTATTTTAAGGTTATATCTTGGGGCACGGCAGTGCCCCCGACAAGTCGAGCAAAAAAGCGGCACGGCCGTACCATCCTTTTCTCGAAGCAGTTCAGGCCATTTTAGAAACCTTATAACTTCGTTGTGGATAAAACTAGAAGCTTGAATTTCCAGTAACCAAGTAGACATTGTATAAACTCTGTATGTTTCAAATTTCATTAAATTTGAACTAGTAGTTTAAGAATTATAACTAGTCAAAATTTCTTAATTTTGTCACTCACTGACTGACCGATCATCAAAACTCTAAGGCACTTCTAACAAACATAGAAGCTTCAAATTTGGAATACAATTATTGTTTAGTATATAAATCAAGGAAAAATTAAAATATTTTGCAATTTCGGTCCACTTTTCGAGATACAACAAACGCATAAATAACTTTGTAATCCTATATAAATATATAGAATTACAAAGTTACATTTGCAGTGAATGAACCAGTGTACCTATATATGTATAATATAATGGAATAATAGGTGTAGATAGGTACGTAGATATAACTATCTACAAAAAGAAATGAGATGCCATCAAAAACATAACTTGTAAAAAAAAACCAGGTCTCGCAACTCAGTTCTTCTACCGTAAAAAGTTGTGAGAACCATGTAATACCAAGTCGGTTAATTTATTCAGGAATATTCTTCCCTACTTAAGGGTCCATCTGTCTTAAGTTATTACGTAATTAGCTAACTTAACAACATCTTATAGTGACCATATCAATATTAAATATCTTTTATGTTTTATATAAATAAATTGACTTGGCCATCGCACTAAACAATCTAATTTAATACAATATGTATTACTTGAGAGATACATTGTGTTTTCATGCGTTTTCATTCATATGTTCTTATTCTCCCGCATTTATCAAATAAACTTACAGTCCATTTGCTCTGTTTTACAACCAACAGGTGATAGTGGATTTATTAGTTCCACATAAACCTATAAGTCGGTAAGTTTATTTATATCACGGAGAAAGACATTTTGGTGATAAATTAAATTGTAGATATCATTAATAGAATCAGGCGTTACTTTGCGGAAATCCAGTATATAAAAGCTTTTAGAAAAATTTACTTCGCAAATATCCGCGTTATAAAATAAAATGATGTGTCTTACCTAGTATGAAGAGCACCTCCCGCCCTCCCTCAATTGCGTGCACTATCCCCGTCACCACTAATCCCAGCACCACTACTCCTAACGCCACTACACTAGGCAAGACACACCACTGACGATAATACCACACGTGTTTCGCCTCTACACGAGGCACCCTCAGGTGATATAGACTCTACGGTGGCTAACCGCTAAGTGAGCGGCGAGCCAAAACTAGTGCCTTTTATACAGACCGCTGACGCAACCGCTCTCTACTTAAGGAGCGAGCGACTGCGTCATGCGATAAAACATGCGACCAATCACCGCCGGACTTACGCAGCCGTTTGCAAAATTAAAAATAAACCGCCGCGCAACGCCCACCCTCCAACCACGCAACCAATCGCCGAACACCGTGAGGGTGACAAACGACCATATTGCGAGGCTCTCTATTATTAGAGAGCAGGCTTAAAGATATTTAAGAGAGGTGAGTCAGTAACATTTGTTTGTTCATTCAGCAATGCAACGGTACTATTGTTACTTTTTAATATCTCTAACTGTTCCAGCACACACAGCCGCAGCCCTTTATTACACGTATGTAAGACGTTAAAGGAGTGGTCGTTGGCTAGGTTGTGTCCAGTGTCCAAAAGATGTTTGGCAAAATGGGATCTATCGGGATTGCAATTCCTGTACGCGGCTAAATGCTTTTTATAACGTGTCTCGAAATTGCGACCAGTCTGACCCACGTAAACGGCGTGAAATTCGTTGCGAAAACAAAAGCATGTTGTTCGCAACTCTCTGTACGCGGTTCAACCTCAAAGTGTTCATCGATATGTGAGCAGTTTGACGTAGTTAGGCCCCATATCTGAAAAAGTAGCTAATACTCTTCGACAAAACGGCGTTTATGTGGCGTTCAAAACAAACAATTCTCTTAGAAATATCTGTAATAATAAAGATAAGTTGGATATTCGTCAAAAGTCAGGTGTTTACAAACTTGTTTGTGACGAATGCCACGCCGTTTACGTGGGTCAGTCTGGTCGCAATTTCGAGACACGTTATAAAGAACATTTAGCCGCGTACAGGAATTGCAATCCCGATAAATCCCATTTTGCCAAACATCTTTTGGACACTGGACACAACCTAGCCAACGACCACTCCTTTAAAGTCTTACATACGTGTAATAAAGGGCTGCGGCTGTGTGTGCTGGAACAGTTAGAGATATTAAAAAGTAACAATAGTACCGTTGCATTGCTGAATGAACAAACAAATGTTACTAACTCACCTCTCTTAAATATCTTTAAGCCTGCTCTCTAATAACAGAGAACCTCGCAATATGGTCGTTTGTCACCCTCACGGTGTTCGGCGATTGGTTGCGTGGTTGGAGAGTGGGCGTTGCGCGGCAGTTTGTTTTTAATTTTACAAACGGCTGCGTAAGTCCGGCGGTGATTGGTCGCATGTTTTATCGCATGATGCAGTCGCTCGCTCCTTAAGTAGAGAGCGGTTGCGTCAGCGGTCTGTATAAAAGGCACTAGTTTTGGCTCGCCGCTCACTTAGCGGTTAGCCACCGTAGAGTCTATATCACCTGAGGGTGCCTAGTGTAGTGGCGTTGGGAGTAGCGGTGCTGGGATTAGTGGTGACGGGGATAGTGCACGCAATTGAGGGAGGGCGGGAGGTGCTCTTCATACTAGGTAAGACACATCATTTTATTTTATAACACGGATATTTGCGAAGTAAATTTTTCTAAAAGCTTTTATAAATTGTAGATATCATATAAAGTAAAAAGATATTTAATATAAAAATTTGGTAATTAAAATTCTGGCCATTTTAATAAAAATTTATTAAAAAATATTCATCAATGAGGGATGAGATTTCCTAAGATGGTGTTACCATACCAAAAGGAATCCTAGGTAGGAAAATATTGGTTGGTTAGGTTAGCGGGTAGTGATTATGGTTGCAGGGCAAGCGCGTGACGAAGGTGGCGTGCGGGAGCGCGCACACGGTGGCGCTGTGCGTAGAGGCGCCGCGCGCGCCGCGCCCGCCGCCGTCGCCGCCGCTCGAGTGCCACCTGCTGCAGGACCTGCCCACACACCTCATATGCAACAGGCTGGTGCGTTCCCACCACACTGACACTCACACACTACTTGTGGCGTGCGGGAGCGTGCACACGGTGGCGCTGTGCTTGGAGCCGCCGCCACTCGAGTGCCACCTGCTGCAGGACCTGCCCACACACCTCATATGCAACAGGCTGGTGCGTTCCCACCACACTGACACTCACACACTACTTGTGGCGTGCGGGAGCGTGCACACGGTGGCGCTGTGCTTGGAGCCGCCGCCACTCGAGTGCCACCTGCTGCAGGACCTGCCCACACACCTCATATGCAACAGGCTGGTGCGTTCCCACCACACTGACACTCACACACTACTTGTGGCGTGCGGGAGCGTGCACACGGTGGCGCTGTGCTTGGAGCCGCCGCCACTCGAGTGCCACCTGCTGCAGGACCTGCCCACACACCTCATATGCAACAGGCTGGTGCGTTCCCACCACACTGACACTCACACACTACTTGTGGCGTGCGGGAGCGTGCACACGGTGGCGCTGTGCTTGGAGCCGCCGCCACTCGAGTGCCACCTGCTGCAGGACCTGCCCACACACCTCATATGCAACAGGCTGGTGCGTTCCCACCACACTGACACTCACACACTACTTGTGGCGTGCGGGAGCGTGCACACGGTGGCGCTGTGCTTGAAGCCGCCGCCACTCGAGTGCCACCTGCTGCAGGACCTGCCCACACACCTCATATGCAACAGGCTGGTGCGTTCCCACCACACTGACACTCACACACTACTTGTGGCGTGCGGGAGCGTGCACACGGTGGCGCTGTGCTTGGAGCCGCCGCCACTCGAGTGCCACCTGCTGCAGGACCTGCCCACACACCTCATATGCAACAGGCTGGTGCGTTCCCACCACACTGACACTCACACACTACTTGTGGCGTGCGGGAGCGTGCACACGGTGGCGCTGTGCTTGGAGCCGCCGCCGCTCGAGTGCCACCTGCTGAAGGACCTGCCCACACACCTCATATGCAACAGGCTGGTCAGTTCCCACCACACTGACACTCACACACTACTTGTGGCGTGCGGGAGCGCGCACACGGTGGCGCTGTGCGTGGAGCCGCCGCCACTCGAGTGCCACCTGCTGCAGGACCTGCCCACACACCTCATATGCAACAGGCTGGTGCGTTCCCACCACACTGACACTCACACACTACTTGTGGCGTGCGGGAGCGTGCACACGGTGGCGCTGTGCTTGGAGCCGCCGCCGCTCGAGTGGCACCTGCTGAAGGACCTGCCCACACACCTCATATGCAACAGGCTGGTCAGTTCCCACCACACTGACACTCACACACTACTTGTGGCGTGCGGGAGCGCGCACACGGTGGCGCTGTGCGTGGAGCCGCCGCCACTCGAGTGCCACCTGCTGCAGGACCTGCCCACACACCTCATATGCAACAGGCTGGTGCGTTCCCACCACACTGACACTCACACACTACTTGTGGCGTGCGGGAGCGCGCACACGGTGGCGCTGTGCGTGGAGCCGCCGCCACTCGAGTGCCACCTGCTGCAGGACCTGCCCACACACCTCATATGCAACAGGCTGGTGCGTTCCCACCACACTGACACTCACACACTACTTGTGGCGTGCGGCCGAGCCGGGCCGGGCCGGCCATATAGCTCGAAGAACCGACAGCAACAACGTCGAAGAAAGGAGTTCGAGTGGCAACTAAGCGAAGTGTAAGGCGGCTTCTTACTAGATGGAGTGACGACCTGGTGAAATATACACGAAGTCGATCGATGCAGGTGGCTCAGGAACGTGTTTTGTGGTATTCTTTGGAGAAAGCCTATAGCTTCAGCAGTCCGCGACACATCAGAATGTGTCTAAGTCGACCACGTTGAATTGTATGCATCTTTTTATATAAAATATATGATTCCGGTAGGCTTCTGAATGGGTTATTCAGTTTATCCGCCCTAAAAAATCCACCCTGGGGTGGATTCTCGGAAACGCGTGTTTAACTATCCACTCCAGACGGGTTTGAGAATCGGAATTCACTTTTATTTCTTTTTCTGACTTTTTACCCCAAGCACAGTTCAACTCATTACACTTTAATTATTTATAAATTTTTAATAACCACAAACTATAACAAAAATCATATTACGTATTGCATTTAAATTAAACTTCCTATTTTTAAATAATATTATAAAGTAAATTTATAAATTCTGCAATATGTCCAGGAAATTACCAAAAAAAAATTCCATTATTGAGTAGACATAATAACACTTTTAATGTACATTTGCAATCGTTTTGTCTTTAACTTACAAAAATTCCAATGACTTTGTCTGTGTGTGATCCTTGGATGTCCTTTTATTTCATCATTGATTTTTCAAACAGGAAGTATGTATATATTTTTATTGATATGCTGATGTCTATTAAGTATCTTGTGGCCAGTTGTTATCAGGTTTCTATAAATGACTGTAAGCAGCCGAAGGAGAAAATCGGAAACAAAAAAATATACAAATTCCAATTATCCACCCCGTCTGGATTGGATAGATGAACAAACGTTTCCGTATAAATATAAACGGAATAACCCTTCTGAAGTACCTACGATACCACGATACGATACAATCCGGCATAAGTCTAAGAAAAAATAATTGAATTTGCTAAAATTTCAATATTATTTGACATGTTACTGCTCTTCGCAGGTACTACTGCATCAGTTCTCGGAATTGGTGTGCCCAAATTTGCCGCTGCTAATTTTAGACGGACCTTTGGATCAGTTAAGAACGCTGCTCTTCTACAGTGTCAAAGAAGCTGCTTTCAGAAAGGTAAAGACTTTTAACTTGATGAAAATTATGTTAGAAATTTTAACTAAAGACAATTAATACTTTTTGTGTGTATTTTTTTTTTGCATAAATTAATTGTATCGGTCTGTTTGAAAAAGCTGAAGTCAACTAATAATTCCTGTAGGTACTTGCTGGTAACTATAATTGAGTTATTTTACTTCCATCCTAGTGGGCTAAGGCAATGAATTATTTCTAGTAATTATATTTTGTTCAATATATATACATGACTGGACATAAGGTCAATTTATATTTGAACGTGGTAGTCGATCCTCTGTGAAGTACCGCCGCCATCAATATAGATCATAAAACGTCAAAAGTTCGTACGTTGTAATTGTGCGCTACAACTTTGCATAAATTAATCAACACATCTAGATTTGCTTAAGGTTGCGAGAGTATGAGAATTTTGTAATTTATTAGACAAATTCTCTGTAACTAACAGCAAAACACATCATAGTTTACTCCCAGTTTATTGACGAAGGATCTCACGGTGAACCCTCACACCAAATTCACGCACACAACTCCAAGCGATAACGACAATGATGTTACGCGTGATGTAAGAATTTTTGCCATTGCCACGTTACAATAAGCTTATTAGTTTACTGGTGAGATATCCTTCGATCAACTCTCAAGGCAATTTGTGCGTTACGGTGTAAACGATAATGGTGACGATGGTGCGCGAGGTGTGAGCAGCAATTCCACACTAAAAATCACATCAGTTGACTGATGACTTATCTGACAATAAACGCTCAAGGCAATTTGTGCGTTACGGTGCAGACGATAATGCCGACGATAGTGCGCAAGGTGCTAATAGCAGTGGCACATTAAAATCATATCAGTTAACTGATGATTTAGCTGATAATGAACGCTCAAGTTCTGGTGCAGGTAATAATGGCGACGATGGTCCGCCAGGCATAAACGGAAGCCGCACTTAACAATGACCACATCAGTTCAGTGATAACGTATGTCACAATGAACTCTCAAGGCAATTTGTGCGTTACTGCACAGGCAATAATGGCGACAATGGTACGCGAGCGACAGCACGGGCCGGTGGTGGAGTTGTCACGCGTTGGCGCTCGGCGCGCGCGGCGTGGCGGCGCGGGGCTGGCGGGTGCGGGCGGCATGCGCTCGGTGTTCGGGCAGATGGTGGCGCGCCTGCCCGCGCTCACGCAGGACGCCCTCGCGCTGCCGCACCGTGTTTGGAAAGTCAAGTTTGTAGGTAAGTTCCTCCTGCAAACATTCATATTTGTATTTGTTTGTTCAAATGCCTTAAAAGTGCCTTGCTTTCTTTCTTTTTTTATAGGAGAGGGTAAACGAGCACGCGGCTCGCCTGATCAACCACATTCGTTCCACAAAGAAGTTGTGCGAGGAAGAAAACATCTTCTAAATCGCACAGTGGTGGACCGCAAATCATCCAGATGATATGGATGGCATCGCGAGTTTAGTCGCGATGTGCGATGGTAAAATTGAGCGGCTGGAATTAATCCAAACAATTCCTCAGAGCACTCCCCGTCCTAGATGCGATAAAATACACAAAGAGATGCAACATCTCTTCTTAGCGCCAGTGAATCGAGCCGATAGGAAAGGACTCTGTCGTCGACGATTCGAGCCGCTCTGCGCTGGATGCGGTCAAGAGAGAGTTGGCACGAGCCCCAGCCATGAGATGCGAACAGTATTCCATATGAGGCCGAACTTGCGCCTTGAAAAGTTGCAGGCGATGTACCGGCATGAAATACTGTCTCGCTCTGCTGAGCACACCAAGCTTTTTAGAGGCCAATTTGGCCTTCCCTTCTAAGTGACCACGAAACTACACGTCACTCGATATGTCGACGCCGAAGATACCGATACTGGCTGAGGCAACAAGGGAAGTGCCTTGAAACTGAGGAGATACGACAAATGGGTACTTTTTAGCGGTAAATGCGCAAACCTGTGTCTTCTGAGGATTATACTGCACTAGATTTAGTCGCCCCCAATCCGAGACTTTGTTCAGCAAAGACTCGACTTCAGACAAAAGTTTATTCCGGTACTCGGCGATACTTTCCTGAGAAATATTGGCACGGCCGGTGTGCAGAGCATCAACAGTGCTGTCATCCGCATAGCAATGAATGTTACCGGTTTGCAACATATCATTGATATGCAGAAAAAACAATAAGGCTGCTTGCTATTGGTGATAGCAGGCAGCCTTGTGGAACATCAGCGTTAATAGGCTTGTAATCGGAGCATGCACCGTCTACGACGACCGTGATGCTCCTATCAGCCAGAAAACAGGTGATCCAATTGCACAATTTCTCGGGAAGCCCATAGGAAGGAAGCTTCGAAAGAAGCTCTTTGTGCCAGATCCGATCGAAGGCCTTCGCTATGTCCAACCTTACGGCCTATGCCTCCCCCTTGGACTCGATCGCCTGCGCCCATCTGTGTTAGGTAAACAAGAAGATTACCAGCTGATCGACCTCGACGGAAACCATACTGGCGGTCACTAATCAGCTGGTGCTCCTCAAGGTACTGCATGAGCTGGCGGTTAATAATGAACTCCATTATTTTCGACAGTAAGAAGGTGATGGCGATAGACCTGTATTTGGACGGATCAGAGCGTTTACCTTTTTTAGGGATCGGGTGCACGAAAGCTGTCTGCCATGAATTCGGAACAACGCCTAGGGAATAGGAGTACCGGAAAAGATGCGTTACAACCGGTGCCAACACTGGAGCGCACGTCCTCAGCACAATTGGTGGGATTCCGTCAGACCCACTCGACTTGTGTATGTCCAGGGAGAAGAGTGCTTTGCGTACTGAGTACAGTGTGAATCGCATATCAGGCATAGAGCACTCACACTGCGCGATGGTCGGCGGTGTGTGTTCCCCCCGTCATCGAGAATCGAGTTGGACGCAAAAAGGAAACCTAAAAGGGGTCGGCTTTCCCTTTGGCGGCGTGGGTCAGTGAGTCATTGTCCCTGTGCAGATATGGTAGTGATGGCTTACAGAAATTCCCTTGAATATTCTTGGCGAGAGACCCAGAATGCACGGGTTTCCGAAAGAAGGCGAACTAATTTCTAAGAAAAATCTGCCAATGTACTCATATATAATTGCCTTGGTAATTACTCTTTTAAAGGACCTGGAGGCGAAATTATACTTCGTTTTAAGCATGCTGGTGTTTACATCCCAAGCCGCCGAAGCCCAGAGCCGATAACACTCCTGCTTACTTCGTAATGCAGTCTTACAGGAGCGACCAAACCAAGGCAGTGATCTGCCTCCGATGGTTACCATAGATGATGGAAATATAAATAGTTTCATTCCCTATAGCACCACATCAGTGACACAGTCAGCAACAGCGCTGGGATCATCCGGCAAAAAGCAAACCCGCCCCCATGGGTAGGATGCAAAGAAAGACCGCATTCCGTCCCAATCCGCTGACCTGAACACGGCGGCAGCCTGCGAGGTGAGCGTGAGACACACTCCGGATCAGACAATGGTCCGAAGAGTCGAGAGGGGCATCGACTGAAACCTGATAGAGGTCAGCAGAAGGTCCAACAGGGAAGGTGTATGATCCTCCACATCTGGAATCCGCGTAGGCGAAGTAACCAGTTGTGTCCGACCATATGCCACGTAGTCTTGTGCCTGGTCGGTCATTTTAAAGATCGTTCCGTACTTGTACATTATAATAATAATAATAATAATAATAATAAATACTTTTATTTCTCAAAAATTAATCATACATGTTTTTGAGACGCCCCAGAGAGTAATTTACATACTCGTATTGGGGAAATTACGGACAGTGAACTAGTTCGTTCTATTAGTTCTATTAGTTCAATTCGGTCATCAGTACTACTAACCTGTTTAAATTGTATCTATCTTTATGGAATGGTTATCTCAGTCAGTCACTGACTGAATCAGTCAACAGTCAGACTCATAGATGCAATTTAAACAGGTTAATGCAGTCAGTCTCAGTCGGGCGATATTTGCTCGAGTCGTAACGTTGTGTGTTAAAAAATATTATTAACTTAAAATTTGACATAATATTTGATTTCCCTTCATACTTGAACTGGCTTAGGACTGTCATTCTAGTCAATAGCATAAAGATAATATTATACCATTTTTATGTATTGCAATAAAATATTTATCTATACCTACATAAATTTATTGGCCACTGCGTATTATGGTAAAAGGCTAAGCAGAGAGCAGGGATTTGTTGTAAACTTACTAGGTGATTTGGGTAGCTAGCTACAGAGAGGCATTCATCGGCTCTTGTCCTTGAATTAAAGATGGTTAATATATATTTTAACTGTTAAAATAATCAGTTAAAAAAATAACAAATTTATTAAATTAATAAAATTATCATATTTCAGTCCATTCAAAACAATCTGCGATCGATTTCTTACCTTAGTGATTTATAATTTTATATTAAATTTTATATTTATGCCATCTAGTGTCTTCTTTACGTGCCACCTTGAGAGTCAATAAACTTTCGTTTGACAAAATGACTTTAATACCTGTTGAATGGAATAGATGGCAGTTTACCCCATTATTCCTTAAAAACATCAATACATGTATTCTTTTGATATATTACATTAAAATTGTGGCTTCACATATCTAAAAATAAGCATTGTAATAATTATTTGCTATAAAATTAAACTTATATCCAATATTTTATTTAACGCCATGTCTACCTTTCTTGAATGACTATTAACCGATTCTGTTCTGTTTGCGTGCGTCGTTCTCGTTCGCACGCACAGTTTGGTGTTGGCGTCTTGCGAGTGTAGGTGAACGAAAAGAAATGTTAGACTGATTAACAATCGGCATTCGGAAACGTTTCTTCTAGTACAGTGGCAAGATACGTTTCCTAATCTTTCATCGTTCGCGAACTACACCAGACTAATGCCAAGGCAAAGTCATAAACAGATCTCCCCACAGGATCGGTTAAACGTAAACCGAGCCATTCGGTGCGGTGGGCGTTAAAATCGCCAAGTATCACGATGTCTACGGATGGAATCTGTTGTAGCAAGAAATCTGTAGCTATTTGGACGTGGTCGATGAGTCGGTCTGTATCGGCATTTCTGCTATGGGACCTATACAGGCACCAGTAGAGGCGGGGATGGTCGTCGCTGTCTACGTGCAGTCAAAACATGAACAGGTCCATACTTTCAAAACTGCCGAGGCGTCGAGAACAGATATCCTCTCTGACGTATACGCAAACTCCAGCCCGGGGCACAAAGAAGTGTTCTAATTTGTACTCCGGGTTGGGCCTCCGGCCACCTGCACATACCAAGCGCAACGCAGAAGCAAAGCTTCTACTTTACGTTGGTATTCCGTGAGGTCGTGGTACTGCCCCGGTTCGAGGCGGCCCATTTATCCAATAGAAGCTGCAGCGTGGCTCTACTGTCCATTTTGCTGATGATGCTTCTCGAGTGAGATGGGAAACTCTAACTAATAGGGGTATTAATGGAAGCTAGAGAGCTAAATAGATGTTGCTGGTTTGAGTTAGAAGCCCTGCTCTTTTCTCACTTTCTTCTCACACTCATCTTCCAATCACTTCTTTTTCTTTCACGCATTTTTTTATGATGTCATACTGATATTCACACCTGTAGTTATCTAACAAGACGACATGTAGTTCCGGAGATCCGACATCCGCAAGTTTAGACATGAAGTGGTGCCGAAACCCGGGAGCGAGAAGGACATAAGTGTAACAGTGAGTAAAGTGACGAAAAAAATTACAAGTGTTAAAGACTTAGAATAATTGTGAGTGAACTGTAAGAATTGGCAAAGTGTTTAGAACTTAGAATATTTCGTGTGCAGTGAAAAATTGTCTGAGTCCCAAAGACTTAGAAAAATTTAACTCGTGTTGGAACTTAGAAAATTTACTGATTATAGGACTTTAACTTTTACTGATTATAGGACTTAGAAAATTTTCGATCAGTGGAACTTTCTTTAGTATTTTAAAAGTGTTATGGACATAGTTGCTGGAGTGTTTGGTGAACATTAGTAGAATATTTATCAGTGAATTTTAAAGTTATTTGGACATTTATTTGCGTCAACATGGAGGAGATAAACTCAATGATTCTAAAACAAACTGAGATTAGTCAGCGTATTTCAAAGGCATTTAAGAACTTTAAAAAGTCCCCGAAAGATAGAATTACGGTGCCCTACATCCGAATTAGAGAAGAGACCTTAAAGGCAAATTGGGACCTATTCAACACCAACCATTATGAGATTGTTGCTGCCACCTCA